GATTACGGATCTGATTCTGATCTTGATCTGCAGGTACCCGTAATATTTTGACCTGAACCAATGTTTCTTTACATGCATACCAATACATGTATACACAATAGGTGAACGTCGATTATATATCCCGTCGGTACATCGACAAATAAAAATTGAATACACGAACAAACTTCGGACCTTCAATCGTGTTTGTTGATACGGATGACCAAGACCATCCTATGTGAGTTACTCAAAAACAGCATGACCAGTAAAACAATTAACAAACAGAAAACGGTAACAATGACTGTCACGAGACTGAAGATTTTAATCGGTGTCCATAAATTTAACCGCTGCCATGGCACCGAATCCAACAACTGCCATTAAAATATTCCCAATACTTCTAACCATGAAACACTCTCGCAGAATCTCAAAAAACGTTACGTACAAGAATGTCCCTGTAGCAATGGCTTGTAAGATAGATGACGAGAGTAATTTGGGGGCATTTTGAATATGACCGGAAGTCACTTCGATCCCAATGGCTACTCCGAGGGGTGACATTAGGGAGAAGAAGAAGAGTAAACCAACGGCCAAACCAGTTTTAGAGATATATACCTTGAATAGCTGAAGCCCCAGACAAAAAGCCACCAGGCTCTTGTGTATGCTTACCGCTATCATGATTTCCCAAACATTCACTGACGAGGTCTGTAGTCCTACGGCCAAACCGTCAAATATTGTATGAAACGATAGAGCTATTAACAATAATATAACTTTAGTCGTGGACTGGATGTTTGCGAGCTGAAACAAATCATGAGCGTGGGAAAGGTTCGAATCAGAACGCACTCGGCCTTCATATGACGTAATCTCTGGTTCCATGGTCACAGCACTTTGGCCACCGAAACTGATTTCCACTGTACCTAAAAGCGAATCATATTCTGTATAACCTTCGTGTTGTTGGGGACTCTTTTTGTCATCAGTTTTTGGTGAAGACTGGTTAAGAAAGGAATGAGCAATAAAATCGATAATCACAATAATAAAAAACCCGACAGCAGCGATTGTCTCGTAAAGAGGATAGTCCACAGAAATTCCATATAACTTGAGAGCTAGTTCCAATTCTTCCCTTCCTTCCGCTAACAAATGTAACAAACACGTTCCAAGGAAAACTCCTCCAGCGAAGGAATTCAGTAGATCGATTATTATTTCAAATCGTAAACATGTCCCACGACATTTTCTACGTACAAAAAACGGCAAAAGGCCAAAAATGAAAGTCAGAATCAACAGAAGAAAGAGGGATAAGATTTTACTGTCTAGAGTATCCAATGAACCACTAGTCGTTGTGTCGTTCATTGTAACTATCTATCTTCCAAAGTTTTTACTGTAACTTCTCTTTACATACCACCAGCTCACCTGATGCTCGACAACCTCTGATCCAATAATAATATATAATAAAATGTTCTTGAAATAGAAACTCCAATCTTAGGCCTTCTGTTCCTAAAACAACGTGCACTATCTTACAACTATAGTTTCTTTGTAGTTACCCGGCGTCTCACACCACTGTGCCACTGTGTTACATAAACTGTCTATTTGACATTGCCCACAGTTCTTGAACTAAAAATAGATTAGAAATGTTATCGCAATTAAGGACAGAATGGTCACGTGATGTGTCCTGGAAAATACACATAGTCATTTCTATACAAAGTACAACTGACACTGATCAGTTACAAACACTGATAGGGATGACGTCTGTGCGGCTTAATGAGCCCCTAATATTAACTCTTTTCCTTCTGCAAATTAAGTTCAAGAACAATGCACGTGCCACTGATTTGACGTCAGATATTGAAAGCAGTCATCTTTTACAGTGTTATTAGAAGACATTCGTAATACTTCTGTGAAACACACCGAGTACAGCTGTCTTATAGTACAGCTGTCTAGAGTAGTAGTAACTTCTTAGCTCACTGGTTATTTAAAGTTGCAATTTCATATTTTTAAGTTATTCTTTTAAAATGTATTAAAATAAAGCCTTAAAATTGATGGTATCTATAAACAGTCCTACCTTGTAAAAGAATAATCCTATTAATCCTATAATTCACTATTGCCAGTTGAGAAATTGGCAAAAATATCATTTTCAACTTCAAATTCAAACGTTTGAAGATAGCTATTCCATGGGGGGGGGGGGTAGAAAAAACACGGGAGGTAATTGTGTTATTATTTCCGGGGTCAAAGGATTTTTAAGTGGGAGAATAATACCTATGATCGTATAAAAGTGAGTTGATTGAGCAAAAGACATAGAAATAATTATGTTTTGACTTAGAAAATATGAAATTATCGCTTTAATGCTGCTGATAGGTTAACAACCTGCGCTATCATAAAGATGCATTGTGTAAGATTTAGATAAAGAGCGATGGTCGTTCTTGCTATACTAGTTCAATAGATAATAAGAAATAAATAATATGTTGAAAATGTCAGCCAAATTATCCTTTTCTGGGAGAAGTTATGAGGGTTTGAAGTTTTGGAGTTTTGACAAGATAGTCTCGATTCTCAAGTGCGAGGAAGAAACCCTATCGCACAACAATTATTTATCGCGTTACTGCCACTGTTGAGAGAGAGAGAGAGAGAGAGAGAGAGAGAGAGATGGGGTTTAACGTCCACTCGACACAAACTAGGTCATTTCGGGACAAACACATGGTTCAATTTTATTTCAATAATTCGCTTGCGCGTAGGGGTCTTTAGCTGTGGGAGGAAACCGGGGGACCCGGAGAAAACCCACGAGGTTGGACAGGCGACCCTACTCCTTGTCACGTACAACCGGGGAATCGAAACCCCGCCAGTTGACTCAATGACAGGCCGTATGATAGAGCACGCAGCGTGCTAACAATTCGGCCATCCAACCCCCTGAGAGAGAGAGAGAGAGGAGAGAGAGAGAGGGGGGGGGGCATTTCGGGACTGACATTTGGTTCAATTTTTATTTTATTAATTCGCATGTGCGTAGGGGTCTTTAGCAGTATGGGGAACCCGGAGAAATCCCACGAGGTTGGTCAGGTGACCAACGGTGAATTGAAACCAAGCCACATGACTCAATGACAGACCACCTGATCGAACGCGCACGCGTAAACCATTCAGCTCTTACATAATGCATCTTTAAATGTCCACTCAGCATATAAGTCACGGGATTAATTAAATACACGCTAAATATATGACCATTATTATATTTCATCCTGTATGTTTAATTTATCATTTAGCTATTTTAGACGCCCTGTTTAATAATGTCTCTGTTCTTTACACCGTTATTATATTACACTGTATATGTAAGTTTATACAGTCCCGAAATGACCTAAGTGTTCCGAGTGAACGATAAACCCCATTCTTATCTCTAATGTAACCGTATCTATCCTCGACAACCCGTACTCATCACCATGTATGTTTAGTTTATAGTCCAACTTGATCTATTCTCGACAACCTGGATAATTCATATACATTGACCCCTGCATATTTATTATATCACATATTATTTTGTTGTATCCACGGCGAGTCAAATAATAAGAGCGAATCTTTAAAGGGTGTATGGCCCCATTCTTTGGAACCTTAAATAGGTCTAAAAGCACATATTAATATAAAAATAATTATTTAAATAAATTAATTTATATTCAATTTTTAAAACATTTATTGTAATTTCTAATCGGTTATATTCGGTGAAACACGTGAACGGTCCAAATTGAACTGTAGTCGTGCACACCTACTTAGTACATTATACACGTTTTTTTTTAAAAAAAAAAATCATTACTTTGTGGTTTGTGAATTAGTCATTACTAATTGTCTTAGTGGAGAGAGAGAGAGAGAAATGGGGTTTAACGTCCACTCGACACAAACTAGGTCATTTCGGGACTACCATATGGTTTAATTTTTATTTCAATAATTCGCTTGCGCGTAGGGGTGTTTAGCAGTGGGAGGAAACCGGAGGACCCGGAGAAAACCCACGACAACCGGGGATTCGAAACCACGCCAGTCGACTCAATGACAGACTTTATGATACAGCGCGCGCACGCTAACCATTCAGCCATCCAACCCCCCTGTCTTAGTGGATATGTTTTTCTTTGTTCATTACAAATGGCGCCTAAAACCATAGAGTTTAAAGATGTTCATTGTGTTAGAGGTTTAACCCCTTTTAAATGTATCTTACCCGCAGTTCTAAAGTATGCGTAAACGCCAGTGTCTGGGGAGATTTTCTGCTATACCACCATTTTTTTTTTTGCGTGTTTTTTTTTAGTTCAACAATTAAACATCAGGAATCGGGTCACTTAAATAATTAATAGATAAACTATTTCTTCTCCCCTTTCTTCCTATATGATGTGCAGGTATAAATTGTGTTTATCCCTATCTATTTGGTTTGTCAGCCCGTCAATCATTCTTGTAACACTCGACATATCAGAATTCATCAGATTATGTTTTCAAACTTGTTGGAATTGTTTTTTGGCTGGTTGTAATAAGGAATCTTATCGAAATTCAGAGTCGCTCAAGGGATATTCCACTATATAGGCTGATTTTCAAATTTAAGTGCTAGGAAGAAACTCCCGATCGAAACTTGGGAGTCACACAACAATATTATTATTTATCGAGTTACTGCCACTGTTGCCTATCACGACATTTGTTTTGTTTTTTGAGGGTTTTTTTTGGAGGGGAGGGGGTCTAACATAGGGAAGAGCCCTGTCGAAATTCTGACTCGATCGTCCATCAATTTCATGCATAGTTGACTCCCATATGAACCTGAATATCACTTTTAAGTAAAGCCAAATTGCAAACACTATACAGTCCGTCAATCACCTTCAAAATTATTGTAGCAGATAATTGTGACATTTTGGACACTTTATTTATTTAGGGAATTAGATTAGCGAGGTATTATGTATGACCCCTTGCTTCGAAACAAGCAAAAAATAACAATTACAGCAGAATATTTAGTGGGCTGATACTGATGTCAGAAGGTACGTAACTCTTCATTTATGAGAGTTATTTCCCGTTACAGAGGTCTTTCTTTGAGAGACATGAAAGGTGTTTCTGTAACTATGGCCTCTAAAAACATTAAATTATTTTTTTTTGGAAACATTATTTCTAAAATTAGAGTTTAATTCCTGCCTCGTTATGTTTTTAATAAAATAGAAAATGATACTAAGAAGAACTATTATGTCGGCTACGTCTAGATTAAAAGGTTAGATAATTAATTTGGTTCATTTCAAGAGATTTGTAGGCCTAGAGCTCCGAAAATACAAAATCATGCAATGAATAATGCCAATGAATCATGAGCGTCTCATCAGTCATGAATGATGGACCTTATTTCTCATGTCCTTCATTGTTCAAGACGACAACATTAGCACTTTGGCACTGCATATTTTGTGATGACAGATATGTAGTGTTGCAGAAATTAACTTAATTGAAATATTTATTCACAGGAATCTGATCTTCTACTACTTCTAGTTCTATTCTAATCTATCGTATAGCTTATTATATATATATGCATACACCATACTTAAATAGACAATATATTATTTAGAAAAAAAAAACAGGAATGCAATGTCTGTTGAAGCCTCGATTTTACCTGCTCTTGTTCAGCTCATTTTTTTTACGAAGTATCTACTTCCGCTATTTTACCATACATCGTTTCTGATTCAAAATGGCGGAAAGTACAGATATATTCCACCATTTTGGCAACTCGTCTTTCAAGTTCCGCGCAGAAGCACGATTTTACGGGAAAAACATAAACCAAAATCCGCAGAAATGCGCCCTCGACCAAAATAGAATAATATTCTATGCTTTTCTACAATTTACATTTATTATCTTACTTTCTTTTAAAAATAATTCTCCAGTTTCTACCATAGAAATTCAAGTATGACTTTTTTGTTCCTTTATAAGAAACGGAAAAAGAAGCAATATTAGACAAAGAACGAATAGAACTGTTGGGGTAGGGTTAGGTTTTGGGTTATGGGTTAATGTCAGACGGCGAAATAGCTGGCATCATTGCCAAAGTGAAAACTGCTAAGTCCAGGTATCAGAGAACTGCGCATGTTAAACGGAAGTGTACGGCAAAATAGTAAATAAAGTAAAATGCCGTATACGGTTAAATATCCACTGCGTTTTTTTTTCAACAATTTGTAGTAATGTCAGGCAATCAAACCTCTGTCGATTCACTCAGATGTTTTTTGTTCAATCTAGACGTTTTGATTTGCATAAATACTCCCCACAAAACGATATCATAGCCACTTATTTTCAATATTTACATTATTTTCGTTCGTTAAACTCCCTACTTCTCTTTCATTTCAGAGGGCAAGTCATTGCTAACAGACACAGCCACAGCTAGAAATTCAACCAATGGTAACACAAAGGCTCAAATTAGAGCATTTCAATCCAAGAGTAGCCCAATATATAAAACCCAGTCTGAAATATCGTTAGTTTCAGGTTTCAGAAATCTGGGTATCAGAGAAAAACCAAAACAATCAACAAATAACAAACACCCTACAACCAGGTAGGCCTAATAGATATTGAAGTACAAAGCCTTATCATTATAAAATATTTTATGATCAACTAAAAAAACCATTATTTTCCAAAAAGCATTACGTGGCTATGTTGGTAAGGTGCTGGCTCGCTAGCTTGGATGGCGGCTGTTCGATACCCGCATTGGCTGAGAAAGTTCATCCAGATCTTCTGGCGTGGTTCCCCCATGTTAGTGATGCAGGACGGAGGGTCTGACAAGGACAGCTGTTTACTCGTTCGGATGGTATGACAAACTGAGGTCCCGTGTACACATTGCCGTGCATGTAAAAGATCCCTTGACAGTTGAAATTCGATATCAGAGTAAGCAGTAGAGCCGCTGTCCGGGCAAAATTTCCCTTATAGCACACTGTATCATGTATGGCGTATGCCCATTTTCGTTTGCCTAGTTCGGAGCAGAACAGTAGGAAGTTAAACCCCATTTCTTTTCATTTTCATCATTTCATTTTCCTACCATAAAATCTATAAGTTGAACTTGAACTGTCTGTTTCGTTGATGCAAGATATCACACAGGTATTGTAACCAGATTTCATTGACAGTTTTGTTAAGAACAAGCCTGAAAATATATGACAGACTTTTGTCTTTACACAATCCATTTGGCCTAGGTTTCACAAAACATTCTCAGACTTAAGTTAAGAATTTACTGAACTTTCAGTCACTGTTTATGAGAAACATCTTTGATCCAGAAACACAAAACTTTGCACATTGTTTCTTATTGATGTATTTGATACATTAAAACAACAAAAGTTTTATAAAGAGCTACAATAAGGCGAACAATTTTGAGTAAATTCTTAACTTAAGTCTAAGAAAGTTTTGTCAACTTGTGGGCCTGGTGCCTGTCATTTTATCTTTTCATTGTTGTCTGGCACAAAATTCAAAACAACAGGAACCAGTTCAGTAGTGCCTTTAACACCGTAACTTTGTAGTTTTTAAAATGTTGACTACCCCCTATTGTGTAATTAATTTGACGAAAAACGTCATTTTTGGACCTTTGTATTAATACGAACTATAGTAGCCTAAAACCATATTAAAACTAATGGTAAATAGAGTTGTCTCCCTTCAATTAGATTTCCTCGACCAGACGTAATATAATGTCCTACACATGCTGAGATCGTATGTTCGAAGAATAGGTTGGGGAAAATACCTCCAGGGCGTTATATTACGTCCTACACACGGTGAGTGGCAGTTGTCCAGGACTTATATAACGCCCTACGCAGTTAACGGGCTAAGAATCATTTCATTTCATTGATGCCTTGACTTATGTGATCTAATCCTGTTTTATGTTATTTTAGCTTAAACATACATTATGCAAGAGCTAAATCTGCCTATTGCAGGTCTTTCTTTCGGCTTGAAATGTTATATAAAGTATTAATTAGACATCAATTAACATCAAAAGATCATAATCAACTCTCGATGCCATCTTATGTTTCCAATTTTTATTGGATTTGAATCCGATCTGCTGTTCAACGTCCATTGATGATTAACCACAAAAATGGACTTTTTTTATTATCGTGCACCGTTAACAGTGACATATTCCCTTTACATTATCAAGTTTTTAAATATTAAAATGAGAACTGCCAGCTTTTTATCTTATCTTCCATAATGTATCTTTAAGTTTAAGAATACATATTTGTTAAGATTTCAAATAGTTGCTGAAACATTGTGTGATTTATTTTGTTGTTGTTTTGATTTGTGTAGGAGAGGATTTTGTACGGGAAACAGCGGAAGATTAAATATTCGTAGTTTACAAGATGTAGCGAATATATTTAAAGATAATCAGATACAGAATGTAGTAGTTGTAGCAGGTGCTGGTATTAGTACACCAAGTGGTATACCGGATTTCAGGTACGTTAACAGTTAGGGTTGGGTGGTTGAGTGGTGTAGCGAGTGCACTTTAGATCATAAGATCTGTCATTGAATCAAGTGGCGTGGTTTTGATTCCAAGCTTTTATATGACAAGGATTAGCGTTATCTGCCTAATCTGCAGTATAGTCAACAGAACAGACAGGGGTAGGAGGAAAAATGAAATGAAATGGGGTTTAATGTCTTACTATTCTGCTCTGAACTGGGCTAATGAAGACGGGCATACACCATACACTGTGCTATGAAAAAAATTTGCCCAGACATCGGCAATATGGCCTGCTCTTATATTGAATTCCAACTGTCAAGGGATCTTTTACGTGCACACCAATGTGTACACGGGACCTCGTTTTTTCATCCTATCTGAATGACTAGACAGCTGTCCTTGTCAGACTCTTCGTCCTGCATCACTGATGAACTTTCTCGGCAAATGTAGGGATCGAACACCCGACCTCCAGGCTAGCGAGCCAGCATCTTATATCCACTTAGCCACCGTGACGATGGGTAGGGGTGAATGGTCCAATATGTGAGCTTTAGATCATATTATCTGTCATTGAATCGAGGGGCATGGTTTTGATCCATGCTTCTTTGTGACAAGGATTAGGCCTAGAGTCACCTGTCTCAGCTCGTGGTTTTCTCTGGGTCCTCCCTCCATTTTCCTCCCATTGCTAAAGATGTCCCAAAATGACCTAATTTGTACTGAGTGTGTGTTTTGCTCTAAAAAATGATCTTATAATCAACTAATCTTTAGTTTGACCAGGCATATTGTTTGTCAGTGATAAATGATAACAATGTCATTTGGCCATAAAACAAGTCCATTAAAATTGGTTTCACAAAGCATTCTCAGACTTAAGATAAGAATTTACTCAACTTTCAATCACTGTTTATAAGAAATATCTTTAATCCAGAAACATACCATTCTGCACATTGTTTCTTATTGATGTATTTCATACATTAAAACAACAAAAGTTTTATAAAGGGCAATAGTTGAGTAAATTCTTAACTTAAGTCTGAGAATGTTTTGTGAACTCTTGGCCTGGTGTATATTATTAGATGGTGTATATTAGATTAGTTAAAATGTGATTTGTATATTTCAGAACTCCAGGTACTGGTTTATACGATAATCTACAGCAGTATCGGATACCCTACCCAGAGGCCATATTTGATATCGACTACTTCCACAGAAACCCAAAACCTTTCTTCACACTAGCTAAAGAATTGTTTCCCAGTTTAGGCAATTACAGACCCAACTATATCCATTATTTTGTTCGAGTTTTATACGAGAAGGGATTATTACTACGCATGTACACACAGAATATTGATGGCCTAGAAAGATGTATGTATAAATATCAATCTCATTAAAATACAGATCTATATTACGTTTCGGTTTTTTTATACATTCGATGGCCTACATACAAATCTGACTGGTTGTATTGGAAGGTTGCGTCAAAAGTCATAAGAGCAGCCTTTGACCCTATGATGTCAGGCATTTGATTAACCAAGCAGCGTTGATGTTTCTAGTGGGATACCCGCGGTTCCGTGTATGGCACGCCAAGAACTCACAGTAACAGACCGTTTGATTGGCTAATCCCTCACATCATCCAGAATGCGGGTTATATAACAACTCTTCCAAATCCTAGTGTAGTAAAGACAAGTAAAACGAAATTTTGAACTATTGAAAACGAAATGAAACAAAATAGGATCTGTGTTTTAATCTTGTCGTTGTCCTGCTACGTTTCTACAATGATTATCTTGTCGTTTTCAAGCATAATATAGTCAGAAAGAATGATCAAAATCACAACAACTGTCTTTCTGACTGGAGGGTGGTGGGGCGGAGGCTCGTTTGGTTAGCACGTGCACTGTATCATAAGGTCTGTCAATGAATGAGTCAACTGGCGTGGTTTCGATTCCCTGGTTGTATGTGACAAGGACTAGGGTCGCCTGTCCAACCTCGTGGGTTTTCTCCGGGTCCTTCAGTTTCCTCCCACTGCTAAAGACTCCTATGTGCAAGCGAATTATTGAAATAAAATTGAACCACGTGTTAGTCCCAAAATGGCCTAGTTTGTGTCAGTGGACCTTAAGTCCTATCTCTCTCTCTCTCTTGCTATTATCTATTATGCTTAATCACATACAATGGTTTTCCATAGAACTGTGGTGATTATTTTATCAATATGATTGGTTTTGGTGGTGATTCTTAACCAGAATAACAAGATTACATGGAAACTTGAGATAATTTTGTATTAATCCTTATATTGAATGTATTAAACAGTAGCAGGAATACCAGCCAGTAAACTAGTAGAAGCACATGGTACGTTTGCTACTGCTACTTGTACTTTATGTGGATATAAATGTGATGGTGATGACATCAAGGTAACAAATATACTTATCATATTCAGGGGATTGGGTGGCCTAGTGGTTAGCGTGTTCACATAAGATCACAGGGTCTGTCATTGAGTGAAGTGGAGTTTTTTCGATTTCCTGTTTGTACATGACAAGATAGGGTTGCCTGTACAACCTTGCAGGCTTACTCTGGGTCCGCCAATTTCATCCAACTGCTAAAGACCCCTACTCGCAATTGAATTATTGAAATAGAATTGAACCATATGTTAGTCCTGAAATGACCTAGTTTGTGTCAAGTGGAAGTTAAATCCCATTTCTCTCCCTATATAGCATATATCATATTATCTGAATTAACCTCTCATATATGCTCAATATTCACTTATAGGTTATTGCTAAATCGGTTGTTTTGTTTGAGTTTTTGAAAATATTATCATAGCAAATTGTTATGTGCTTCCATAAGTTGGTAATTTCTCTTAATTTTGTGGACAGTTGTGAGAGTATAATTTGTTTTTGGCCATTACCTTTTATTTCTTAATACAGAATTCTGAAATATGACATGTTTATTTCTATAAATATTGTGTATTTTTTGGTAGGATAGAATATTAGATGATAAAATACCAAAATGTAAGAAGACATCTTGTTCTGTAAGTATTGTCTAGAATTTATTATCTGTCGACCTCAATCTGATTAAAACACAGATCCTATTTCGTTTCACTTGTTTTTACTACACTAGGATCTGGAAGAGTTGTTATATAACAGGCATTCTAGTTGAAGTGAGGGATTAGCCATTGAAACGGTCTGTTACGGTGAGTTCTTGGTGCACTTTGCAGGGAACTGTGGGTAAATCCCTAGAAACGTCAACACTGATTAATCAATGTCTGACGTCATAGGGTAAAAAAATGCTTGTATGACCCCTGACGTGACCTCCCAGTACAAGTATTCAGATCTTAATGTAGTGTAGGCCATCGAAAGTATAAAAAAACAAAACGAAATATAGATCTGTATTTTAATCAGATTGCGTCAACCTCTCAGATCATTTGTTCTTACGTGTATCCACTTAGAGATCCCTGCATTGGCCGAGAAAGTTCATCCCGATTTTCCGGCGTGGTTCCCCCTTGTCAGTGATGCAGGACGGAGGGCCTGACAAGGACAGCTGTCTAGTCATTCGGATGAGACGAAAAACCGAGGTCCCGTGTACACATTGGAGTGCACGTAAAAGATCCCTTGACAGTTGGAATTCGATATAAGAGTAGGCCGTAGTGCCGCTGTCTGGGCAAAATTTCCCTCATGGCACACTGTATGGCGTATGCCCGTCTTCATTAGCCCAGTTCGGAGCAAAACAGTAGGACGTTAAACCCCCTTTCATTTCATTTCGTATCCACTTAGAATCTGTCCATCTCAGACTTTGAAACATCAGTCGTCGCACGACAAGACTAAGAATAGCAAAACTTTTAATAATAGAATATTTTAATATAGCATGGTTCGTGATGAAGAACAATAACTGATGTTACGATATGTTCATTTCAGGCTGGTAAGGTAGTGCTCATAAGAGATCCCTTGGCAGTTTTGATTCGATATTAGAGTAGGCCATGAGTAGTAGGCATACCCTGACTTATACACAAAACCTGTAACTACTCTATCTTTATTTTCAATGGCTTTCCATTAACTATGATGCAGTGTTGGGATTGTTACTAAAAATAAAGGGGCATAACTCTTATTGGTTAAGCAGACTATAATTAAAAATTATGTGTCAACAAAATATTCAAATTTGTACATAATAAAAAAATAGGTGCACTGCGTTATTTTTCATGTTTAATGTATTGACTTAGTTTTGTTAGTGAAGAGCCAAATATGTGCCATGAGCATTACTTTTATGTATATGGAATGAACGCTCTATAAAAAGTCACATTTTTATGATGTTGTGTTATATTACAACCAGGGAATTTTTAAACCTAATGTTTTGTTTTTTTACAACAGGGAATGGTTAAACCTGATATAGTGTTTTTTGGTGAAGACTTACCTCGTAAATTTTACTACCATTTAAGAGATATGTTACAAGCTGATATAGTCCTGGTGATGGGAACATCTTTAGAGGTGGGTCATCTATTTATAGATAACAAATTATTCTCCAGGATTTTGAATTCGGAAGAATGATACACCTCTGCCTATTACCACCCAACAATTCCATGCGATAGACTGTGGCTAACCTGGAGGTCCCGGGTTCATTCCCTGCGTTGGCCAAGAAAGTTAATCAGGATTTTCCGGGGTGGTTCTCCCCTTGTCAGTGGTGCAGGATAGAGAGCCTGGCAACATATTGTTCAGATGGTGCATAACAGAGGTCCTGACAAGGACAGCTATCTAGTCATTTGGATGGGAAAAAAATCAAGTTCCCGTGTACACATTGGCATGCACATAAAAGATCCCTTGCCAGTTGGAATGCGATATAAGGGTAGGCTATAGAGCTGCTGTCTGGGCAAAATTTCCCTCATAGTACTCTTTATGGTGTATACCCGTCCTCATTAGCCCAGTTGGAGCAGAACAGTAGGACGTTAAACCCAGACGTGTCAATCCCCAGGTATGAAAAAACAGGAGACCAGATATGAAAAAACAGGAGAATCCAGGAGATTTTTTTTTTCATCCAATAACTTCTTTTTTTTTAATCATAGGCTAATACTTTAGTACTTTTTACACCGTGCACTCGTTTTTGCTGCATACAACAATGAACAAATGAAAATTCCTTTTGGGTTTCGGGTCAATAATTTAAATGACAGAAAAAAAAAAATTTTGAAATATTTTGTGAAAATATAGATAAAATGTTACCCAAAAGACTTTAATACGGTAGTCCAAAATGTGTTTTCAGTCATATCAAAATAAATAAGAATCGGTTGTACAACAAATTAAAATTTTACAACTCAAATCCGCGAATAATAGCCAGTTAAAACTTATGAAAATCGTAATAATTTGAATGATAATATATAAAATATTTATAATCTTGATAATATCAGATAAAAAGCAGGCTACATTTAGTCGTAATTTTAAGTAGCAAATTTTAATCTGCACAACCGATAAATCCCGTTTTCTATGGCTGCAATCGCGTGAATGGAATCCCCGGAAACGTGACGTCAGAGCGGTATTTTCCCGCAAGTGTCTCCCGTACATAAATGGTAGTTGCGCTTATATTTAGATAACTTTTGAGTCAGATTATTTGCATATATTGTGATTGATATCAAAGTATTGTAATACAATCGCTAGTAATATATTTAACTGGAAATGTAATCCAAAATCGCAGATTAAAAGTCGGCTAAATTTCAGTCAATGGCTTCAGATTTCACGCTAAAGTTACGTGGCATGAAATGTTTACTCATTGCCGGAGAATTGTCAAAATCGCATAGACATGCTTTTACTAGCCATGGGATAGAATGATGGTTATGGAAAGAACCTTGTACAGGTCTCTATTTTATTTGGTACGCTCATTTACTCTGATATCATTTACTTTATTTACTCCAAACAATTCATAAACACACGTTGGGCAGTCAAGCGTACGTATTACCGGAATTATAAGTTTCCGGTCAAATTCAGCCAATCATGAGGTCGATTTATGAAACGGAAGTAAGGAAGTTACCTCCCTTTGAAAAAGTAAAACTAGAATCGGCCATATGGCCATTTTCCGTGAGAAAATTCCTCCTGCACAGGAGATCGGGAGAAAGGTCCCGAATCCGTGAGCCTCACGGAAAAAACAGGTTAGTTGACACGCCTGGTTAAACCCCACTTCAGTTTTCTGATTTGCATTTTTTTGAGTTTCGAGAATAGTTTTAAACCATCTTTTGGGATAGTTTTCTGGGATTTCAACAGAAAACTGAGTTCCTTGTGTACACATTGTTTTGCACTTAAAATCATCCTTGGCAGTTGGCATCCAATGATGAGTAGGCAGAAATGCTGTTGGCCGGGCAAAATTTCCCTCATAGCACACCGCTTGGCATCTGACCATCTTCATTAGCCTGATTGGTGCCGAAAAGTAAACCCCAATTCCATTAAATTTGCCTCTCTGCTTGGCGCTGAAGGGGGGTTGAGTGGCTGAATGCGCGTTGCATCATAAGATCTGTCATTGAGTAAAGTGGCATGGTTTCGATTCCTCGCAAGTACATGAGAAGGTGTAAGGTTGCCTGTCCAACCTTGTGGGTTGTCTTCTGTTCCTCCGGTTTCCTCCCACAGCAAATTATTGAAATCAAATTGAACCATATGTTAGTCCCGAAATGTCCTAGTTTGTGTTGACTTCACATTAAACCCAGTTTCTCCCTCTTGCTTGGCGCTGAAACATGAATTATTTTCTATGATTATCAGGTTCAACCGTTTGCTGGTATAATAGATTCCGTAAGATGGCAGGTACCTAGAATATTGTTTAATAGAGATGTTGTTGGTCCATTTAGACATCATCGTAGAACTAAAGATGTTGTAGCTGAAGGTAACGTCATATAAATATTTTATTAACAGTTGCTCATTTTTATTGAATAACAATTACTATAGTTTATGAAACTGTGACGTTTCAACCAGATTTCACAAGTTGTTATCAAGCATATTCAAATGAAATGAAATGGGATTTAATGTCCTACTGTTCTGCTCTGAACTGGGCTAATGAAGACGGGCATATGCCATACAGTGTGCTATGAGGGAAATTTTGCTCGGACAGTTGCACTATGGTCTACTTTAATATCAAATTCTAACTGTCAAGGGATCTTTTATGTGCACGCCAATGTGTAGAGACGGGACCTTGGTTTTTCATCCCATCCGAACGACTAGACAGCTGTCCTTGTCAGACCATCCGTCCTGCATCCGAAGATCTGGATGAACTTTATCTACCAATCCAGGGATCGAAAGCGAACTCCAGGCTAGCCAGCCAGCATCTTACTCACTTAGACCACTGAACCACTGTAACCCCTACATATATACACAAATAGATAAAAGTGTGTTATTTTATTATGTTCCAATTACTATAATATATTTTATTACCAGTTGTTCATTTTGGATAAAAGTTGTTTTGTAATCTGTCTTAGTAATATGTAGATATTTGCTTACAATAATGACGACATGGGGGGTTCAAAATAATATCCCATAGTATTGTCCTGTATAGACAATGACACCAGCTATCATAAACAACCATACAAGAGTTTCCCAGGAGTTAATCAAGGCAGTGGGCCAAGAAGAATTTCCAGATTTTCTCCTCCATTTCCTACTTGGTAGGGCCAGGTTCATGGTCTTATTCCCTGGGATGAGACAACAAAACTGTTGTTAAGTTACTGGGATGAGACAAGGAAACTGTTGCCTGGTCACTGGGATGAGACAAGGAAAGTGTTGGCTGTAGTCACTGGGCTGAGACAAGGAAAGTGTTGGCTGTAGTCACTGGGATGAAGCAAGGAAAGTTTTGTCAATTCATTGGGATGAGGCAAAGACATTATTGCCCAGTCAAGGAAAGTATTGCCAAGTTACTGGAATGAGACAAGAAAATTGTTGCCTGATCATTGGAATGGGACTAAAATTGAACGCTAACACTTGGATTACACGTAAATGAACCCTAGACATGGTTTAAATACAATAACCCATGTTAATCTCAAAATGACAGAGTCCTTTCCTTATTATTTTTTGTCCCCCGTCTTTTGTCCGTCACACTTTTTGGGACACAATAACTCTCTTTCTAATTGAGCTAGAATGTTCAGTCTTAGTGTAGGTATTTATTAGGTCAATGCCTTGATGGAGTTCGAAGATGGGCATTTTCTGCTTAGGGTAAGCAGAGATAAGCAGTTTGATTGGTTGATGCTTTGGGACACGATAACCTTACTTCTAATTAAGTTAGAGTGCTGAAACTTGGTGCGTAGTTTCATTACATCAATACCTTGACTGAGTTCGATAATGAGCATTTTCTGCTCAGGGTAAGCAGAGCGATAAGCAATTTGATTGGCCGAGACTTTGGGACACAATAACTCTCATTCTCATAGAGCTAGAATGTTCAATCTTGGTGTAGGTGTTTATGAGGTCAATGCCTTGATGGAATGCGAAGATGAGCTTTTCTGCTTAGGGTAAGCAGAGATAAGCAGTTTGATTGGTTGATGCTTTGTTACACGATAACTTTAGTTCTAATTAAGTGAGAGTGATGAAACTTGGTGCGTAGTTTCATTACATCAATACCTTGACTAAGTTCGATAATGAGCATTTTCTGATTAGGCTAGGGAGCGATAAGCATTTTGATTAGTCAAGACTTTGGAACATAACAACTCTGCTTCTAATTGAGGTAGAATGTTTAAACTTGATGTAGATGTTCATCTTGACTGAGTTCAATGATTAACATATCAAGCTAACGCTAAGCAGAGATAAGCAATTTCCTTTGTTGTTGCTTTGGGATAAGATAAATTTGATTCTATCTGATAGAGAGTGTATAGTTGATAATCAGTATGATTGCTCGATACTTTTGAAAAAAATAAATGTGCGATTAATTAATATGTGTCATCTATTTATTTTGGGATTTCGGCGGGGGACATCAGCCTCACTGTTGACTTGTTTAACTTGATATTGATGTAAAACCGGCCATTATTTTCACTTCAGGAGATATTTTACAAACTATGCAGAAGTTTGCAACAATGATTGGTTGGTCAGATGAAATGGTAGAAATTATAACCCAATCAGAAGGTAGCTATAATGTGGTAAGTACAACATATTTGATCTACTTTTATATTTCTACAACACGTCAATTTTATTATGCACTTTGTGATTTTAAAAATGTTAAAATTTATTCCAACACCCCGGCTACACATGCTTCCATGGTGTTTTGAACAGCAATAAGCATATGTTGTATATTACTGCTGTCTATTAAATATGCTTTGCTAAAATGACCTTTGTGTGTGTGGGTGGGTGTGTGTTGGGATGACTGAATGGTTAGCACATACGCGTTGTATCATAAGGCCTGTCATTGAGTCAACTGGCGTGCTTTCGATTCCCCAGGATGTACGTGACAAGGAGGAGGGTCGCCTGTTCAACCTCGTGGGTTTTTTCCGGAACCTCCGGTTTCCTCCCACTGCTAAAGACCCCTACAAGTAAGCGAATTATGGAAATAAAATTGAACCAAATGTTAGTCCTGAAATGACCTAGTTATGGAAATAAAATTGAACCATATGTTAGTCCCGAAATGACCTAGTTTGTGTCAAGTGGACGTTAAACCCCATTTCTCTCTCCCTATCTCTCGTGGGTTTTCTCCGGGTCCTCCGGTTTCCTCCCACTGCTAAAGACCCATACGCGCAAGCGAATTATTGAAATAAAATTCAACCATGTGTTAGTCCCGAAATGACCTAGTTTGTGTCAGTGGATGTTAAACAGCTATTAATTACTTTGAAGGTGATATATATAAATATTTTAAGTACAAGAACCCTGTCAATATTTTCCTCATAGCCCACTGTATGGCATACACCAGTTGGAGCAGAACACGTTAAACCCAATTTCATTTATATTCAATTGACATAAATTTAATAACATGATAATTTTGTCAAGAAAACGTGTCTATATATGTATATAGATGTTCAATGAATTCTTTATTATTGTAAATTTACAGACTCCAAGAAGAAAAATGTAAAAAAACAAGGTGATAAAAGCATGATATTTGTTTCACTGCTTGCTATATAAATAGAAATCGTAGGATGATGGTTCTAAATAATAATTTATATTTATTAAGATAGCTTGGCTTGGGCATGATATATTGGTGATGGTAATTAGTATTGATTACAGGATCTTGAAGGAGAAGGGGAGGCAAAAATAAAATAGCACTTGTTACATACTAAAACTTAAAGGACAATATTGGTGCCAGTCACTATCACATATGTGATAGAACTGGTTAAACAATCGGAAATGACGAACTCAAAAGGAAAACACGAGTTATCCCTCTATATAACTGACTGAAGTGATGAGTGATAACAGATACATGGGCGAATTTCTGCTCACTAATAATTCCTTCGAAGACCAAAAGTTGTTATATGAGACTGTAAGAGTATATCTTTCAATTCAAAAAAGTAATTGAATGTCATTAGATAAGAGAACACAAATAAAATAGAAACAGCCTGTACATTCACGCATGTTTATTCATTCTATCCTCATAAAAACATGGTAATGCACAGACTTTTTCTATTTTTCTTTCATGTTCCCTTATCTAGTCAATTTTTTTTGTGAATTGTCAGATATCCTTTCACAGTCTCACACAACAACTTTTGGTCTTCAAAGGAATTATTAGTGGGCAGAAATTCGCCCATGTACCTGTTATCACCTGTCACTTCAATCAGTTATATAGAGGGATAACTCGTGTTTTCCTTTTGTGTTCGTCACCTCAGATTGTTGAAACATTGATTACTCATCTATCGTAGCAATGATCTCTGTGATAAAATAATATTTGGAATGTGTTTAACCAGTTCTATCACATATATGATAATGACTGGCACCAATATTGTCCTTTAATAGACTAGGTATATATTCCTCAGTACCATACCCAATCCCCCGGACCAGACCCATACCCAATCCCCCGACGGGTCCCATACCAAATCCCCCAACCAATCCCATATCCAATCCGCCAACCAATCCCCTATCCTATCTCCCAACCAATCCCATACCCCATCCCCTTTGACCAGATCCAGACCCCAATATCAGGACCAGTCCCATACCCCATCCCCATGACCAGTCCCATACCCCAATATCTGGACCAGCCCCATATCCTATCTCCCTGGCCAGTCCCATACCCCAACCCTTGACCATACCTGTACACCATACCCCTGTTTCATGGACTAGACCTGACAATATTTTGATGGTGCATTATCCGAAGCATCTAATGTTTATATTTGTATGTAAGAGTTAGTAACCAATTTAAATAATTCTTTTAATAATGGAGCCTCTGTGGCTAGGTGGGTAAGACGCTGGCTCGCTAGCCTGGAGGTCGCATGTTCGATCCCTGCATTGGCCGAGAAAGTTCATCGGGATTTTCTGACGTGGTTTCCCCTTGTCAGTGGTGCAGAATGGAGGGCCTGAAAAGGACAGCTGTCTAGTCCTTCGGATGAGACAAAAAACCAAGCTCCCGTGTATACATTGGAATGCACGTAAAAGATCCCTTGGCAGTTGGAATTCGATCTAAGAGTAGGCGATAATGCTGCTGCCTGGGCAAAGTTTCCCTCATAGCACACTGTATGGCGTATGCCCGTCTTCATTAGCCCAGTATAGGAGCAGAACAGTAGGACATTAAACCCCATTTCATTTCTTTTAAAAATAAATGAAGGCCTTCTTAAAGTACCCACTTTTACCCATAATATTAACATGATTTGGTGAGATATATTACTATTTGTTTTATGATCAGTAGTGGAATACCGCGTTTTATCAGTGAAATAAAAGTGTTATTCCACTGGCTAGCTGTTTTTACCTAAAATGATTGTAAAATCATAAAATAAATAGAACATTTGTCGTTTTGTCGTGAATAACATGTTTTATTTCATTTCTAAGCAAGAAAACGTTTATATTTTCACTCATGCTACGCATTCGTGAAAATATAAGTTTTCTTGCTTCTCGATGAAATAAAATATGTTATTCACTCTAAAACGACAAATATTCTCCATTTATTAAGTTTTTATGATGATGAGAGGTCAATCTGATTGAAATACAGATCTATATTTCATTTCGTTTTTTATACTTCCGATAGCCTACACCAGTTGTACTGGGAGGTCGCATCAGGGATCATATGAGCGGCTTTTGACCCTATGACGTCAGGCATTGATTAATCAATCAGCGTTGATGTTTCTAGGCCATAACAAACTGTTTCATTGACTAATTCCTCATACCATTCAGAACACGTCAATGATAAGAACTCTTCCAGATCCTTGTGTAGTAAAGACAAGTAAAACAAAATTTTGAAATATAAAAAGCAAAACGAAATATGATCTGTGTTTTAATCAGATTGATGAAAGGTTGAAATTTATAGAATTGTTATGAAATCTGTGGGCACTATAACTTTAGGGTCATGTAGAGAATGATGTATGGTAGTTGTTTTGAGTCGTTTATGAAATCTGTGGGCACTATTTCTTTAGAATTTTGTGGAGAATGAGCGATAGTTACTTGAGTAGTTTATAGCAAAATTTAGAATTGTATGTTAGTGGTATACAGTGTCCTGATGATCAAGGCTGCATGTCATGGGACTCTTCTAGTGTGTGGGTAATCTAGATGATGTATATATATATATATACAACACCTGAAATTGCACTGGAAAGAAAAAGCTAAAAAACACATGTGGTTGTGTTGGTCTTCAGAATCTCAGTTGGCGAGTTGACATGGTTTCGATCCCAAGGTGTAGGGATGGGCAAATGGTTAGCATGTGCATGCTGTATCATAGGGTCTGTTAGTGTGTCAACTGGCATGGTTTCAATTCCCCGGTTGAATGTGGCGAGGATTAGGGTCGTCTGTCAAACCTTGTGGGTCTTCTCCGGGTCCTCCGGTTTGCTCCCACTGCTAAAGACCCCTGCGCGCAAGCGCATTATTGAAATAAAATTAAACCATATGTTAGTCCCGAAATGACCTAGTTTGTGTTGAGTGGACGATAATTATACCCAGACCTGAACATGCCATGAATATATTCTATTTATATGTTTATATATGGGGGGTTGGGTGGCTGATTGTTTACACGTACGTGTTGGATCAGTAGGTTTGTCATTGCATCAAGTGGCATAAGTTCGATTTCCCGCTTGTACGTGACAAGAAGTAACGTCGCTTGTCTAAAAATGTGTGTTTTCCAGGATTCTTCCGGATTCCTCCCACTGCTATAGACCCCTACGTGGAAGCGAATTATCGAAATAAAATTGAACCATATGTTAGTGTTGAGTGGATGTTAAACCCCATCTCTCTCTCTCTCTCTCTCTCTCTGTTTATATTTGAATATATTGTATGTTTACAGGGTACTGTCACGATTCCTACAACAACAACGACAGACAATAAACAAACGAAAGAAAAAGATGTCATCAAAGATCCTTTCGTCAACGCAATCTGGAGACAAAATGCCACATTTAATTCATTTAATTACGCTAGTTCCGATTCGGAGACAGGAAGTGAATCAAGTACAAGTGAAAGTGAATCATCAGAGGATGAAAGACCCCGACCTATCCGACCTCTACGACAAATTAATAGTAGACTTTATAATAATACTAAAAATAGTGCTCCAACGAAACCGTTTTTACGCAGAGGTTCTTCACAGAATTTATCAACTACATCAAACAAACCTAGTGTTCGTAACAACAAATCCAATCCTCCTGTTAAAAAGGATCGACCCTCTCATGTTCCCATTATCAAAGAAAAAAGAAACGTTTCACCAGCCAAAGATCGGTTATCGGCCACCGGAAGTAAACCTCTCCGACCCACCAGTGAACGTTTCAGAATAATACAAGCTAAACCACCCATACCGAACTTTGCGAAAACAAGTCCCCCAAAACGTTCAGACATTGTAGGGAGTCGTTTAACTCCAAGTACTTCCCCTAAATTGGATGTTCCAAAGGAAAGTGGTTCTCAGAGAGTTAAAAACAGTAACACTCATGTCTCATCAGTGCAAGTATTTCGAACATTACTTAATCGTAGTGGTTCAGCTGATCTACCAAAGTTACGATTACGTGAGAAACTGGGGGCTAGAAAGATCGTGGAAAGTTCAAGTAGTGAGTCGGTCAATGGTACATCAGGATCCGGGTCTTGATGTTTGTTTCACATTTAGGCTCACGAAATATATTGATATATACGTTGCAATACTGAACTTATATCATCATATCACGAAATATATTGATATATACGTTGCAATACTAAATTTATATCATATCACGAATAGAAATCTTTAATCTGATTAAAACACAGATCTTATTTCATTTCGTTTCTTATTGTTCAATGAAATATAGATCTGTATTTTAATAACATTGATAAATCTTGACATTATTTAAATCTGTGATTATATTATTCAAACTTGTGTTTTTTCAATAGTTGATATAATTATATCACTGTGGCTTCAATAGTTGATATTATTATACCACTGTGGGTTCAATAGTTGATATAATTATACCACAGTGGTTTCAATAGTTGATATAATTATACCACAGTGGTTTCAATAGTTGATATTATTATACCACAGTGGTTTCAATAGTTTATATTGTTATACCGCAGTGGTTTCAATAGTTGATATTATTATACCACAGTGGTTTCAATAGTTGATATTATTATACCACAGTGACTTCAATAGTTGATATTATTATACCACAGTGACTTTAATAGTTGATATTATTATACCACAGTGGTTTCAATAGTTGATATTATTATACCACAGTGGTTTCAATAGTTGATATTATTATACCACAGTGGTTTCAATAGTTGATATACCACAGTTTATACCACAGTGGCATGCAGAGGTTTGATGATTCCAGGGGCGAGCGCCTTGATTATATGCCCCTCGAGTCTCAAGTAAAGCATCAAGCAATACTGAGAATTGGGAGAAATAAAGACATTTATTTATGTCAACACACATGAAATAAACTTTTTATTTGAATTAAGTAGGGATATCAGTTAACATCAGTAATTAAATTGGATGCCCCCTGAAATGGTTGCTCTGCTTTGCATGCCACTGTTATACTACTCTTTGATTCAATGCCCCCTGAAATGGTTGCCCGGGGATACCCTCCGTTCTGCTCACCCATCGTTATACCAAGTTATGTTAAGTGCCTTATTTTAAAATATATTAACAAACTTCAAATGTATAAAAAATACCAAACAAATTGTTTGAAGACCACAATCGCCACAAAATTTATTATGTTATGCTATTAGTCGATAGTATTGTGATTAATAAATCAGCACTTCTCTACAAAATTTTTAAAAACCCATGTGATTTATTTGTCCGATATTAATATTGCTGATCGCCATCGGATAATACTTCTAGACATACACTCTAAAGATGCATTATGTAAGAGCTAAATCTGTCTATTGCAGGGGGGTTGGATGTCCAACCTCGTGGGTTTTCTCCTCGTCCTCCGGTTTCCTTCCACTGCTAAAGACCCCTACGCGCAAGTGAATTATGTAAATAAAATTAAACCATATGTTAGTCCCGAAATGACCTAGTATGTGTTGAGTGGACGTTAAACCCCATTTCTCTCTCTCTCTTTTATCTAAATCTTACGTAATGCATCTTGAATTAACATTAAACTTTGATTATTTAACGTTTAATCAAGAAAACAAAGTTCTAAATATATGAAGATCACCTCCTGGTTTGGATTATAACAATATGTATGGAAAGGGCTACTCTAAGTTTTTGAAACTTGTGCTTGATCTTTCTGATATCTGTCAATAAAAAATGTTTAAACTAATCGTTCCTTGCATAATACAAAAGCAATCGAAAATGAAATGGGGTTTAACGTCCTACTGTTCTGCTCTGACTGGGCTAAAGAGGACCATCAAAAGATTTCAGCGAAAATGAATAGGTGGCACTGCCTTGTGTTGATCATATCCTATATGTTGTCTGTGGATGCTGGGAGATCACGTGGGTAAGACGCTGGCTCGCTAGCCTGGAGGTCGGGTGTTCGATCCCTGCATTGGCCGAGAAAGTTCATCCAGATTTTCTGGCGTGGTTTCCCCTTGTCAGTGATGCAGGACGGAGGGCCTGACAAAGACAGCTGTCTAGTCGTTCGGATGGGATGGAAAACCGAGGTCCCGTGTACACATTGGCGTGCACGTAAAAGATCCCTTGACAGTTGGAATTCGATATAAGAGTAGGCTGTAGTGCTGCTGTCCGGGCAAAATTTCCCTCATAGCACACTGTATGGCGTATGCCCGTCTTCATTAGCCCAGTTCGGAGCAAAACAGTAGAACGTTAAACCCCATTTCATTTCATTTCTGTGGATGCTGATTGTTGTGAAATTTTTAATTCATCATATCTTTGTAAATACTGAACGGAAACAAACCATTCTTGGAACGATATTTTTTTGCTATATGAAGAATCCAGGGGAAGAACGATCTAAGTCACATTTTTGTCTTTCCGCATAAAACGTTGAAACCTTATAGACGAGAATGCTTAACACAACTGGCAGGCAATTACAGAAAGCCCTGGTTCGATTTAACGCCACATGATTTTACCTGATATTGATTGTTCCACAGAAAGCTTATACAATTTGCTACCAGATGGCGCCATTAACTGGGTTTTTGGAAAAAGTGACTTAGGTCGTTCTTCCCCTGGGCTCTTCATATATTTTATTTCCCACAATCTTGTACGACACGCAATTGGCTCATAGATTACATGCTGGATTAAAAGATTATCCAATATAACACCTGTATAATATCTATTATATCTATTCAATAGTAACTTAATGTGGAATAAACTTTATTTGAATATCGTTTTGTATAATATTCATAACTTTATTATATTCTCTGTGCTTTAGTATGGGTTTATATATTCTAGTATTACAAGTTAAAACTGTTTTCTGTATTCAAACTTACTGGTATATAAAAAATAACAATTATTTCCACAACAAAAGATAATTCGGGTCAAATAAAACTTTTCCATTTGTAGATCGTAAGACGGAACTTATTGTTAGACTAAATAAATCTTAAACATTTTGAACAATTAAATGGTCGTATTTAGAAATCGTAGATCAAATATAAAAAGATTCTATTTCTAGATCTATATAACTATTTTACAGTAGGTAGTTTGTGAATTATTAATATTCTTATATTCTAGAACATGAAACAGATAATTGGTTTTAACAAAAGAACTTTCCCCCGTGAATAAGTGTACTAGATTTGGTGAAGCATTAAATGTGTATTATAACAGTAAACTGTGTAAATAGGTCTATAATAATACGCCACATAAACCAGTTCTTAAAGTCTCTCTGAATTTTATCTGGTTTTTAAATGTTTATTTTATATTTCAACTGTGAAATGGGTTAAACCGGTAAACTGTATAAATACCACTTGGAATAAATTGTGTCTCTACGTATTTAAATTATACTATAATATATTGATTCACTAGATTCAACTATCACAATATTGCCCGTCTTCATTAGCTCAGTATAGGAGCAGTAGGATGTTAAACCCCATTTCATCACAATATTGTTGTTTCCATCAAATGATGATTACAATTATATTGAATTCCAACTGCCAAGGGTTCTTTTACATATATGCCACTGTGTACAGAGGACCTTGGTTTTTCTTCCCATCCAAACAACTATACATTATCTCTTGCCAGGGGGGGTTGGATGGCTGAATGGTTAGCGTGCGTGCGCTGTATCATAAAGTCTGTCACTGAGTCAGTTGGCGTGGTTTCGAATCCCCGGTTGTACGTGACAAGGAGTAGGGTCGCCTGTCCAACCTTGTGGGTTTTCTCCGGGTCCTCCGGTTTCCTCCCACTGCTAAAGACCCCTATGCGCAAGCGAATTATTGAAATAAAGTTAAACCATGTTAGTCCCGAAATGACCTAGTTTGTGTCAAGTGGACGTTAAACCCCATCTCTCTCTCTCACTGTGTACAGAGGACCTTGGTTTTTCTTCCCATCCAAACAACTATACGTTGTCTCTTGCGAGGGCCCCCGTCCTGCACCACTGACAAGGGCGAACCACGTCGGAAAATCCTGATGAACTTTTTCAACACTGAGATCGAACAAGAACCGCCAGATTAACAAAGCTGATGTCTTACACACCACTGTCTTACTCACTGAGCCACTGTGGCTCCATGATGTTTCCAGGAGATTAACAATTTATCAAATGACGGATTGGAGACTTTATCCTAGATGAGGGGGGTTGGATGGCTGCATGCTTTATCATTAAGTCTGTCATTGAGTCAACTGGCGGGGTTTCGATTCCCCGGTTGTACATGACAAGGAGTAGGCATGCCTGTCCAACCTCATGGGTTTTCTCTGTGTCCTCTGGTTTCCTCACACTGCTAAAGACCCATACTGCTAAAGACCCATACGCGCAAGCGAATTATTGAATAAAATCAAACCATACGTTAGTCCCAAAATGACCTTGTTTGTGTTGAGTGGACATTAAACCCCAATTCTCTCTCTCTCTCTCTCTCTCTCTCTCTCTCTCTCTCACTCTCTCTTTATCCTAGATGATCATTCGATTTATTTCTAATCTATATTTAGCATTATTGTTTATTGAACAATGTCAAATTGCCAAATATTTACCAGGGTCAATCTTCAGTTTACTTCTAATATATATTAAGCATTATATTTTTAATAACACTGTCAAATAATATGATTTGTCTATAAAAATATATTTATTTTCTATACATTGTTTTGTTGTTTTTTTTAACTTGACATTGGTTGATCAAGTGTTGTTTTTTTTTACATGTATATATTGTCATGTGATATTTTTGATCATTGATTGATAATGACTAGAGAAGGGGGTTAAAATCAGTCAGTTTTTTAAGGCGAGCGAACACTCTCGAGCGTCTGCCGCTCACCTGAATGTCGACAGAGGGGAGGTTTTTCTCCCTCTCCTTAAAAATGAAAATCGCTCTCCATTAGAAAGTCATGAGGGGTTTATTATCATTTATGAAACCAGGAATGGCCCTGCTAACATGCACACAACTAATCACTCTCCTTAATATTATTAGATCACTCTCCTTTATTTCTAAATCACTTTTCTTATCGAAACTGGGAGAGCTTTTTTAGGGGAGCGATTTATTCAATCTGTTGACTGAGGGGGGCTTTTTTTTGGCCCTCCTCTAAAATACAAACAACAACGACTGGAAAAATGGTTTATCTATTAATTATAAGTGGCCCGATTCCTGATGTTTGTTAAACTAACTTGATGAATGATTCACAAGCACACACAATCAGCAATCAATTTGGTGGTACTATAGCAGAAAATATCCTCAGACACTCTGAAGAACTACCGGTAAGATACATTTAAACATACATTATGCAAGAGCTAAAACTGTCTATTGCAGGCCTTTCTTTAGGCCTGAAATGTTATATAAACTATTGATTAGACATTAATTAACTTATCCAGACCATAATCAACTCTTGATTTAGGTTCCGATTTGCTGTTTGATTTCCATTCATGATTTAATCATGAAATGGATAATTGAGACTATGTTTTTTATTTTTTATAGGATGACCTTAAACACCGTGTATAAATTTAAAGTCAATCGGATATTAACTTTAGCCTCTAGAGCATCCACAGGCAATTGTGGACGCCGGATGGACAAACGGGGGCGACGACAATATACGACCACATTATACGATCGCATTTGAAAATTTGGAATTTCGCATTTGGAATTTGGAATGAGCCTTCTGGGCTTTCGTAGGCAGGCCCAGGCATCAGATAGGTAAACTAGCACTTAATTAGTTGTGTAAAATTACAATTTATTTAATTTGGGGGGGGGGGCTGCCAATTTTCGATTTTATTGGTAAGACATGAATTTGGAATTTGAAATTTCGTATTTGGAATTTGGAATGAGCCTTCTGGGCTTTCGTACATACCGTGGATACAACAAAATAAAATAAGCCGGTAAAAAAAATATGAATGGTGTCAATTTGCCCAGAATAGATCAAGTTAAACTATTAACTAATCATACATAGGCCTAGTGTTGAGCATGGGTTGTCGAGAACAGGGCCCTTATTCACGAAAACTTAAACTAAGTTACAATCGAAATTTTAAGAAATACTGCAACTTCATTGGATATATCCAAATTGATTTTACTGGTCAGCCAATCGAAAGGAAGTATTTCTTAAAATTTCGATTGTATCTTAGTTTAAGTTTTCGTGAATAACGGCCCAGATACGTTTACATCAGAGTGAGAAGAAAGGGGTTTATCATCCACTCGGAACACTTAGGTCATTTCGGGACTGTATAAACTTACATATACAGTGTAATATAATAACGGTGTAAAGAACAGAGACATTATTAAACAGGGCGTCTAAAATAGCTAAATGATAAAATAAACATACAGGATGAAATATGATGTATAATAAAAATATATATTGTATATCTAATTATTACTGTGGTTCATATAATCATAGTGCAGATTTTATGCAAGAACTGAATGTGCATATACTGTAGTTCTATTTCTCGTTTGGCTTATATACAATATTTTTAGGCATTTGTTCGCCTGATAAGTCTATAATCAACCGTCTAGACCATCGGATAGCCATGATTTTAAATGGATTAGAACATCCGCTCCATTTATCAATTTATGGTTAAAATGGATAATGGAGTCTTTGTTTATTTTTGTAGCAATGGTACTTGCGAATCAAGACTATATTGTCAAAACTTTAAATACTCATAACTTAGCCCAGACTAAAGTAATTTGACTGACATTTTCAGCATATTATTCATTTTATATTATCTATTCTTGGAACTATTATATTAATAACGACCATCTCTTTATCTAAATCTTACACAATGCATCTTTATAATAGCGGAGGTTAAACTATCAGCAGAATTAAAGATATACATTATGTAAGATTTATATAAAGAACTAGCCATTCTTGCTATAATAGTTCGAAAGTAGATGATGTAAAAGAATAATTTGAAAATTTCATTCAAATTACTCTATTGAAAGCGAAGATATTAGCCTTTGAAGGTTTGACAGACGTGTGCAATAATTTCAACCACCGTACTGGTTGATCGAAGCTAAGTATCGCTTAAATCAAAGTATCGCTGAACCATTCTAATCTATTTAATATTGGAGAAATCTGATGCCATCGAGAGTTGATTAAGGCCTGGATCAGTTAATTAATGTATAATTAATACTTTAGAAAACATTTCAGGCCCAAAGAAAGATATTTAGCTCTTGCATAATGCATGTTTAAATAACGAGTTTGCTAGGAAGTTACTAATATTAATCTTTTCAAGTATTGGCTATCTAAATTTAGTTGTGACATACATTGACAGAATAATTCATTGTTCCCTATAAGTTAGCTGTACTTTGTTTAGGAAAAGATTATGCGTACTTTCCAGGACACATCACATGCAAGTTATATCATAATAAATTTGATTAATTCCTAGGACGGTCCTTTCCGTATTGTGCGATATCATTTCAAATATTTTTGTCTCGAGAACTGTGGGGTATTGTCGATATATATTTGTGTCAGAGACGCCGGATAAAAACTATTTGTAAGATAGTGCACGTTGTTCTAGGAACTGTCAAACAGTGGTGTGAATATAATATATTTGTGTCAGAGAGGCCGGGTAACTTACAAAGACACTAGTTGTAAGATAGTGCACGTTGTTTTAGGAACAATAAGATTGGAGTTTCTATTTCTAGAACATTTTATTATATTATTATTGGATCAGGGGTTGTCGAGCATCAGGGGAGCTGGTGGTGTGTAAAAGATAAGTTACAGTAAAGATTTTAAAAGATAAATAGTTAAAATGGCTCTTATTGGTTCATTGGATATTCTGGAAAGCAAATTATTATCCCTCTTTCTTTTGCTGATTCTGACTTTCATTTTTGGCTTTTTGCCGTTTTTTGTACTTATAAAAAGTCGGGTGGCATGTTTACGATTTGAAACATATGAAACAATTACCTATCTGCTGAATTCCTTCGCTGGAGGAGTTTTCCTTGGAACGTGTTTGTTACATTTGTTAGCGGAAGGAAGGGAAGAATTGGAACTAGCTCTCGAGTTATATGGAATTCCTACGGATTATCCTCTTTACGAGGCAATCGCTGCTGTCGGGCTTTTTATTATTGTGATTATCGATTTTGTTGCTCATTTCTTTCTTAACCGGCGTTCACCAAAAACTGATCGCACTGATGAACTGAAGCGTCCCCGACAACATCAACGTTATACAAGATATGATTCACTTTTAGGTAAAGAGGAAATCAGTTCGGATAACCAAGGTGCTGTAACCATGGAACCAGAGATTACGTCATATGGAGGCCGAGTGCGTTCTGATTCGAACCGTTCTGATTCGAACCTATCCCACGCACATGATCTTTTTCAGCTAACAAACATCCAGTCGATGACTAAAGTTGTGTTACTGTTAATAGCTCTATCGTTTCAAACAATATTTGACGGTTTGCCCGTAGGACTACAGGTCTCGTCAGCGAATGTTTGGGAATCCATGATAGAGGTAAGCTTACACAAGAGCCTGGTGGCTTTTTGTCTGGGGATTCAGCTCTTCAACATATATATCTCTAAACCTGGTCTGGCCGTTGGTTTACTCTTCTTCTTTTCCCTAATGTCACCCCTCGGCCTAGCCATTGGGATCGGAAACACTACCGGTCATATTCAAAATGCCCCCATATTACTCTCGTCATCCATTTTACGAGCCATTGCTACAGGGACATTCTTGTACGTAACGTGTTTTGAGATTCTGCGAGAGTGTTTCGTGGTTAGAAGAAGTATTTGGAATATTTTAATGGCAGTTGTTGGATTTGGTGCTATGGCGGCGGTTAAATGTATTGGCACCGATTAAAATCTTGTCTTGACAGTCATTGTTACCGTTTTCTGTTTGTTAATTGTTTTATTGGCCATGGTGTCGTACAGTATGATCATCCCACCCGTATCAACAAACACGATTGAAGGTCCGAAGTTTGTTTGTGTATCCCATTTTTATTTGTCGCTGTACCGACTGGACATATACTCGGGGTCCACTCATTGTGCATATTGGCATGCACGTAAAAGAAACCATGCGCTAGAGCAGAGAATATTTTTTTTCTCTTCTACATTCAAGCACTACTTATCTTGTTGTTCTTCTGATTCTTGGAGGCGACACATGTTGGCATGCGTGTTCCTTGGACGACTGCGCGTGATTGGATGACTTAAATGTTTTATATGCTATCACCATTCCAAGATGGCGGCGATAACGTCATGTTATATTATTACCCAAAGCCTTGAGCATGTTCCAAACATCTCAACATTTATCAGCTTTTTGTTCAATCTATAAAAGCCTACATTCCTACAAAATGTTTTGTTTAGTCAAGTGAAACAAGAAATGGATAAATGGAACAATAGGACAATTAGTACACCTTAATGTCGACAAATACGTAAAACTATGAAATTAGATACTTTTATGATATGATCCTATATATGCAACATAGATATATAATATCTACATTCAAGTTAAACGAACTGCATCTATTCATTTTAAGTCTTCCGTCGAGCTGAATAAAGTATATGATTTATTGTCATTAAGCATCTATAACAGTGTGTAACTAAAAACTAGGATTGGATCTTTATTGCCAACATTTCAATGTACCTAGAATTTTCAACACCAAGTCTATTGCATCTAGATGTTTAAAGCCCGTTAACAATATTATATTCATTTAAGAGCAACTATATGTCATTTCGGGATTAATATACCACATAATATTATTACAAGTCATACCCAAACGGAAAGAAATGACGATTAATTAAAATTCAACCATTTTGGATTTCATTTTTGCCGGCCATTTTGAATTTGTACCATCAAGAATTCTCGGAATTAAATTTTTGAGATTATCGCTGCCCTTTTATTACCAAATTAATGTTGTTTCTTTTTTTTTCATTTTTATTTTTTTTTAAAATGGTATTATGTTACCAAATTTGGCAGTCATTTTGAAAGAAATGCCCGCCACCAAATGACAAATACATTTTTTTAATTGATGTTTATCAAATTCGATTTTTCTACACATTTCGCTTGCATAACCACTCTGTGTTTGAGAAATTTAAAAAGAAGTTATTTATCTTCTCACCACTGAAAGACACTCAGTACGAGATATCGCTCTCCGATAATTCCTGAAGAACGCCAAATTGAATTCTGTTAATCATGTCATTTTGCCATGGCCGATTTTGAGTATGATTTTGTCTGACATATTTATCATTGAATGAAACTGCATTGTTTTTTTTTTGCAATTTGTTTAGGACCCGTTAAACGTTATACCCCCCAAAAAATTAAAACGTTTTGTTAAGTAAAGCTACATGTATATCAAAGCCGTATATAGATAAAGTTGCAACAACTGTGAAGCCAGAAATTTCATATGACGTCATGAAAATATGATGTTAAGTGCACAAAGACGCCATTTTGGGTCCCAAGTATTTGTACCTACTCACTATCTATTTTCATGTCCTATCATACTGTTGTGTCGAAGTTAGCTGCCCCCGACAGGGATGTAGATAGATATGTCATAGAATTCCGCGAAAAAGAGATAAAACATACATTTTTTAAACGAAAAGTATAGCTGAACAAACTATTATTATTATTTTTATTATTATTATTATTATCATTATAGTCTAATAAAATAAAAGATACACCAGATAAAAGCGCTATTAAATATATTTAACTTTCATACGCTTTTTAAAATCTGATTTTTTTGTGCAGACGGGTAAAGTGAAAAATGAAAATTTAAATAGTAATTTGGGGGATAAAACTATTTTGCCTTCTAGCCGGCAAAATAAATGTCTTAAATTCCATGAATTTTTGGTCATCGATCATTAATTGTATCATCAATTTCTCGAAAAAAGAAATTTCTTTAAATTGACTAATGGATAAAACATTTAAAATCAGTGTAATTTAAATAAAAGGTGTCTAGCGTGACATGTGTTTCGGGCATATTATGTTTCATAAGTGACATGAGATACGAGATATCGCTCTCCGAAACTTCTTGGTCTCTTTTGCAATTTGTTTGGAGTAAGACGTTATCACTCCCCGTCCATGTGTAAATAATAATATTAATAAATATATAAACCGCACATATTTAACAGATACGTACACATAATGTACAAATCGCCTCGAGCATGTTCCACACATCTCACTATAAAAGCCTACATTCCTACAAAATAAGATATTTATATGATATGATTCAACCGAAAGATCCTATGCACCATGGATATATAATATCTACATTCAAGTTAAACGAACTGCATCTATTCATTTTAAGTCTTGCGTCGAGCTGAATAAAGTATATTAAAACATCTATGGGTGGTTAACAGTGTGTAACTAAAAACTAGGATTGGATCTTTATTGCCAACATTTCAATGTAGCTAGAAGTTTTTACACCTTGTCTATTGAATCTAGATGTTTAAAGCGCGTTAACAGTATATTCATATTAGAGCAACTATGTCATTTCGGGATTAATATACCACATATTACAAGTTATACCCAACGGAACAAAATGACGATTAATTAAAATTGCACCATTTTGGATTTCATTTTGCCGGCCATTTTGAATTTATACCATCGAGAATTCTCGAAATTAAATTTTTGAGATTATCGCTGCCCTTTTATTACCAAATTAATGTTGCTTTTTTTTCATTTTTTTTTAAAATGGTATTATGTTACCAAATTTGGCAGTCATTTTGAAAGAAATACATTTTTTTAATTGATGTTTATCAAATTCGATTGTTCGACACATTTCGCTTGCATAACCACCCTGTGTTTGAGGAATTTAAAAAGAAATTATTTATCCTCCCAGTCCCACCACTGAAAGACACTGAGTACGAGATATCGCTCTCCGATAATTCCTGAAGAACGCCAAATTGAATTCTGTTAATCATGTCATTTTGCCATGGCCGATTTTGAGTATGATTTTGTCTGACATATTTATCATTGAATGAAACTGCATTGGGGTTTTTTTTGCAATTTGTTTAGGACCCGTTAAACGTTATACCATAGAATTCTATGGTTATACCAAGAAAAAAATAAAACGTTTTGTTAAGTAAAGCTACACGTATATGACGCCATGACGTCATAGTTTTTATGGCGTCATAGTTGGGACCTAAAATGGCGCCTGTAATAAGTTGTAACTTACTTTCCCTATACAGGGAGTAGGACGTTAAACCCCATTTCATTTCATTTCCCTATACAGGGCTTTGTTATTACCGTACTAGTTTAGTTATGAACTGTTATACATGCACTGGTTCGCCTCTTTATATATGTTCATATATTATTTATGTGCCATATGATTTTTATTTGATGGTTTGAGTATCCTGTGAATAAAACGCAGATTAAATTAACACCCAATACCCCTTATTTATTTAGATAGTTCATTATCGAAGGATTTCTACTTTATTTTATATATACATATAGCCTTTGTAAACATATGTTTATATTTTAAACAGTATTTATGCTAAACTTGGCTTCTTTATTATTCAGTACTGTATATGACTCTGATTAATAGGGTAATATAATACGCGCATGTTCTGTTTAACTTTATTTTATAATAGTGTAATATATATAATAAGTGAAGCTGTATAAATTTTGCACCCGTGGAATTAAGTGATATATACAATAACTGAATGTATTTATAAATGTTACACCCGTGAAATGTGTCATTGTGTTCAGTTTACGCCATAGACCATGAAATTAAGTCGTGATACTTTTACCCAAATGAAGTATTTTCATCCAAAATATAATGAATCGAACTTTACAAGTTTAAAAGCAATTTTTGGTTAACGAATAAAATACTTCTATCGCTTTTACCGCGATGCGATACCGCTTAAATTGAACTCTAGGAGAGAGGTAAGTCATGTGACACAAACATGACCTCTTTTGATCGAATTTTTTATGGTAAGGGTATTCCGTGACAATTGCAATATTTTGAGAAGGATCTGAAGCAAATTTATGATAAATTAATTAGTTCCTATATGTTTTTAGTCCTCAAATCACCCAGTTTGTAAGCGGGAATGTATCTTTAAATAAAGCAGGTGAAAATATAAAAACATCACACAGTTCATTATACCAGTTGTAAATAGGTCTGATTTTAATCATCATGTACAGTTTATATTTTAAAGTAGGGTGTGGTCATACAAAAGTAGACCGTATGATACTGCGCGCGTAGATAATGAGAATAAAATGACTTAGTTTCCAACGTTAGTTTTTTTTAATAAGTTTTGGTCATAAGAAATGGTTGAGAGATCTAGGATAGAAGTTGAAGATTACTTAACCCCGAGGGAGCCACGGTGGCTAGGCGGGTAAGGCGCTGGCTCGCTAGCCTGAAGGTCGGGTGTTCGATCCCTGCATTGGCCGAGAAAGTTCATCCCGATTTTCCGACCTGGTTTCCCCTTGTCAGTGATGCAGGACGGAGGGCCTGGCAAGGACAGCCGTCTAGTCCTTCGGATGATACGAAAAACCGAGGTCCCGTTTAAACATTGGAATGCACGTAAAAGATCCCTTGGCAGTTGGAATTCGATATAAGAGTAGGCGATAGTGCAGCTGCCCGGGCAAAATTTCCCTCATAGCACACTGTATGGCGTATGCCCGTCTTCATTAGCCCAGTATAGGAACAGAACAATAGGACGTTAAACCCCATTTCATTCCATTCCATTTACTTAACCCCGAATTAAGACCCTGATTTGTTAATCAAATTCGCCCCCGGTGTTAGCCGAGAAATTTTCTCTAGGTTTTGCCGACGTTGCTTTCACTTGTCAGTGGTGTAATACGGAGGTCCTGGCAAGGACAGTGTCGGATGGGACTACAAACCAAAGTCCAGAGTACATATTGGCGTGCACGTATAAGAACCCTAGCGCCGCTGTCCAGGAAAAACTTCCCTTATGGCACACTGTATTGCGTGTGGCGTCTTCGTTAGATCAGTCCTTGCAGAAAAGAGGGACGTTAATTTTCATTTCATTTCACTGGAAGCACCGGGGTAGAAGCTGTAGGTTCGTTAAAGGGTTGGAAGCACCGGGGTAGAAACCCTGGGTTTCGAAATTCGAAAAGATTTGAGACTCTGGGGTAGAAACTTTGGATTCTTTAAAGGATTTGAAGCACTGAGGTAGAAACTGTTGAATCGCTATGGGATAGAAACTATGGGTTCTTTAAAGGATTTGAAGTAGAAACTGGAGGTTCTTCAAAGAGTTGTATCCTGGGGCAGAAGCTGCAGGTTCTTTAAAAGGTTGGAAGCTCTAGCGTAGAAGCTGTAGGTACTTTAAAGGACTGGAAGTAGAAACTAGGTTCTTTAAAGGGTTGTACCCCTGGGACAGAAGTGGTAGGTTCTTAGTTATATCCCTGGGGTAGAAGCTGTCCTTTCTTTAAAGGTTTGGAAGCCCTGGGGTAGACGCTGTGAGATCTTTGAAGAGTTGTACCATGGGGTAGACGTCTAAGTTCTTTCAAGAGTTGTATTCCTGGGGTAGAAGCTGTTGGTTCTTTGTGGATTTGAAGTAATTTTTTAACATTTTATAACGGCAATTCAACGCGTCCCCCCCCCCCAAGAATCGGAAAGAGGGGACGAATAGGTCTCTGAGTTTAATCGCCAGGACAGATTTTCAGATTCATGTCCACATGAATTCCCCGTTCTGAAGGCTATCTAACCACTGCCTTGGGTCTCGCCACAGTTACTGATCTTCACGATATCTTCCTCCTTCATTGACCGATCGCAGCTGTTCATCAAAACAATAAATCAACCAATCAAAAAACGTCTTCCCTTTTGCGCAAGCCGGCTATATTTCATGATCTACGAAATTTGTGCAGCTTTGATGTAGGTAGTCAATGTTTCCATATCGTCATCATGTTACCCCTAGATAGAGCTGGGCGATATCCCTCGAAACAGAAGAAATGTCCAACCAGTCATCAAAGAAGTGCCGACTGAGAATTCTTCAATGTCGGGACCTGGCGCGTGGGGGTATTTAGCAGTGGGAGGAAACCGGGGGATCCGGAGAAAAGCCACGAGGTTGGACAGGCGACCCTACTCCTTGTCACGTACAACCCGAGGAATCGAAACCACGCCAGTTGAGTCAATGACAGACTTTATGATACAGCGCGCACGTGCTTACCATTCAGCCATCCAACCCCACTCCATGGTGAAAATTTGTGTAATACATAAATAATACTGAACAAAAAGTCAAATTAAACGAGTGATAGGTTTATATACTATTCAAAAAAAGTAGGGGATATTTGATTTTTAAGTGTTATTAAAGTCACCTAATGAAACTGACGAAGAAACAAATGACAAAATGAAATGAAGTTCACATTCATCGATTTATTCCAAATGATCGTTAGACTAAGTAAGGCACAGACTGACCATTATAAGGGTAAAATGATACCCGGGGTCAAACAGCAAAGTTACCACAGCATCACAACCAAGTCAGTAACGGGTAAATCCTCCTCTGTTTGCCAAACAAGCATTGATCCGACGTGGCATACTCCTAATGAGACGTCTAAGGTCATTTTGGTCCAGATTGTCCCATTCCTGTTGCAACGCAGCAGCAAGTTCTTGGACATTGGCAGGACGTTGTTGACGTTGACGTAACCTCTGTCCAAGCATGTCCCAGACATGCTCGATGGGGGAGAGGTCGGGACTCAGTGCTGGCCAAGGTAATGTGGTGATGTTCTGTTGTTGGAGGTAACCTGTAACGATCCTGGCCCTGTGACATCTTGCGTTGTCATCCTGGAAGATGAAACGGCGGCCATGACGTCGTGCGAACGGCACAACATGGACTGCCAAGATGTTGTCCCGGTAGTACTGGCCTGTAACACGCCCTGCAACAACATGTAAAGCCGTTCTTCCAGCAACAGTGATGCCTCCCCACACCATAACAGAACCATCCCCAAATCGATCATGTCTGATGACGTTAACGTCTTGGAAGCGCTCGTTTCGACGACGCCACACCCTCCTACGTCTGTCCAAAAAATCAACAGTGAACCTTGACTCATCTGAAAACATCACATTGCTCCAGCGCTAATTATCCCAGTGTTGACGATCCCTACACCAACGACGTCTTGCCTGAATGTGATGATCTCTCAAACAAGGGATCACGCGAGGACGTCGGGCGCGAAGGTGACCCCTATGCAGTCGATTCCGAATCGTCTGGCCACTCACTCTCACACCAGTGTCTGTTTGAAGACGAGCGCTGATCTGATTTGCTGTGATGACACGATTTCTCAAGGCCAAGGTACGGATAAATCGATCCTGGGCTTGAGTTGTCGCCCTTGGTCGACCTGAGCGTGGTCTGTCCTGTACAGATTGTGTATCACGGTATCTGGACCATAGCCTGCTTATGACAGACTGAGAAACATTCATCGTCCGCGCCACAACCGCCTGTGTTGTGCCGATCTGTAGCATGCCAAGGGCACGTAACCTTTCATTTTGGGTAAGCCGACGCATATCAAAATTTGTTTTCTGGTCACTAAAACAATTAAACTGATGTTTCCACCCTGGAATTCAATGCCACAATGACTGTAACATTCAAAGTCAGAGTCGTGCAAATCTTGGGTTGGACCCCCATGATGATCCCAAGCATCACCTGCATTCCATGCGGTAGCTATTGGTGCGTTTGGGCGTCACATGTAACTGGAAATGCTTCTTCTGTTAGGTTCTATAGTGACTTTTTTCGTAGTCATTTGCATATTTTAGTATTATGCCCTCAAAATCAAATATCCCCTACTTTTTTTGAATAGTATATATAATTTCATATACGTTTAGTTCTGGATTCATAACACGTCTGACACTTCTGGTGGAAAATTTCTTCTCTCCATATAAGGGTGGTTCTGCCAAATTTATATCTGATCATTTCCCGACAAGTTTTAATCTTAAGATCCAGAAACCACAACCAACAAGAAAGACTGTAACATATCGAAGGTTTAAATCACTTGACACTAATAAATTTAAAGCGGAAATAGTCAACTCGGATTTCAACGACATTCAACGCATTCAAGATATACAAGAGAAGGCAACCCAATATCACTCTAAGCCAGGGGCGGATTGGGGCCGGGAACCGGCCCGGGCTCCCGTGTCGGGGCGGCCCCCCTTTTACTGTCCGCGGAGCCTGGACGGGGGGTCTAACTTCAAGGAGCTAAACCGCTAATATTTGGGATCTAGAAATTGACACAAATGGGTCGCAACGCATATAATAATGTAATATGATAATGTAATATGACTGTATAGAAACTGATTTACATTCAATAGTTTCTGTTTTTACTCTAATTTCTAATCGGTTATGTTCGGCGAAATACGCAAGAAGTCTCAATCGAATTGAAATCTCTAGCGTCTGGTTATTCCAGTCTACACCGATAGTATTTATTGCGTATGCTCTGCAGATAAGAATATGTCACCGTTTGACATGACTTGTTGAATATGCTTAGCCTGGTTTTCCGAGTCCCTTGTTACAAATGGCGCTGAAACGCATTATGGTACACCATTCGTGTACCAATGGTAAAATATTTATTTTGTCTTAAATATTGGATATCAGAAGCCCATCTTTTCCCGTTAAGATCACAACATCAATGTTGTGTTAAGTTGACAAATAATTCGCGTTTTGAATGTGGAAGATTTTGGATGATATTGAGTTAGAGACTTAGCTACTTTAAGTTTTATTTCTAAAATATTGAAGAAATGTATTGCTTCTCAGATAAAGGCCCATCTAGATGATAACTGTTTGTATGAACCATTTCAAAGTGCTTATAAACAATTTCACAGTACCGAAACAGCTTTAACCCGGGTTTCAAATGATATTTTAATGGAAATTGATAATAGAAAATGTACATTTTTAATTTTATTAGATTTATCTGCTGCTTTTGACACGGTGGACCCTACCATTCTGTTACGTAGACTTAAATTTAAATTCGGTATTTGTGGCTCTGCATTAAATCTTTTAGAAAGCTATCTTGTGGGTAGAAAACAGTGTATTTTAGTTAATTGTAAATCGTCATCTGAATCTGTTTTGTCATCTGGGGTTCCTCAGGGTTCTGTTCTTGGTGCGATTTTATTTACCCTCTATACTTCAACATTAGGTCTCAGCTTTCATTTGTATGCCGATGATACTCAATTATATATTTCATTTACACCTAATTGTCCATCTTCTTTTAATTTATCAAAATTGCAACTTGATAACAGTATTAGTGAAATTAGAAGATGGATGTCAAAGAACTTTCTAAAATTGAATGATGATAAAACCGAATATTTGTTATTAGACTCAAGGCATCAATTAAGTAAATTTTCACATGATAACCCCCCTGTTGTAATTGGTAATTGTGATATATTTTCATCTTATTCTGCTCGTAATATTGGGGCAATCTTTGATAGTTTTATGCTTATGGGAGCTCAAGTAAATAATATTTGTAAATTGTGTTATTTTAATATCAGAAATATAGGTAATATACGTAAATTTGTAACTGTAGAGGCCACTAAGTCACTTGTTAATTCTCTGGTCACTTCTCGATCAGATAACTTTAATTCACTTTTAGTTGGTTTACCTTTTAAGCTGATAGATAAATTACAAAAAGTACAGAATACTGCAGCTAGACTTGTTACTTTAACTAAGAAATGTGACCACATAACTCCTGTTTATACAATTTACACTAGTTACCTGTTAAATATCGAATTGATTGTAAGATTTTATTACTTACTTTTAAATGTTTAAATAATTTAGCTCCTGTTTACCTCTTAGATCTTTTAGAACTTTATACAACTGGCCGAACATTACGTACATCAGATAAACTACTTTTAAAGTCCAAAACTATTCAATTAGTCTCTTATGGTCAGCGGTCTTTTAGTTATCAAACATCTGTTTTATGGAATAATCTACCATTTAGTTTAAGATGTTGTACATCTCTATATTCTTTTAAAAAAAACAACTTAAAACACATTTAGTTAATCAGGCTTTTAACTGACTGTATACAGTTGTTAACATGTCCATAATGTTGTTGTTTATTTATGATTACATTGTCACTTTGTAAAGTGCCCCTGAACATGTTATATGAAAGGGCGCACTATAAATATGCAGTAATAATAATAATAATAATAATTAGTAACCAATCAGCATAATTAATTACGTAATATTTCTCCGATTAAATAATTGACAGAGCTTTCTCAAGGACACTGTCAATGTTATAAGATTGATTTAGGTCCTATAGACTTCAGACAGCCGCAAGATTCTTAGATAGCAAGATCATGTAGATTTGGAGAGGCCACTGATATTCAAGAGAGGTGACCCCATTGATTTGTGTTAGAGCCATATAATGTAGTGCGTTGCGTCAGTAAACTTGATCTGCGAGTTTGGGGTAAAGAGAATAACATGTTAATTTTAAGTATTGTAATGTAACCTATGTATCCAGTGCTTGATATAAAATGTAGAAACGATTCGGGAGAGACCACTGAGGTTCAAGAGACACCATCTGGTTTGAGTAGACCTCGTTGATTTGTAGGAGAGCCATATAATATGATGTAGTGTGTTCCGTCAGTAAACTCGATAAGTGAGTTAGGGAGAGAGAGAGAGAGAGAGAGAGAGATGGGGTTTAACGTCCACTCGACACAAACTAGGTCATTTCGGGACTAACATATGGTTTAATTTTATTTACATAATTCGCTTGCGCGTAGGGGTCTTTAGCAGTGGGAGGACCCGGAGAAAACCCAAGAGGTTGGACAGGCGACCCAACTCCTTGCCATGTACAACCGGGGATTCGTAAACCACGCCAGTCGACTCAATGACAGACTTTATGATACAGCGCGTGCACGCTAACCATTCAGCCATCCAACCCCCCAAGTGAGTTAGGGGTAGAGAGAAAGACACGTTATCCTTTAAAGTATTGTAATGTAACCTAAGCTTGTTAACCTATGGGCAAATCAACAGCAACGTGTGAGAAATATATAGTAAAGCTAGTTTCATGCTTGCTTCGGAGGGACGGGGTTGGTTGTGGCGGTGAAGCTGATGGTTTCGGCAGAGGCTTGGATAGCACAACTGATCTACTTCTCAGTTCCCGCATTTAACAGCAGAAACTGTACAGTGTGTAACACAGTAGATAAACAGATTGGGTACTAGCAGTATATAAATCATCTTCAGGTGGTGCCTAATGGTTATTTTACAAGGTATTTTGTCCTCATATAATTAACATGACACAGGGTAGGCGACATTGGTAAATGTTTTAAGCCCATTATAAAGTGTGTAACCATTGTCAAAACAATATCAGAAGGGAGACAAATCCTCCTGATTTATACACCAAAATCTAGTTTTTTCTAATAAATATTTATTTTGAGCACGAAATGAAATGGTTTTAACGTCCTATATTTCTGTTACAACCATACCCCTGTGAGGTAAGCTTTGTGTGTACAACAATCTATACACGAGAGCTTGAAGGACTAGCCACTTTCTATGCCAGACTGACGGTCCTGCACCATTTACAAGGTGAAATCAGACTGGGGAATACTGGGGAACATTCGGTCATTTCAGCTCTTCATTTTTCTTTAAATGTCGACAATAAAAGCTACTTGTGAAACCAGAAAGAAATATTTCATTAATAATTATAACAATAAGATTTTATTTTTGGGTCAAATATAGAAATGAGTTTCTGTAACATCATTTGTGAAAACACGTGAATTCATGATACGCTACCATAAATAAAACTTGAACAATGAATGTAATTCTTCCAATTTCGATAAAAAATAAAAACAAAATAAATTAAAGATCCAATTTCTGGCGATTTTTTAGCGACAAGGTTTTACAAGTGGAATAATGAAAGTCTATAATAGGCAGTGTATATGAAAGTCTACAATTGGTTTACATAATGTGGCTCAGTGATTAAAACGCTTGTCCAATAACCAGGAGATGATGGGTTCGATCCTGTATTTGCTTGCGTGCAGGGGTCTTTAGCAGGGGAAGGAAATTGGAGGACCCGGAGAAAACCCGAGAGGTTGGAGTGGCGACCATACTCCTTGTCTCGTACAAGCGGGCAATCAAAACCATGCCACTTGACTCAATGACAAACCTTGTGATTTCACGCGCAAATGTTAACCTTTTCGACCAAACAACCCCCAATGAAGAATAGGAGAACCCTATTTTATTTTTCTATAACATATACTTCCTGTTACATATTTGTTTTTCTCATAAATCCATTGCACCATTAGAATATAATCAGTTCTAAATAAGATCAATGACAGTTTTATTCTAACACTGTTGAAATCATTTGAGGTGGAATGTTGAGAACATTGTAGTCTACTGTCCACCTATTATCATAATTTACTGCTAGCAACAATTTGAGGAGCTGAAATGAAAGAAAAAAATTTATAAAAATAATTAGTACCAGAATAATAGTAATAGTGCTCGAAGACATTGTTTTGGCTGTATAGTTATTCTATACTTTCCAGTCTGGTGTAGTGCCTGGCAATGAGAGAGAGAGAGAGAGAGAGAGAGAGAGAGAGAGAGAGAGAGAGAGAGAGACTAGTCAATTCTCAATTCGGAACCAACCTATGGTTCAATTTTATTGCAATAATGTAGTGGTTTTTAGAAGTGGGAAGAATCTGGCAGACCCGGAGAAAACCCACAAGGTTCGACAGGCAACCCTACTCCTTGTAACGTACAAGCGGGAATCGAATCCACAACAGTTGACTCAATGACAGACCTTTTGATCCAACGAGCATGTATTAAAGTAGCTAAGTCTGTAACTCAATATCATCAAAAATCTTCGACATTGAAAACACGAATTTTTTTGCAATTTAAATCAGCATTGGTGTTGTGATCTTACCTGGAAAAGATTGGCTTCTGATATCCAATATTTAAGACAAAATAAACATTTTACTATTGGTACACGAATCGTGTACCATAATGCGTTTCAGCGCCATTTGTAACAAGGTGCTCAAAGAATGGGGCTAGACATATTCCACAAGTCATGTCAAACGGTGATATCATATTCGTATTTGGAGAGCATGTGCAATAAATAATATCGGTGTTGACTGGAATAACCAGACGCTAGAAACTGACTTGCGGTTGAGACTTCTGGCGTATTTCGCCGAACATAACTGGTGACAATTCACAGTAAAACGGACACGATTGAATGTAAAACAGTTTATATAAATTCATATTACATTATTATATGTGTTGCGACCCATTTGTGCCAATTTCTAGGTCCAAAATATTAGCGATTTAGTTCCTTTAACTATTCGGCCACCAAACCCCGCCCCCTGACAAGGAAAAGTGTCTATGGCCTGGAATAGGATAAAAAATCCTGTGTATACAATTGGCCAAAACTTAATGTTCCCCCGATTGTTGGGCATGGAAAAAAAGAATAGGCCATTGCACTGCATCCATGCAAAATTTTCCCCTAAGCACACTGCAGAACGTCTTCCCTTCTTCATCAGCCTAGTCAGTGCAATAATGAAAAAAAAAGGTACCTGGTTTACTTGTCTTTAAAGACCATAAATCATTAACAGTTTTATTGGTTATATGGAGTTGTTTTAGAATATCTACATCTGAAAGTAAATAGGAAAATATTTTAACTTTAAGTTTATATGAAGAACTAGTGGATGAACTGGCACTGCTCAGGTTGAAAGTAGCAAAACTCTGAAAACGGAAGCAGGAGGCCAATGCCAGCTAGCCTATGTTAATCCATGGTCCGAGCTATCCCAGTACATCAAATTTCAGCTTCAGGACAACCGAAGTGCGAGCGCCAACCCTGAACTAACAGACAAACGACAGTCACAGATATTCTTGCTTGAAAACGACTTCGAAATGTCACCTAAATAAATCAGTAATTGTTCTTCCATAAGTATGTGTTATAGTTTATTGCTCTATCCAGATACTAAATGCCTCTAAAAGATTAAATATATTCTGTTCCCTATATAAATGCCTTTTCCTGGAATGTTCTCAAATTTAAACAACATATTTGCCTGGTGCACGTTATCAGAAAGCAAAGAATGAATCACAGGTTTTCTGTACAGTGGCACATTTAAGTAAATATTTGATAATTTTGGGGTTTAGATACTAAGTAACCATATGTATAGATATATTATAGAGAATAGGAAATATACCTCCATTGTCTCTTACTAGAACAAGTTGGTTATGATGGGGGGGGGGGCTGAGGGGGCGACACTTCTTGGGGGGCAGCAAGTTATCTCAGTGCATACCAGAAATATTAATTTTGTAAGCATATTCTTAATAAAAAAGTACAATTTCATATTTTTAAGTTATATTTTTAAAATGTATTAAAATAAAGCCCTAAAATAGATGGTATCTATAAACAGTCCTACCTTGTTAAAGAATAATCCTATTAATCCTATAATTCACTATTGCCAGTTGAGAAATTGGCAAAAATATCATTTTCAACTTCAAATTCAAACATTTGAAGATAGCTATTCCATGGTGGGGAATAGGAAAACAAGGGAGGTAATTGTGTTATTATTTCCGGTGTGAAGATTTTTAAGTGTGAGAAAGATAACCTATGATCGTATATTAGTGAGTTGACAACCCATTGACCAAAAGACATAGAAATAATTATGTTTTGACTTTGTAAATGTAACTTTAATAAAAAATTGAATTTTAAAGTGCACATAAGATGGATCTGGAAAGTTTGGGATACATGTAGCCAATGGTTACTATATCCACTTTACGGCAAGTTCATGCCAATATGGTTGAAATTAATTCAGTTATCTTCACTCAAAGTCGTAAAAATAGACCTTCTGTCAAAACGACTTTGCCAATTATCGAAAACACTCTTAATCCCCTCAGACGCCAGTGACGTCACAGTGACCTAATGCATATTCGGAATGTTTATTCCTTAATTACCTATATACAGCCGGCGTGTGTATTCTTTAACGCCTGAAGGATTCCTTAATCCCCCTAATTAAATAAATTGTTTTGTAATTCATTTTAATTTAAGATCCAATTTAGAGTGCCTGCAACTTTTAAACTTTGAAGTCTTGAACTCTTCTTAATTTTTTACAATATGGAACTTATTGGACGAACACTTTTAATATCTAAATACTATACGGGTCCAGCTATGTGGTTTTTACTGCGAGCACTTCGCTTTTCCACATAAATTGTAGTGTCGTTAATATCTGTCATTAATTAATCAATCCGACTATAAAAGTTATACAGGCATGGGTCATAAACTAATTTACACGTTGGTGTTAGCAGTGAGTGTTAGTGGGATTAAGAATGTTGATTAGGTAATTATCTTTTTTTACGCCGGCCAGATCAAAGACATCACTCTAAGTGGAACGTGTGTGTAATACCTCACGAACGAACTAATGGTAAAATCATACACACACACATTAATTGTATAAAATAATTAAGTTTTACTAATAAGTTGTTTAAAATTACTATATACCCAATAATTATTGCTCACCGGTGTTTTTGTAATCAAGTAGCCTCGTATTATTTGTTGATTGCCGTTTAAACAACATTTAATTGATGGATGGATTAACGTTTTTGATACGATTAGGTTATAATGTCTAACTTCGGTTATCTTCTTTATAATAAAAATTTAATCACTTATCAAACGGCACCAGGAACTTCACGAATGATCCCGTGCAATTTTCGCGGCGAAGTTTAACCTCATTTACTACACCCGTAGTACATGGAACGGTACATATTGATAATAAGATACCAAGCGTTGATTGGCAGAGAAATGAGTGCGATCTATTGTACATGTTATGCATAGTCATCGGAAAATTCCAAATTCACTGTAGTTGTTCTTTATGTATAGAAATGGTTATTATTATTATATATAGCTAATAATGAATATATCGACAAATGACTGGCACCATTTGTATTCCTGTACTTAAGTTTGGGATTTCAAGTATTACGGGGTTATCCAAATTACCGGTAAATCCGCTAATTTCTTGAGTCATCTTCATTTGACACGTGGCCTATTTAAACAAAGGCAGCTTAAATTGATCTACGGAATGATACGGCATTTTAAATTCACTCTAAAATATTCCAATGACAATTAATGTCTAATCTATACCAATGAAAGACGATAATTCAGTGATTATGATTAGGCCAGTCACGTGGTAATTGGACCGTCAATAGACGCTTGTCAACTTGCCGTGTGTATTGATAGTGCTATATTGTACATACAGTGAGATATTGTATAGATAATGTATATCCTATGTGTAGTGCCTGTGACGTCACCAGCCAATCAACCGGATTAAGGTCGTAATTGAAAAATCGAAAAGCGTTTTGGCGTGTCGGATACTTAAACGTTAACAGCAGACTTAATTTTAATCAGATTCGTGTGAACTTGCTGTAAAGTTGATATAGTAACCATGGGCTATACATACATGCAATTTAGATTTTTGATCTTACATGGTCTTTAACATCTCTTTAATCATAAAAAGCAACTAAGCACAGGCACAGAACAAACCAGTTACAGTATGCAAGAGGGGGTGGGGCACATAGGCTTGTGAGAGCCCTGAATAAGAATAATTACTGTTCGCAAGATCCTATTGGATTCAGACCACTTAATCAACGAAACTGCTGTAAGTGCTTTTTTTTGTGCATGTATGACTTATCAAAGCCTCCCAAATATATTGTTTTATTTTTAAAATAAATGATAAGATGTTTACATACCTTGACTATGTATAAATGATGATATAACTGACCATATTGTAATGGCTGGTATAACCATACTAACATGTGGAAAACAAGCTCCACTTTCTGTATCTCTGTTTAAAATATATAAAAATATTTCTAGACAATCAGGGGGGTTGGATGGCTGAATGATTATCATAAGGTCTGTCATTGAGTCAACAGGCGTGATTTCTATTCCCCGGTTGTACGTGACAAGGAGTAGGGTCGCCTGTCCAACCTTGTGGGTTTTCTCCGGGTTCTCCAGTTTACTCCCACTGCTAAAGACCCCTACGCGCAAGCGAATTATGGAAATAAAATTGAACCATATGTTAGTCCCAAAATGACCTAGTTTGTGTCGAGTGGACCTTAAACCCCATTTCTCTCTCTCTCTCCAGTTGTACGTGACAAGGAGTAGGGTCGCCTGGCCAACCTTGTGGGTTTTCTCCGGGTTCTCCGGTTTACTCACACTGCTAAAGACCCCTATGCGCAAGCGAATTATTGAAATAAAATTGAACCATGTGTAAGTGCCGAAAAGACCTAAATTGTGTCGAGTGGACGTTAAACCCCATTTCTCTATCTGTCACTAACTAGACAATCAAGAAAAACTGTAGAACAAAACACAGACAGAATAAACAAAACATCAAAAAAAAGAAATGGAAAGAACAAAACCATTTTTAACATATGGCCCATATGAGATCGGCTAGTCCCCCAGTGAGAATGAACTAAACCGTCTCTTGGAAGCAGAAGTAATGTCTCAACTATTGCATGACTTTACAACACACAGATCTCTATAAAAGAGCTTTACTCAGTGGTCACCTCATGGGTTTCCTACCACTGCTAAAGACCTCTACGTGCAAACGAATTATTAAATGAAAATTGAACCACATGTTAATCACAAAATGACCTACTAGTTTGTGACGAGTGAACTGAACCGTACTGCCTGTCTCATTAGTCAATTTTCTTAGATCCTTACAGGCCTCTATAAATTTATAAGAAAATGCAGATTTCCCCTGAAATATTAAGGTAATTGACAAGATACCGGTCCTTTCCATTTAAGGTCAAACCTCGTAAGTTTTCTCCGGGTCCTCCGGTTTCCTCCCACTGCTAAAGACCCCTACGCGCAAGCGAATTATTGAAATAAAATTAAACCATGTTTTAGTCCCAAAATGACCTAGTTTGTGTCGAGTGAAAGTTAAACCCCATTTCTCTCTCTCTCTCTCCATTTAAGCTATAAGCATCTGTCTACTTTGTATGAACATCTAAAACTCTTACTTGGTATTACTAGCAATAACTCCTACTAATCTTCCATCTTCATTAACTAATGCCCCACCACTAGCTCCTGGGTGAACGGCACATGTTGTCTATAATATAAAACATTTATAATACATTAACTAACACCCCACCACTAGATCCTGGGTGAACATTAACTAACACCCCACGACTAGATCCTGGGTGAACATTAATTAACACCCCACCACTAGATCCTGGGTGAACATTAATTAACACCCCACCACTAGATCCTGGGTGAAGAATAACTAACGTCCCACCACTAGACCCTGGGTGAACATTAACTAACTTCCCACCACTAGACCCTGGGTGAACATAAACTAACACCCCACCACTAGATCCTGGATGAACATTAACTAACGTCCCACCACTAGATCCTGGGTGAACATTGTCTATAATATAAAACATTTATAAAACATTAATTATTTAAATGATCTAATCATCATTTGAGTGATTTTCAATCCCTGACAAACTACCATATTGTGACAGTTAAGTCTCTAAAATGAATATCAGTCCATTTATGTTAAATATTTATCCAAATGGGGTAAATAGCATTTACGATGATTGACAGAAAATAGCTAACTCTCATGTGGTGTTTTTGTATTATAGTCTATTTTTGTTACATTATTGTTATTACGTATATTACATGTGGTGTTTTTGTATTATAGTCTATTTTTGTTACATTATTGTTATTACGTGTATTACATATATTATTTTTCCCTGTCATCTATTCAATTTCATATTGAGGGCATAATTCTCTGTCGTCATTTTAGTGTGGGTTAAGCTGATATTGTTCTAAAACCGGCCAGAGTTCATAGAAGAAGCAAGTCCACAAAGAAACCATTTGTAACTTATTATAGTATATTCTGACCTGTATCATAACTGGAACATTATTGACCTTAATCACCTTGGAGATGATCCCTGAAGTTATAGTAGGTTCAAGGTTAAAATTTTCACCAAATATGGCATGACCAATGGCATAAACCCTTGAACCTGAAAATAAAGCCAAAATAAAAATTATAATGTCTTAAGTCACCTCTCAATATATGATTCATCTCTTTTAAAACTAAGCTTGATAATACTCTTCGAAACGTTGCCCAAATAAATTAAGTAGCTGTTTTTCCATAAGTATGTATTTTTGTGTATTAAACTGAGATAACATTATTCAGTATACCCCAAATATAACACAAGGTACAATTTTATGGATACACAATTACTGAGTTTATTACTATGCAACGTTTTGATGAGGAAACTCTCGTCTTTATCAAGCAAATGATATAAATATCATGATTTTTTGCTGTGGGAGGTAACTGGAGTACCTGGAGTAAACCCACAAGGTTGAGAAGGCGCCCCTATCTCCAAGCCACATACGCTCACACCAGGGATCGTAACCACGACCGCAAACCAGAGGTGACCAGCCAGCTAAAGCCCGACACTCTAGACTACTAGGCCATCCCACACACCCATATACAAATGTGATGAATGGTAATACATGTATATACAGAATATGCAACAAAAATAACAATGAAATGCAATTCAAACTTAACATCTTTGATTAGGGGGTCATTTACAAATAAACCAACACAGAGGAGGAAACCCTTGTAGGTAATAAGAGGTGGGTGGGGATACTATTGATTCATAAGATTAATATAGGTAAACAGTTATACCTGGCCAGTGACACTAACACCTTCTTCTTTCCAAAAATATACAAAAAATTTCTGGACCCTGTGAAACATATTGGACCAACAGATCCTGGTATTGGTTTTCTAGACTCTCTTACTGGAAATGCTTTTAGATGTACCTGACAAAATGTCAGGCACTAATTAAATAGTACCTGACATTTTCAACTTAGTGCCGGACATGTATTAATAATATCAGAAAAAAAGACATATCAGTGCCGGACAAGCACCAGAGGTTTTGTGCCTGACAAAGCCTGAATCTGTGCCTGACATTGTCAGTGACAGGTGCCTTATTTCCAGGCTTGGTAATAATCATATCTGAAACAAATTCTGTTTATGATGCATGTATATGGAACTGACCTTCAATAGGTTTAACAGGAAGTGTGTGATTTGACCTTTGGCCTGTTCTACTTGTAGATGTTGACCTCTGACCTGTTGTACCTGTCGATATAGATCTTTGACCTGTAGATGGTGACTTTTGACCTGTTCTACCAGTGGCTGATGACCTTTGACCCGTTGTACCTGTAGATAACAGGGCGATATCAAACTGTACAGGAGGATCATGATGATATAAAATATGACTGTTAACAAACGATTTATTTCCATTTTCTCTGATACTAACTGAAACAAATAAAAGATATATTTTGTATTTCTGTGTAATTTTTCAATACGTATAATTTAGCCAGGGCAGTGGTAGTTTAAACCAGCCACTCAGTCCAGAACTATGACCTGTGTCAACTTCGCCTTAGCCATGACAGATCGCCCTGTTCCAATAATTTTCCAACCATAACAGATCGCTCTGTCCTATTCCTTTTCCGTCCATAAGCAGTGGGGGAAGAAGCCTTTCTGTAAAGGAGTTAATCCATACCTTGAATTATGCTCGCCACCATATAAATTTCAAATTTCACCTTCATCTTTACATAATTGTTCTGAGAACAGTGGGACAGATAGTGTAAATTAATATCAGTATTTCTGTGTAATTTTGCTATGTATACAAATGGATAATTTATCCAGGTCTGTGGCAGTTTAAACCAGGTGTAAATTGACCTACCTGTATGACTGTGACTAGGTTTAACGACATGACTCCAGGTATATAGTTGGTTGAAGGGGTATGATATCCTACCTGTATAACTAGGTTTAATGACACAACTATAGGTAAGTATATAGGTGGTTGAAGGTGAATGATATCCTACCTGGATGACTATGACTAGGTTTAACGACATGACTACAGGTAAGTATATAGGTAGTTGATGGTGTATAGTTTATTATAACACCTGATCCCCAGGTATCACCAACCTTCACCATCACAATATTATTATACATACTCAAACAGCCATCTGAAAAATAACACCACGAAATCTTTGATTCTATTCGGTAAAATCATTTTCCATAAAACCATTGTTTATATGAATAGCTCCAAGGTAATGTAACAAATCGAATGAAAATTAATAACTGCACAGACTCAATGAAAGTATTTTTTAAACATACATTATGCAAGAGCTAAATCTGTCTATTGCAGGTCTTTCTTTGGGCCTTAATGTTATTTAAATTATTAATTAGACATTTATTAACATGACAAGACAAGACAATGCCATCGGATGGCTCCGATTTGATGTAGATTAGAACGGTTCAACCATTTAATGATTAAATGTAAAAATGGAAAAGCGAGTAGGCCATAGTGCTGTTGTTCGGGCAAAATATCCCTCATAGCACACTGCATGACGTATGTCCCTCTTCATTAGCCTGGGGGGTTGGATGGCCAAATGGTTAGCACGTGCGCGCTGTATCATAAGGCCTGTCATTGAGTCAACTGGTGTGGTTTCGAATCCCCGGTTGTACGTAACAATGAGTAGGGTTGCCTGTCCAACCTCCTGGGTTTTACTCCGGGTCCTCCGGTTTCCTCACACTGCTAAAGACCCCTACGTGCAAGCGAATTACTGAAATAAAATTAAACCATATGTTAGTCTCGAAATGACCTAGTTTGTGTCAAGTGGACGTTAAACCACATTTCCCTCTTTCTCTTCATTAGCCCAGTGTCGGAGCAGACCAGTAGGATGTTAAACCCAATTTCAATTCCTAACCAACCTGTTCTAGTAGTAGTAGTAGACGATGGAGGTATATTTTCTATTCTCTGTAATCTATCTATAAACATGGCTGATATTACGTCTTTAATAGAACAGACAATAGATAAACCTATCCATTCATTATTCTTCCAGCATAACGATGCTACAACAATACCACATAATTTCCTGAAACAACAACATAATCATGTTACATTTACAATAATACCACCACATAATCTTAACAGAACACAATTTTTATGGGAAACAATCACTGGGAAACAATAAAACCCGTGATTGTTTCCCATAAAAATTGTGTTCTGTTAATGTGTTTTCCAATCGCCAAATAATAATAATAATAATAATAAGGATTCTTATATTGCACTAAACTCCAGAACAAAGTGTCTGCTCAAAGCGCTAACAAAACTAAGTTCATCTGTATGAAGTATTAAACAGGTATGTCTTTAAACGTGACTTAAATGTTGTTAGTGACGGGGCAGATTTGAGAGAAACGGGTGGTGAATTCCACTTATTTGCAGCTGCAACTTCCAAGGACTTGAATCCAAATGATTTCAATTTCCATGTAGGCACAACTAAGTTAAGTTGAGACTGAGATCTAAGATTTCTTGGTGGTTGGTAAAGTCTGAAAATATCATTCAAGTATGCGGGCCACTTAACATAACCATGTTACATTTACAACAGTACCAGCAAATAATATGTTGAAACAAAAACATAACGATGCTGCATTTATAACAATACCACATAATCACCTGAAACAATAACTTCATTTCATATAAATATTTAAACGCATTCAGGTTGTGTGAAAAGTTGACAACAAAAACAAGAAATCAATACAAGGAAGGCGAGAATGGCAACAGCAACCACATCTACTTCATTCTTCGAGAATAGATCTCTGTCCTAAAAGGCTGTCATATCCAAAAATTAGTATTCTTTTTTGTAATGTGTTTCTACTTTGTTTCATATTTGTCATACACACAGACTAAATAAACTTTTTCAATTTTATTAAATGGAAACAGAATAAATATGGTACTCAGCAAAATTCTCGAAGTATACTTAGTGTTATCGATTAAAATCAATGATTTAGGACTTAAAATGTCGTTCAACTAGCTTAGTGTCTGTTTTCAAGCAGAGCTAATTGTAGACAGACAGCCTAAGTTTAGTATGCAGCAACCATTCAATGTTCAGGCCATAAAAAAACTGGTTCTCACATAATCCTACGTTACTTTAAATGGGTTGCATGACATGTTTTTATTTTCAAAAATAAAAAATAAATAAAGTCTCGTTGATTATCGCACATATATATTGTACCCAAGTTACAGGAAGTAAATATATAAAAAAATTTGAACGAATCGTTAGACTCAAGTACACAACCCTAATAAATATTGAAATGAAATGAAATAAAATGAAATGGGGTTTAGCGTCCTATTGTTCTGCTCCGACTGGGCTAATGAAGACGGGCAAACACCATACAGCATGCAAAAATCGCAAAAAGTGCCAAGATGGGGGGTCGGAAGTTTTTGATCAAACTTATGGTATGACACCCCCTAGGGGCAAGAGGTAACATGCTGAAGTGGTTACAGTGGTCGCTCTAAAGGACTGTACAGGAATTATTCATTTTATGGGTAAAATTGCGGTTTTCACATGTGTATTTATCACCTTTTTTAAGCACAGACTGCATTCTATGGTGGAATAGCAACCTTCTAATTTTGATCCTGTCTGATAAAGCGGGAGGTCAACTTCTACCCCAGCACTAATTTGAAAAAAAAAAAATCAGTACATACTAATTTTGTGTGGACTTGTTTTAGGGTACCATATTGCAGAAAAAGATACACTGTAACATTTTCTTTCACGGATGCAAGTTGAATTTCTTTGGATGGTTTGAAGTGCTAAGCACATAGTATCCATAGGTGTAAAAAAAATGACCGGAATGCAACATACTTAAAATATACAGCTTATTGAATAGTGCTAAAAATAAGCTTTTGTGATACATTTTTTTGCAAATTTAATTAGAGAAATAAAATTTTTGACTTTTATACGTTTTCATCATATCCATAGCCATTATTTGTACCATGTTGTACTCTATATAAGTGTGTATTTGTATTTATTGTATACTAGGTATTGTTGTATTGTCCCTTTAACATATTTGTTGTATTGTCTCTTTAAGATTTCATTTTCGAACAAGTTACCGAAAATGGCCACAAAATGTTTAATTTCAGAGCATGTTTCCACTATTCATTTTGGGACACATCCACTGATAATTTCTACAATACAGAAATGTGGAAGCTTAAATATTAACGGCAACGAAGCCTAATTGCGTCGAAGTGGGTGACATTGAACAGTGTAGTATGGTAGCTACAGCTCTCGGGCACCGTCAGCTGCACCTTCAGGGCCGGATTTAGAATAAGAGAGGCCCTAGGCAAATCCCCTGAACAGGGCCCACGACATGGACCTTGGGGCTCTGGGACAAGCAACTCGGTGAGAGGGTGGGTCGGGGGAAGTCATGCGGTTGGTGGTTCGAATCTCACTTTTAGGTGAATTTTTCATTTTCGTTGGATTATTTTATTTAAAATAATGTCTATTTGACGCCAGATGAGCCATGAACGATTACAGGCCTTTGAAAGTATTTTTTTTCAAGATATTTTTATAAAACAGATACTAATGTATTTTAGGGCTGGTAGTAAACACCATATGAATGAAAAGGAAAATAAATTGTTAGGTTTTTTTTATCTACTACGGTTAATTATCTCCAAAATAGGGAAATTACAGGTTAATTTCATGGGTTATTGTTTCCTTTACCTAGTTTTTGTCAAGTCGATTCCGATAAAATTTTTATTTTTTGTATCAAATGTTGGGAGGTTGCTTGTTCACGTGAGCATAAATTTTTTAAACCCACCCCATGAAAGAAGTAGCTATAGGGCGTCAAACTTTGGGTGAGGAAAAATGGGGAATTTAGACAGGCTTTGATATCCATTCCGTATACAGATCTCGTTCGCCAGAATCGTCTGTAGTTAATATTGTGGTAACAGCACTGAGTCATCGATAAACTGTGTGAGTTTGGTCTTTCTGCTATGTATAGTAAAGGTGTAAGGACTTGCCAAAGTTGGCAATTTCACCATATGAAAAATGTTTTTTCAATTTTCTCATACAGGAATTGAAAGATTTATCTAATATTGCACATTTATGTGTTTTGGGACTATCCCAACTTATAAACCAAATTTGGTCAAAATCTGTGATTGAAGCCTTAGCACCTTCTGTATGGTTTTCTCGCGGACACGCTCTTAATCACTATGAGAACCATATAATTTCAATATGTTCCTCAATATATGTATGTTATGTCTTGTGATAAGGATTATCTTTCATGGATTTCTTCTTACAAGTGACTACCTATAATTGCGCGATTATCCATATTTTAATTCTGTATCGATTATCGATCTTCAAGATTTACCGACGATTATCAGCAACATCGATATATTCTGCCAGCCCGACTGGATAATCATACATTCCTATATAAACAATGATGAGATAAATGATACTGGATAATCATACATTCTTATAAAACAACATGATGAGATAAATGATATTGCATAATCATACATTCCTATATAAACATGATGAGATAAATGATACTGGACAATCATACATTCCTATATAAACAACATGATGGGATAAATGATACTGGATAATCATACATTCCTATATACATGACAACATGAGATAAAAGATACTGGATAATCATACATTCCTATATCAACAACATGATGGGATAAATGTAGTGCACTGATATTTGATGTGTATGAGAAGTGATTTAACCCAGTATAGGATGCCCCATGATAAATAAATATCTCCAAATATCTTGACAATTATGCAACAATATCTATATATATATATCATATATATACCAAGTCTTAAATCACTTTCGAACATTTATAGTCAATAAATAAACGGTCATGTTGTACTTAATAAGGTATGAAAATTTTGGCTGCATGGAGCCATAAAAACACAAATATAAAAACTTTCCTCCTGCTTCAGATTTTTGGTGAGGATTGTTTGAGAATCAGAATATCTTTTGTAACCCAAAAATGTCAAGGTGATTAATGGACATTATGAATAGACTGAGGATATTTTGCTAAATGTACACTTGTAGCGCTGCTGTCCAGGCAAAATTTCCCTCATGGCACAATGTATGGCGTATGCCTATCTTTATCAGTCTTGTTGGTGCAGAACAGAAATGAAATGGGGTTTAACGTCCTACTGTTCTACACCAACTGGGCTAATGAAGACAGGCATAGACCATACAGTGTGGTATGAGGGAAATTTTGCCCGCACAGCGGTGCAACAGTCGACTCTTATATCGAATTCCAATTGCCCAGGGATCTTTTTTAAGTGCATGCCAATGTGTAGATGGGAACTTGGTTTTCTGGCCCATCCAAACGACTAGACAGCTGTTCTTGTCAGGCCCTCTGTCCTGCACCACTGACAAGGGGAAACACGCCGGAAAATACTGATGAACTTTCTCGGCCAACACCGGGATCGAACCTTTGACCTCCAGGTTAGCGAGCCAGCTTCTTACTCACTTAGCCACTATGATTCCCAGTGCAGAACACTTGGACGTTAAACCCCTTTTCATTTCATTTCACTTCTTGGGTCTACTTCAACAAAACCGGATTGAAGGGTAGATAACTGACTACTGTAATTATTTATAATACTTACCTTCCGTTATCGTTGTTTACGTAAACTGGTCCACCCTCTGTTCCTGGTATCATTCTAGCGTCTGTTAAAATCAAACAATTATCTTTACCGTAAACATTACTAACGATTCCACTACTCCACGAATTTATAAAAACATCCGCACTGAGGTTACCAAACGGCGTCGCACAGATATCTAACTTATCACCAATATTAACACAACTGTTGATATACTCCTCGATCACTTTATATTCCACGGGTAAATCATCCACTTTCAGAAGTACAAATTTCTGCATCAGTGTTGTTAGAATTTTTCCGCTGATGTTGTCATTTTTCTTACTGTCCTCCTGATCTTCATCAAGAGATATTTTCTGGTCATACGACCAGTCCGAACCTCCTAATAACCTTTCAAAGGCTTCCGTAAAGTTTGGACACGAAAATATGTGAATTATCTCTGCATTATAATGTTGAACACGACTGGTACTGGTATAATCTGAGCTACATCGAGTTAAAGTCGTTTGTAAATCGTTGAAGGAAACTTTCTTTTGATGTCTGCTGGGTAATTTTTCAAACGTCACTTGACATTTTAGTTTGAAATCACGATTTTCGTAGAAAGATTTTTCTATGTTATTCAATAAATCTGGATACTGAACAACTAATTGCGCCAATATGGTAGCCGTGGTAACTACGATGCCATGTTCAACCATGAAACCACTGGTACTTGCGTCAGTTTTCTTGTTGCCAGCTTGAGTATAAACTGACACGATACATGATGCTGCTGAACAAATATTCTTCATCTTAAACTATAATGAAATAAAATAAAATGGGGTTTAATGTCCTACTGTTCTGCTCCTATACTGGGCTAATGAAGATGGGCATACGCCATACAGTGTGCTATGAGGGAAATTTTGCCCGGGCAGCAGCACTATCGCCTACTCTTATATCGAATTCCAACTGCCAAGGGATCTTTTACGTGCATTCCAATGTTTACACGGGACCTCGGTTTTTCATCTCATCCGAGGGACTAGACAGCTGTCCTTGTCAGGCCCTCCGTCCTGCATCACTGACAAGGGGAAACCACGTCGGAAAATCGGGATCAACTTTCTCGGCCAATGCAGGGATCGAACACTCGACCTCCAGGCTAGCGAGCCAGCGCCTTACCCACCTAGCCACCGTGGCTCCCTCTTAAACTATATATATATATATACATCTGTAATTAACAATAATGAACACTATCAATACATAATTTAACACCACAGAGAAAGAGAGAGGGAGAGTTTAACCACACAACTAGGTCATTTCGGGACCAACATATGGTTCAATTTTATTTCAATAATTTGCTTGCACGTAGGGGTCTTTATCGGTGGTAGGAAACCGGAGGAACCAGAGAAAACCCACGAGGTTGGACAGGTGACCCTACTCCTTGTCATGTACAACAGGGGGAATCGAAACCATGCCAGTTGACTCAATGACAGACCTTATGATAATCATTCGACCATCCAACCCCCCTGATTGTCTAGTATTATTTTTATATATTTTAAACAGATAAAGAAAGTGGGGCATGTTTTCCACATGTTAGTATGGTTATACCAGCCATTACAATATGGTCAGTTATATCATCATTTATACATAGTCAAGGTATGTAAACATCTTATATTATCATTTATTTTAAAATGAAAACAATACATTTGGGAGTGTCTTTGATAAATCAGACATGCACAAAAAAGCACTTACAGACGGAGGACCGGGAGAAAACCCATGAGGTTTGAAAGGCGATGACATCACAGGGATAGAAACAGGATTAACCCAAAGGTGGATTCCCTAGTGGTCTAGGGTGTCATGCTTTGAACTCTAGCTGGCCACTCCCCTCTGGCTTGCAGTCATGGTTTCGAAATGAAATGAAATGAAATGGGGTTTAACGTCCTACTGTTCTGCTCCTAACCTGGGCTAATGAAGATGGGCATACGCCATACAGTGTGCTATGAGGGAAATTTTGCCCGGGCAGCGGCACTACGGCCTACTCTTATATCGAATCCCAACTGCCAAGGGATGTTTTACGTGAACGCCAATGTGTATACGGGACCTCAGTTTTTCGTCCCATCCGAACGACTAGACAGCTGTCCTTGTCAGGCCCTCCATCCTGCATCACTGACAAGGTGAATGAACTTTATCGGCCAATGCAGGGCTCGAACACCTGACCTCCTGATCCACTATGAACCGAGAATGTAACGATTCAATTTTAGGTCTAGCCTTGATCATCATTACTAAAGTCGGTACGATAAAAAACACAGTCTCAACTATCCATTTCATGATTAAATCATGAATGAAAGTTGAGCAGCAAATATGATCCTAATCCAGTAAATATCACACGCTAGCGGTGACATCGAGAGTTGATTATGGTCTGGATAAGTTAATTAATGTCTAAGTAATAATTTAGATAACATTTCAGACCTAAAAAAAGACTGGAAATAGGCAGATTTATCTCTTGCATACTGTATGTTAAAATATATTTCATTTTATTGCTTTATTATTCCTTTATTATGCAATTAAACTAAATTTAGTTGAATAGGCCGAAATTATGACAATGTTACTTGTGTGGGTGTGGTCCCTGTGAGCTCTGAAAACACTAGTTACTACTGGTCTATGGAGTGAAGTTTCCATATAGTTGAATTGTGACCTGTATATTCCAGTTCAATTATTTAATGCCATTGAAACAGTTGACACAACTGGATGGCAAAACCATTGCATAGTCAGGGTATGTTTTATTTTTTCTAGAATCATTTTTATTTATTGATTCCATTTTTCATTTGTGTTAGCATGGGCTTTAGATCATAAGGTCTGTAAATAGAGTCAAGTGGCATGTTTTGATCATGCTTGTATGTGACAAGGAGTAGGGTTGCCGGCCAAACCTCATGGGTTTTCTTTCTCTGATTCCCCCTACCACAGCTAAAGACCCCTTGTACTCGCAAAAGAAATAAAATAGTACCACAGGTTAGTCCTGAAATGACCTGGTTTATGCCCAGTGGAATTAAACCCCATTTCTCTCTCCCATTTTTTCTGGTTTTTTTTATTTATTTGGGGTTTTTTTTGTGTTAGATGTTTACATCCGGTTTAACATTATTTATTTATTTGTTTCAGGTAAAACAAAACAATACACAAAACAATCATGGGGTGGGGGGAACTTTACATTCCTATTAAAAGGATCAAACAAAACAATCATGGGGTGGGGGGAACTTTACATTCCTATTAAAAGGATCAAACAAAACTTCACCCATTTAAAATAAATGTTTTGAGTTCGTCAACTCACAAACCGTACAGTAAAATGACAAGATTATGTGTTTGCAATAGTTCCTTACAGAAGAGAGAATCAAAAGTCACCACTGCATCTCCTCTCAATCCACAGTGAGCAGAAAGGAAACGCCCATCAAAACTACAAAATATTATCTAGTCGGTGCAATTTCCACTATTAGCGTGATAACGGTTAGCCCGCATCAGCAAAATGTCAACTATGTGTTATCACGTAATACAGGGTGCAACACTGTTGATCGAGCATGCCACTAAAATCAATATACCCCCCTGTGTTTTACGTCATCACAATTGGTGTATTGATTAAACTAATGTTTATTCATGAAGTACAACTGCGTGACCTACATGTTTTCAACCCACTGTTTCACAATGTGATATATTTATTGCACGATAAATTTATACCGACATGTATTGGGTACATCACATTCAAACTTAATGACTTGTGAATGAATTGAAACCATATGCACTTGTTTATCATCAAGAATGTATGGGTTAATAATAGTTCACACAGGCGAACAATAAAATAGACTGAAAGTGACAGTCCACCTCCGTTTCTATAAATGGCACTTCAGCTGTCATTACACAGATCGGGTCACGCGCAGTGACGTCACACTTTTTGCGTATACAATGCAGAGATATTCAAACCAGGGGTTTTGTAACTTATTCGTCGAAATCGCGATATATTTTGATAGCAACTTTTAGAACAGATATTCATTTCATAGCCTGCAAACATTTACCCGAATCCGTTCAGTAAGACAAGAGAAAAATCGGTATAAAGATTTATAAGTTCAAAGGTCAATAGGTTAAACCCGCCCCTGTTAAGCAAAATGAGAACCCCGTTAATCATTGGCACGTTACATGACGGTGAGTGTTTTCTGAATATTATTTCGCTGATAAATTTTGCAGGGTAAAGTAGGCTTGTGTGGCTCTAAAACGAATAAAGGACCATATTATCGGCCTATTTACACGAAAGCTGGGCTGCTTTTGCACGTATGGCGGGAATAGGTCGTTCACGAAATGACAGGTCTATTTCTTGCAAGAATGCATTATCGCGTATGAGGTCATAACATAGAGAATCCAAGCTAAGAATCCAGCGATATTTGGTGAAACCAGTCATTGGTGATCGCCATCGTGCAAACTCCCTTGACCTAGGGAATATAATTTAGAGTTTCCGAAACATTAGCCCATTAAGTAATACGGCTGTGGGAGTTGTAATCGGTCCGAAAAGGATGTAGATAAATGCGTAATAAAAATAAAGACTTGGGTTTTATCAATAAAATTGCGCCAAGTCGAAAGATAGGAGCGCCAGAAATTTATGATATCTGATGTGATATTATCTTTTTAGATGGCTTCTGAAAGTGGATCATGTTGAGCACACAAACATCAGATGAAAAATTAATAGACACGCCATCTCATTAGCACAAAATATAGATCTAGATGTATTGCTCATGCTGGACTTCTTTATTGAAAGAGGTATAACAAATGACAAGACACTGCTAACACGCAAAAATTATCGCCATTTTTCATCGGGCTAGAAGAAAATGTCATATTATTAAAGTAAACGCGTGTGTTTTTGACAATGTCTCGCGGCCTAGATCGGCTTCTGATTAATTTAAGCTTAGCTCGACCTGTTTTTTGTCCGATTGTATAGGTTATGCAGTGTATTCGAGTAATTTACATTCAAACAGACAATCGTAAAACTCCTGCCAATCTCGAATTTTCTAGACGAGTAGAATACTTAGAGAGCTCGGCAAGAATACCCTTCTTCTATCAAATAGTATTAGCTCAAAAGTCAACAATCAGCCTTCACAATTCTGACTCAATAGACTCTATAAGGAAACTCAGTGTGATGAATTAATAAAACAAATTAATTACTTGTATGTAATTTAGCCTGTTGTTGTAGGTACATGTTGCCTAGTTCACACACAAAAACAAAATGTCTTATTTTGCTAGTATCTCTGCTCCCAAGAGGTCAAAGTCTAAAATAAAAAATTGAATACATTGTTGTCATCATGAATACATTGTGATTGTAGCTAAGATTATTATGGATTATCAGGAAATGTTAAAGATTCCCTGGTCATTGAAGCCATTCAATAATTTGTGTTGCAGATGTGAAAAACAAACATTATTGAATGATTCATTATCAAAATGAAAAAGTAATAAGTATATTGAGAACAGTGTTGTAAACCTATACAGCAATATTAAATATACAGATACAATTGTTTAACTGCTGCTAGTTTATTTCAAACTGTGCAGATTGTAAACCAGGAAGAAAAGCATGCTTCTTAAAGGAACATGCAGTACCAGATTTTGTGAACTTGCAATAATTCAATGTATTCACAAATGGTTTGATTTGAAGATTTCAAGCTTTACTGTAGCCTTACACTTTACAGGCATTATTTTAAGTCTCTTAACCTCATTTGAGGCATTGTTAATCCCTTGCAAACTTCAATATTGTGAAACTTTAGTCTCTAAAATGAATATCGGACCAAAAATGGTTCAAATGGTCAAATCTATTCAGTATACTTACAAAGTTTTGAACAAATGAAAATTTCACAACATTGAGCATCCTCTGCAAACCTTAAAGGAGCTAAATCGCTAACATTTGGGACCTAGAAATTGACACAAGTGGGTCGCAACTCATAATTCTGTAATATGAATGTATATAAACTGGATATACATTCAATGGTTTCCGTTTTTACTCTAATTTCAAATCAGTTATGTTCCGCAAAATAAGCCCGCAGTCTCAATCGAATGCAAATTTCTAGCGTCTGGTTATTCCAGTCTACATACGCCGTTTGGTTTAGTGCAATATGTCTAGCCTCGAGTCTCTTGCTAGAACTGGGGCTGAAACGCATTATCGTGTACCAATGGCAAAATGTTTATTTTGTCATAAATATTGGATATCAGAAGCCCATCTTTTCCCGGTAAAATCACAGCATCAATGTTGATTTAAATTGACAAATAATTCGTGTTTTCAGTGTTGAAGATTTTGGATGATATTGAGTTAGAGACTTAGCTACTTTAATACAAGTCAGTTCAATCTATATCAGCCTTGAGTCACGTTTACACTTGGCCACTTTACCAGACCGCAATAAACTGCAAGAAATTGGCCCATTTACATTACTCTACAGTAACCGGTCTCGAAATGTTGAACTCTTCACAGAAAAATTAATTTAAGTCCCTATGCAAATTACATGGTTGAGAACAATTATGGCTGTTGATTATGTCTTAGTTTATGCAGAGTGAGCGTTAAACCCACTCTCTCTCTATCTCTTTGACCAGTGATGCCAGGATCCATGAATTTATTAGTCTGTGATGTTTATCTGAATACATGTATAACCACACCCCATTCTGCACGCAGAGAGCTGTCTACCTAGAGAAGTTTTGCATCCTGAACGGTAGCTATATTAAAAGAAATGTGTACTGATAAATTTTGCGGTTCTAATCCATATCATACTTATAAAAACTAAATAAACACTTTCAATTTAAAAAAAAACCCACAACACAATGTATATGGAAAACTATCACTGGTTTATATACATTATAGCACCATGTTTCAACAAGTATTCTCTTTATCGCTTTCATTTTCATTACATATGAATATGGAAGTGGAATAAATACTCAAAATACACATGTGGTTAGTATATCTAACAAAACTCATTGATATGGGAATTAAAATGTCACTCAACTAGCATACTGTCTAATTGTTGGTTTCAAATCCCCGTTTGTACGTGACAAGGAGTAGGGTCGCCTGTCCAACCTCGTGGGTTTTCTGCGGGTCCTCCGGTTTCCCTCCCACTGCTAAAGACCCCTACGCGCAAGCGAATTATTGAAATAAAATGAAACCATATGTTAGTCCTGAAATGATCTAGTTTGTGTCAAGTGGACGTTAAACCCCATTTCTCTCTCTCTCTGTCTAATTGTAGACAGACAGCATTAATTTTGTATGACCACACCCTACTTTAAAATGTAACTGTACAGGATGATTAAAATCAGACCTATTTACAACTGGTATAATGAACTGTGTGATGTTTTTATATTTTGACCTGCTTTATTTAGAGGTCAAAGTATAAAAATCATAGCACACTAAACTTCTTTACCTAACAATAACATGTAATTATATACATGATGGATTGGTAGCATACTTGTTTAATAAAAAAAAAATTATGTAAGATTTAGAGAAAGATGTTTAAAAATCCCCCTGTTTTTGTACTGCTGTTGACTGGGATTGTGAAATATCTATAATGTCTACTCTCTGTCTTACGGCATCATCGTTTGACCCAGCAGGTATATAGATCTACCACCCTGTCGAGCGTCTATAACTTTATAAGGGAGTCTTGCCGTTTCCCCACTTCTTTCCTATTTAGAGAAGGATTTTGCTGTTCTTGCAATTATAGTTGAAAAATACATGTGGATAATGAAAAAATAAAGAAATAATAAATTGGCAAGGGTGTGTTTAAATTTAATGTTTAATGCAGATATTGCAGGCACTCATATCTAAGTCATGTGATGATCTAAAGTAGTGGTTCTCACACCTTGGAACACATGAAAAAAATTGCGACACACATGGCTGAATATATATGAAAAATATTGAATTTTGCAAAATAAAAACATGGCAAGTCATGAATGGCATACAACCGTAGACACAGACTAGTCATAGACACATAGAATGTCTCAAATTAAATAAAGAAAAACACAGCTATGAAGTTGCCAGGAGACACCAGTGAATCACGTTTTTTTCGCATGTCCTTAAAGTGTGCCGTTCAAAATTTCGCAGCACACTGGTTCAGAATCACTGCTCTGGAGAGTTAATTATGAGCCTGTCATATGAATAAATGTCTAAATGATAATACATGTAACATGGGTATATTTAGCTATGACATAATTTCTCTTTGAAGTAGTAATGTTGTAATTAATAATTTATAAAAACCAACCACACCCAGTCTTTGCATACAAACCTCCACCTTTCTCAAATACAATGTTTGAAAACTCCTATTCTTGAATTGGTTGACTACCAAAATAATGTTTGTTTACAATTAGTCACTTGACCGAATACTACAAATACCAGAGCTTAAACTGTTAGAATTTCAAAAGTAATATCAGGGGCGGATCCAGGAATTTTTGCAGGAGGGGGTTTGCCAGGTTCCTGAGACAGTGTTCCTCCCCCCCCCCCCCCCGCATGGTCTCTATTGTCATTTTGGCGTATATACATACACATTGAGCTTTTTAAACAGAGAAATTCAACACCTCGTTTGACATCAATTTTTATTATGAATTAATACAATGACATTGTGATTCAATTTCATGGATGCAAAGCATTAATTGTGATATCACAATTGTCTATATTATTATCTCGTGCTTTGAGTGCCCATTCTGTCCCACATCTGACGATAAAGCCGAGAAACTTTTCTCATAAAAATTGTTGATTTACAAAAAAAAAATATGTAGCTGAGCAGGGGGGGGGGGGGGGGCGCCCCCCACCCCCCTCTGCATCCGCCCCTGAATATGCATATATAGCAAGTATCATGCTACTATAAACTTGTTGCCCCTTTAATGGAGACCGGGTCACATGTACTGGTAATAAATAGAGATAGCACAATGATTCAATTCAATTAAGATATAAAAAAAAAGACATCATGCTATGCTGTGCACCTCTGGAAATAATGTAATAATATAATTTTAATAATGTTGATATGTACATGTATTTGAATATAACATTGTGTTTATGGCCTGTAAATAAAACAGTGTTAAATGTATTAGAATTTTTCGACTAGAAGAATTTGACCATTCTTCATGACAAGATCCAAACTTAAAGATACATTATGTAAAATTTAGATATAGAACTGGCAGTTCTTGATTATGCAGGGGGGTTGGATGGCTGAATGGTTAGCGTGCGCGCGCTGTATCATAAAGTCTGTCATTGAGTCGACTGGTGTGGTTTTGAATCCCCGGTTGTACGTGGCAAGGAGTAGGGTCGCCTGTCCAACCTCGTGGGTTTTCTCCGGGTCCTCCGGTTTCCTCCCACTGCTAAAGACCCCTACGCGCAAGTGAATTATGTAAATAAAATCAAACCACATGTTAGTCCCGAAATGACCTAGTTTGTGTCGAGTGGACGTTAATCCCCATTTCTCTCTCTCTCTCTCTCTCTTGATTATACAAGCGCTAAATCTGCTTAGGCCTTAAATGTTATCTAAATTATTAATTAGGCATTAATTAACTGAACCAGACCATAAACAACTCTCAATGCCACCGTTAGCCTGCGATATTTCGTAGATTTGAATAAATTTTGTGATGGATAATTTAACGTAAAAATGGATAATCGAAACTTTGTTAATCATCATACTAGCGTTAGTAATGATGTTGGAGACTAGCCAAAAATTGAATCTCCAATAACTTTGTTCAGAGTGAAGCAATTTGACTGAAATTTTCCGCATATTCTGTTTTCATTATCTATTTTTTTTAACTATTATAGCGAGAACTGTCCGCTCTTTATCTAATCTTACCTAATGCCCCTTCAATGAAAAATAAACATTGAAAATTTCATTCAAATTTCCAATACTATTCTGAGTAAAATTATGAGTATCTGAACATGTAGCGTAAATTGTTTATTTTTGTTATAGCGAAATGAAATGAAATGAAATGGGGTTTAACTTCCTACTGTTCTGCTCCTATACTGGGCTAATGAAGACGGGCATACGTCATACAGTGTGCTATGAGGGAAATTTTGCCCGGGCAGCGGCACTATCACCTACTCTTATATCGAATTCCAACTGCCAAGGGATCTTTTACGTGCATTCCAATGTTTACACGGGACCTCTGTTTTTCGTCTCATCCGAAGGACTAGACAGCTGTCCTTGTCAGGCCCTCCGTCCTGCATCACTGACAAGGGGAAACCACGTCGGAAAATCGGGATCAACTTTCTCGGCCAATGCAGGGATCGAACACCCGACCTCCAGGCTAGCGAGTCAGCGCCTTATCCACCCAGCCACCGTGGCTCCTTTTGTTATAGCAACAGTACTGACAAACAAGACTGTCTCTATCCATTATTTCATTAAATTTTTAAATCACGTGGTTGTTCTAATCGAATTAAAATCCCAGCCATTGGATTGTCTAGAGATTAGATGATGGACTTATCATGTGAATAAATATCTAAATGATTATTTATATAATATTTGAAGCCAGACTAAATAAGACCTGCTACAGGCAGATTTAGCTCTTGCATATTGTATCTTTAAGTTGTTCAGATAGCACTCAAAAAAAAAAAATGAGATCCACCTCATTGATCCATCAGTGTGCATATAAAAAGACCGCTTGCTTGATATTGTCATAAGCTACAATGGGATAAATAGTTAGAAGAAAATCTACAACACCTCCATTCCATGTGTAGATCACAAAAAATTAACTATGTTAGTCTCAGAATGACCTGAATGTTATGTTTGTGAGACATTAAACCCCTCTCCATTCAGATTCTCACTCGATGAACATCTACTGATGATCTAGCTGTCTGAGAGGCAATCAAATTGCCTCTGTCATATATCCACACGGAAATGTGGTCGTGTGTTGTGTATTGCCGTCACCCCCCAGTAATTCCGTCCGTCATCCACAATTTCTAGTGAATACTCTACAGACAACATTTATCATCTGATTGTTTTGAAATTGACCTATGTTGTTTACATCAGTCAGATGAAGAATCCTATTTAATTTCGATAATTTTTGTTAATTTTGTTTCACTTTGTTGATCCTTGATAAAGCTCTAACGACAAAATTTATATAAACCATTTGAATTTGTGAAACAAAGAAGTCTGTTGAATTCCAGCAATTTCTGTTATGGTAATTACATCCAGAGTTATGGCCCTTGTTTTTCTTTGTTCAACCATGTGAACATTTGAATGACAAGTTTATCATCCGATCTGTATGAAATTTAAATGCATTATTTAAATCAGTAAATCGAAAAAGCCTGTCGAATTTCAACAATTTCAGTAAATTACTTCCAGCATTAAGGCCCTTGTTTCAGTTTTTAGAACCTTATGAACTGATCTGTATGAAATTGTTTTATTAATACCTCCAGTTACTTTGAACGTGTTGAGGAGTAGTGTCACCTGTCCAACCTCATGGGCTTTCTGTGAGTCCTTTGGTTTCCTCCCACTTCTAAAGACCCTTACACTCAAGCGGATTATTGAAATAAAATTGAATCATATGTTAGTCCCGACCAGGTTTGTGTGAGTGTTGTTAATCCCATTTTCTCTCTCACGGGAATATCTATTCAAACCTATCGTAAAGTCTCATAGAAAATGTTATCAGTAAATATTAAAGTTATTTTTGAAGTAAGTTCTGTCTGCTTGGCAAAAATGGTCTCTGGCATTTCTCAAATTAATGAGGATTTTTTTTATTTTGTAGAATGAAGGCGGGGACAAAAGAAAATGATGTTAATGGTCGAGGCGTCAAAGGGTCAAAATTTAAAAACAGATGCGTAAGTTTTATTTTGGATTTCATTAAATCATTTGATTGGCTGAAACTTTAGAACATGATAACTCTACTTCTGAGTTTGAGGGACGAATCTTGGTGTGATGGTTCATTACATCAATATCGAAGGGGAGTGATGAAATTTTGGTGAATAATTTCATTATATCAATACGCTGACTAATTGAGTGGTGTGATGTAAAGTGTGATAATGCGGTTGTGCATGTTAAAGATCCCTTGGCATTTGGAATTCAGCAAAGAGAAGGTGATTTCCTTGATAATTCACTGCATTTATTAGTGCAGAAAAGTAGGATGTTAAATTTTCCTTTAATAGTTTTATATTTGATTGTTTCAGCTCCTTCTGAAATGGAGGATGGCCTGGAGGTTAACATGTAAGTTATTTTCCTTCATTAAAAAACAATAAGTTATTTAAATACAAAATTCATACAGTTCAATACTTCAGAACTAAGGTTAAAACATGGTGTTTCACCACCACTATCATCTAACTTGATTAATAGGTTAAATTCAATATGAACTCAACTGGATAAATTATGTTAAATATGAACTCTACTGGATAAATTATGTTAGATAATGAACTCAACTGGATAAATTATGTAAAATATGCACCCAACTGGATAAATTATGTTAAATATGAACTCAACTTGATTAGAAATGTTAATATGAACCAACTTGTTGTTTTCAGAGATGAATTCTTTGGGGAAGGAAGTACTTCGGTGAGTAATTTATCACCCGGTGTATTAAGTCCTACAAACATAACCCGGTTTAATGACCCAGTGTATAAAGTCCTACAAACATAACACGGTTTAATGACCCAGTGTATAAAGTCCTACAAACATAACCCAGTTTAATGACCCAGTGTATAAAGTCCTACAAACATAACCCGGTTTAATGACCCAGTGTATAAAGTCCTACAAACATTACCCGGTTTAATGACCTGGTGAATAGAATCCAGTTTAATGGCCTTGTGTTTCAGTCCTAAATATATAACCTAGTTCAATAACTTAATAAAAAAAATCGATAATGTAAAAAAGTAAAAAAAATCGATAATGTAAAAAAGTAAAAAAAATCGATAATGTAAAAAAGTAAAAAAAAATCGATAATGTAAAAAAGAATGAGGCTGTGCCAAGTTTGTTTTTACTTTATCAACGAGTTTTGATAAATTTTTTTTATATCAAAAAAGATGAGTAGAAGATTTTATTTATCATCCAAATCTTTCTTACGGTACATGTACAAAAGAATAAAATATACGTCAGGTTGGTATGTTACTCTGAATAGAGGCGCTGCTGTTATTGACACTTGCGGTGAACACACCAGATACTGATGTATAGACTGTGTACAGACACTAAACCTTCTCATAATGTCTTGGAGTTGTGATGAATTAATCACATAATGTTCACAAAAAAATTGCTTTGATCCATTTAGTAAGTCGTTTTCATGAATGATTTGATTAAAGTGCCTCTCTGATTTTGGAATCGTAACGAATTTTTTGTTTGTTTTGCTGTTTAGTATAATTTTTGGGGTATAAATTCGTGTTAAGCGATATCTTCACTATAGATATCGCTCAGTAGAATATGAAAATTATCACACAAGCGATATCTACTGTAGAATGTTGTTTTGGGTGATAAATCCTAAAAATGTTCCATTTATTTATGAAACTAGTGAACAAATTCTCCCTTTATTACAGATCCCATCGTTTGAAGATGGAGAAGGATTTTCCTGGGCCGATGATTTTATCTCGTCGGCGACTGGTGCATTCGCAGATCGTCCATCAGCGGCTATCACCACGACAACCAATGTTCTCTCATCATCTATTGCTCAAGTTTCACAAAACTCCATACCTCAAAATGTTCCTAATCAACAACAAATTGCTGTCTCTGCTTCACAAATGGGTCAGTCAACGTTTATCCAGCAGCAGCAGCAGCACTTTTCGATGGTCAACTTACAGCCGCAATTACAGGGAGCAGGCGGACTTCTACATGGGTAGGTATTCTCTAGTTATTTGACATGGGTATTTGTTATCTATAATCAGTCCATTGATTATGGTCTGTTTGCCTTGTCCAAAAAGAACACCGGGGTATTAAAAATAAAATGATTTAAAACTTTGGACCTCCTTCAAGAAAAGGGGGGATGGATGGCCGAATGGTTAGCACATGTGTGCTGTATCATAAGATCTGTCATTGAGTCAACTGGCATGGTTTCGATTCCCCTACATGTACGCGCAAGCGAATTATTGAAATGAATTTGAACCATATGTTAAACCCCATCTCTCTCTCTCTCTCTCTCTCTCTCCCCTTCAAGAAAAGTGCATGTACATGTAAGCTAAATATTTTAAAAATGCAGCTTTTCCATTGGCCAAGAACTAAGATCTGTGCTATGTTTTTAGTGTTATATCAAGTTTCTTTAAATTAGTTTTAAGTTTTTGAGAATAAGCTCCAAGAAGGGCCATTTCTCTATAAGTTAATATCTTGATATTAAGAAAGGCGTCTAATAATGTTAAAGTAAATTAAGTTACAACTCGATACGTCATGCTAATGCGGAGTCTGTAAATTATTGTAGGTATTTGTAATTTGCAGGTGTTCATTTCGACATGCTAAATACAGAAAAAAAGGTTTTCAGTAGGTTTTTACAAATAAATGTTTCTATATTTCTGGTGATTGTATTATTGCTGCTATGTTATAAGGTTGTGGGTATTAAATGATACCGGTTATGTTTATTTGTTTGTTGCTATGGGTGATGGTAATTTTGTTTTTTGAATGCACTGAAGTCACTATCTATCGGCATCATAGACATTCAGATGAAGGGGACCGCGACACATGCTGAATGGGTAAGGTGCTTGGTAACCAGGCGGTAGGGTTTGATCCAGGTGTTTGCCATATAAGTTCCTTCTGATTTGGTTACATGGTTTCCCCCTGTCAATATGGAAAAGCATCATTTAGTTTCAATGGAATGAAAATCTATGGCATGTATGTTGATATGTATGTTGACATGTATGTCTTGACGTTGGTATTCCATGAAGAGTAGTCCAAATCATCACTGTCCTTGCAGTATTGCGGCCAAAAATCGTATTGCAATATATTGAGATACTTGATCAACGGTATTGCAATATATTGCAGTATTACAATACTTTGATAAAGTCAAAATATCACAAAGCAGTTTTATATTGAATTGTTTTATTGTTTTTACAACTTTGGTCGTGGACATTTCTTGTTTACTGCAAAGCCTATAATATGACTGATTATGTGAAAACACATTTCACTTTATTTGTTTTTACAAGTTTGGTCTTTGCAGTCTTACATGTTTACTGCAGAACCTAAAAAAATATGACTGATTATGAAGTCTTTATAAACAGTCTAGCTAAAATTTGAATATAAAATAAAAGTAGAAAAATATCGATACAATTTTGTATTGCAGGCAGTCATATTGCAATATATCGATATAGCAGTATATTTTGGCAGCCTTTCCTTGCAGACGTTTTGTCATAGTACACAGCATGTCTTTGTCTGCCTTCTTTAGCCCAGTTGGTACCGATAAGCAGGATGCTAAACCCGGTTTCATTTATTCGGTTTCATGGACAAAGACTTGACAAGAACAAAGGATTCTGAATCACTTGATTTGCTATTGAAAATCGATTACATTACATCGAACATGATATGGAATGTGTAATAAGCATGCATTTATACCGATTATTCTAGAGTCTCTGATTGGCTATAAAGAAATGGCGTGGGTCATAATGTTTATGTAAATTGTGGTGAAGGGGGTGATATAATTTGGGAATGTCTCTCGATGGGTGATGGTGCTTTCAGAATACTTTAGTTGTTTTTTAATTGTTATTGTTAAGGTATAGTTTCGTTTTTTGGTGAAACTTGACAAGTTAGAAAAGGAAATATTTACTCACTCACCTTGGACACTTGTTTGAAACAAATTACTGTTAATGCACAATTTGATTGCACAAATTGATAATGCACAGATTTTTTTGTCTAAGAAATTACTTAGCGGTAGTCAGATTAAAACTTGTTACACAGAGCATGAAGGACAAGTCTGTTGCAGGAGGGGTGGGGATGGATGACCGAATGGTTAGCGTGTGTGTGCTGTCATTGAGTCAACTGACATGGTTTCGATTCCCCGGTTGTACGAGACAAGGAGTTGGGTCATCTGTCTAACCTTGTGGGTTTTCTCCGGGTCCTCCAGTTTCCTCCCACTGCTAAAGACCCCTATGCGCAAGCCAACTATTGAAATAAAATTGAACCATATATTGTCTCGAACTGACCTTAAGCATGACATCAATTGTCAGGATTAAATCTTCATAAAGTTGCTCTGTTCGGGAAATTAGTTGGTCACATATTGTTTTGTGTATCTGTTAAAACAAAAGTTGATTAGAAACTTGGTAATAGTGACTACACCCGCAAGAAACTTACTATTCATCTGTTGCTTGCTCAGATTGATAAATATCATTGAATATATAAATACAGAGCTTTCCAAAGAGGCTAGTTTATTTGTTTATTAAGTAAATTTAGATTAAGTTTCCGAAACGAGTGGTCCAACACATGCGCTTTAGATCAAAAGATCTGTTGAGTCAGTGTCGATCCCAAGCTTGTAGGTTTTCTCCAGGTGTTCTGGTGTCCTCCCACTGCTAAAGACCCCTATGCACAAGTAAATTATTGAAATAAAATTGAACGATAAGTTAAAACTAGTTTTGAGTGGACGTTAAACTCCATTTTTTGGTTATTACTCGTACAGGTATATATATTAGGGGTTATATGGTAAATGTCTCATAGCATCTGTTTTCATCGGATTGATTTCAAAATTAACTGTCCTTTTGGATAAATGGTAATGTGATCCTATATTTATTTGAATTTTTATCCTTTCAGTTCCGTGCCACAATATATCATTAAATCAACGACGGCGGGCCCGATACAGAGCCAACAACAGACGCAGATCCAGCAGCCTAGATCCAGCCCAGCACCGTCTTCTTACTCGGCGAGTTCACCATTGACCAGTCGAACTGTTACCCCGAGTTGTAGTCCGGCTCCAGCCATGTCACCGCTGGTATCACGATCAATTACACCCATACAAACTCAATCGGCCATTGTGACGGCCAACACCAGCAGACCCCCGAGTCACTCCAGTAGTCCGGCACCAAATATCCTGCAGTTTAATCAGAATAACTTACAATCGCGACCACAGGTTCAGCTTGCGAACACAGTCCCGATTCAAGGCTTTATCCAGTCTAGTCCAAACACCAGTATTATCTCCGGCCAGAACACCCTGACACCAAATATCGTACATACTCAAAACGCTGTCATACAAAACCCTAATGTGGTAAACTTGAATGTGGCCCATGTTCTGTGCAATAATAATCAAACTATGGGACAACAAAACGTTCAAAATTTACCGGCCACCATGCAGAATCCAATGAACATTCAAGGTACAATTATTCAAACGGCAAACGGAAAAAGTATTTTAATTCCAAATAACAATCTTCAAGGTCAACAGATCAATCTAGCGGGGATGCAAAATATATCCGTTGGTCACCCAAATACTATCGGACAGCCTATGATCCAGAATCAACAAAATTTAGGAAATGTCATACGATTGGCACCGCAACAAGATAAACAGCAAAACGTAGCTCAACCAAACTATAGTTTCGTTAGTGTTGGCAATCAAGGACAACAGATATTTCTTCAGCGTGCTCCGAATCCTGGACAACCACAAAATATAATTCTCAGAAGTGTTCCACAAAATGTTATTCTCCAACCACAAGGTCAAGGTCAAACCACAGGAAAGCAGCCGACCCCGATACAACCCCATCAGATCCCCCAACAGATCCCCCAACAGATCGTCAATCAACAGCCCCATCAGAACATTCAGTTTCAGCAAGTTTTTACTGGTGCTGGTCAGCCCATGAAGATTGTCACTCAAGGCGGAGGTCAAGTGGGATCACAGTCCGGGGCTGTCACACTTAATCTCGCTGGCCAGAATCTGAACCTTCAACAATTAGCTGGTCTGGGAATAGGTACAAATAATTTACAAGGTCTGCAGTTTGGAAATGGTGGACAGTTTATTTTACAGCCACAACCCCAACAACAGCAGCAACAGCAACAACAGCAGATTTTTCAAACGGTCCCTAAAATAAATCCACAGCCAACGACTGCTACCCCACCAGCTGCTGTTGACCCTTTAACTCAAGCTCTAAGCATGTCTGGTATTACAGAGAACGGATCACATTTTAACGAGCCAACACTTGTGCAAACGCCACCACCGGAAATCGTGAAAAAGGTGTCAAAATCGAAAACAAAAAGGGTGGAAGCCGATAGGACCCAAATTCCACAGATGTCCATGCATGTTCAACCGATCGCGAGTTCAGCATCTATAAATGTTCAATCATCTTTATCACAACTAATGGCTACGGCTGCCAGCGTTGCCGGAATCAGTTCTAACTGTTCAGGACCTGTAGGGTTCAACACAGTATTTAGCACGGCTCAGGGTACTGTGGTGACCACTACCATATCCCAGTCGTTTGTTCAGACGCCTAGTTCCTTATCAATTGTAACAAATTCCATAGGGGGTCAAATAATCAATACTGGATCTCAATTGAACACCTCCAATATCCTTTCCACCAGTCAGATCAAGGGACAAGTGTTTGGACATCAAGGTGTGGCTGTCAATCAAACCACTCCCACACAAAATAATCAACAGATGTCAAATGACGCCAAACATATTCAAAGAATTGATACAGAGATCAAAAGATTAATGAGTTTGAAGTCGATGACAGCTGATCAGAAACGAGAAGTGCAGCAGATGAGCGTTTTACAGAAAAAATTAATGGCTGCGAACCAAAATCAGCATCTGAAGAACATCAACCAGTCATCTTCTAGCTCTCAGATGGTCGGTCAACCAGCTATTGCCCAGCCACAAATTGTTCAGTCTGGACAAGCCCCCATACTTCAAATTTCGAATCCAATATCACACACTCACCAACAAGCACCAGTTCAACATGTCATCCAATCAGTACAAAACATTCAATCATCGTCTAATTCAATCTTCCATAACACACCACAACAACAAACATCGGGTGTGGTCCAATTCACCCTCGCCCAGTCACAACCAACAACAACATTACTCACCTCCACCTCACAAGTCATCATTCAACCTTCGACATCTCTCAATAAAAACATCCCCCATACTCGTAATGTTCAGATTCAGCCTGGTCCAATCATGTCTACTGGTAGTGTGATGTCTTCAGTGCCAGCAGGCAAACTACCAATAACAGCCATACCTGCCATGCCAACTCAAATAAAGGTAAGTTTTCTGTACTCCTGTGAATAACTTCTGTTTTAAAAAGTATGACCAGGAGTTGGGTTGTCTGTTCAACCTTCTCCCTCCCACTGCTAATGACACCTTTGTGCAAGTCAATTATTGAAATAATGTTGCACCATTTGTTCCGAAATGACCTAGTTGTTGAGTGGCGGTTAAACCCCATTTCTCTTCGTCTCTTTTTTAAAATTTATTTTGTAAACTCAAATGTGAGCTGTTATTACTCCCCACCCATCTGGAAAATCAAAATAAGTACTGTTGCATCTGCATGTACGTTAAACCCCCATTACATTGTAGGTACATGTTTGAGTCCTGCTGGCTTACTACTAATGATCTCTCAAACCTCGAAACATAGACCATATATTATTTAGTGTTTGTTTTGTCTTGTATTTCCTTCTTCATTAGGGAGCCATGGTGGCTAAGTGGGTAAGACGCTGGCTCGCTGGCCTGGAGGGGGCATTTTCGATCTCTGCATTGGCCGAGGAAGTTCATCTAAGCCTGGCAAGGTTACAGCTGTCTAGTCGTACGGATGACACGAAAAGCCAAGGTCCCGTGTGTATATTGGCATTGACGTAAAAGATCCCTTGGCAGTGGCAAAATTTCCCTCATAGAACAGTGTATGGCATATGCCCGTCTTCATTAGCTCAGTCGGAGCAGAACAGAATGGCGTTAAACCCCATTTTCCCTCATAGAACACTGTATGGCATATGCCCGTCTTCATTAGCTCAGTCGGAGCTGAACAGAATGGTGTTAAACCCCATTTCATTTTCTTCTGCATTAACCTGGATGGAGTAGAGAAGTAAGACGTTCAAAACTCCATTTCATTTCCTTTGTCTCGTTTCAGTTTGGCAATCAGATGCTGACGTTAAATTTAACGCCACAACAGAAAGAGAAACTACAGATGCATTTATCGAAGATGACAATTGAACAACAAGAACAGTTTCTGAAACATCAGTCGACGTTAAAATTACAGCAGAAACAACAACAGATTCAGGCCCTGCAGAAACAAGCTGCTGCCCAACAACAGCAAGCCCAAACTTCATCACTACCTGCTTTGTTGACCAGTGGTACAAAGATGCCTCAAACAGTATGTAGACTCTGACTCTTCTCTCACGTTCTCTTCTCCTTTCCTCCCTCTTTCATTTTCCCTTCCCTTCCCCTCCCCTCCCTTCCCTTCCCTTCCCTTCCCTTCCCTTCCCGTCCCTTTCCCTTTCCCTTTCCCTCCCCTCCCCTCCCCTCCCTTCTCTTCTCCTCTCCTCCCCATTCCCTTTTCCTTCCCTCCTTTCTTCCAAATCAAAATAATAGGGCTGTGTTAGGGAGTTTGGTCACCAAATTGTATAATGTCTGCTTTCTAGATCATAAGGTCTCATTGAGTCAAGTGGCTTGGTTTCGATTCCCAGCTTGTATATGGGTCATCTGATTTCCTCCCACTGCTAAAGATCCCTACATACATGTAATCAGTAATTTTAGAGAATAAAGAAAAAAAAAAACCAAGTTATATTAAATGTACTTGGTAAGGTCAAGGGTCATATGCCTTCATCAGATTATTATTATTATTGTATGAAAGAATTTTTGTTTTAATGATTTTAACAGGTAAATAATAGTGGAGGTGGTACACCGGTTAAAACTGAACCTGGTCAGCAGACGACACTCAATAGAGGTGGAAAAGGTCTATCAACAGAAATACCAAAAGCTTCATTGTAAGTTTTTACTATTGATAGTCTCTATGTGTGTTTATGATGTATTATGTAAGATGCCCGTCTTTAGCCCAGGGGGAGAGGGGGGGGGGTGATTGGCCGAATGGTTAGCATGTACGGGCTGTATCATAATGTCTGTCATTGAGTTACCTGGCGTGGTTTCGAATCCCCGGTTGTACGTGACTGTTGCCTGTCCGGGTCATCCGGTTTTCTCTACTTGATTGGCTGAAACACCTGATGTAATTGGCAGAACGACGTCGATAAGTACATACTGCTTGATGCTAGTAGTCGATCACTGTGGCCCCTCTTGCCTTGAAGTTCTATCTCGAGTATCTGATTGGTAATAGAAAAAAATGTGCTAATAAAGACTTGCATACGCCATGCAGTGTGCTATGAGAAAAATTTTGCCTGGAAAGCGACGCTACAGTCTATATCGAATTCCATCTGCCACGGGATCTTTTACGTGTACACCAATGTGTACATGGGACCTTAGGTTTTCTGTACCATCCAAACGACTAGGTCATAGAAAATAGTGAACGTGTTATTTTTATTTTTCAGAATTCATCAACAAATGAGTAAAGATCAACAGAATGCCGTGGCCCCGGATACAAAAGCACCATTTAAAAATTCCCGCGAGGCATGTAGACGATTATTACGGTATCATGTGTTCCAGTGGTCAGGCCCGTCTAAACAGGAGTATGAACGAGGTGAGAGAAAGATAAATTAATGAGATGTGGACAATTTTTTTGTTCTATTATTTGTCAAAAAAAGAGACTTTCGAAAATTTTCTTCAGCATGTTTTCACATTCAAGATGGCGATTCTCCGCCACTGTTTTGAGGTATCAGGTTGAAACTAAGTAGGAATAAGTATGATATAATGATTATAGATACATTATGTAAGATTTAGATAAAGAACTAGCCATTCTTGCTATAATAGTTCGAAAGTAGATGATGTAAAATGAATAGTTTGAAAATTTCATTCAAATTACTCTATTGCAAGAGAGGATATTAGCCTTTGAAGGTTTGACAGACGTGTGCAATAATTTCAACCACCGTACTGGTTGATCGAAGCTAATTCTCGGTCCTCCATATTTGATTAAATCAAAGTATCGCTGAACCATTCTAATCTATTTAATATCGGAGAAATCTGATGCCATCGAGAGTTGATTTAGGCCTGGATCAGTTAATGTCTAATTAATACTTTAGAAAATATTTCAGACCTAAAGAAAGACCTGCAATAGGCAGATTTAGCTCTTGCATAATGCATGGTTAATCAAATTGTGTTTGAATTTTAGCTGACTGTATGTTAGAACAGAGATCAGCTGATTTATTGAACAAGAGTCGGACAATGATGGATAAATATCGGCTGTTATTGTTAAATGATAGTATGGTAAGTTACACTTTCATAAAAGGGGGTGGTGAGTGGCCGAATCGTTTGATGCATGCACGCAAGATCATAGGGTCTGTGGGTTTTGGTTTTTATTTTTACCTGGGCTAAGTCTGTTCCCAAACTCCATTCAGATTTCCTGAAAAAAGAATCTTGTTTATAAAAATATGAATAATAAATATCTTGTGTTTATTTGATAGAAGGTAATATCTATCATCTGTTTTATTTTTAGCGTCAGAATCCATCAGCTGAGATGGTGATGATACAGAGAATGTTACAGCAAGATTTAACGGCTTGTATCAAGGAGGAAAAACGACAAATTCAAGAAGATCCAGGTTCGTGATTGGTTTAATTCTAACTTCTGCCCTGTATTAACAATATAATAATTGGTCAACTATTTGACCCTGTTTTCCTATCTTGTACCAGACAAAGTTAAAGGGGCAAGGGATATTGAATTGATCTCCTGATTTGTTTCTGAAACATATCTCATGAATCACTGTAGTCGTGCAGTTTGTTAATTAGAAACTCCCCACTGGAATTATGTGTGCTTTTCCTCAAAAATTCTTCCTTCTTCTCATTGCACAAATACTCCCTTCACATAGCACGAATTCTCCCTTCACATTGAACCCTTCACATTGCACAATCTCCCTTCACATTGCACAAATTCTTCTTTCACATTGCACAAATTCTCCCTTCACATTGCACAAATTCTTCCTTCATATTGCATAAATTGTTCTTTCACATTGCACAAATTCTCCCTTCACATTTTACAAATTCTCCCTTCACATTTCACAAATTCTTCCTTCACATTGCATAAATTTGTTCTTTCACATTGCATAAATTTGTTCTTTCACATTGCACAAATTTCCATAGATGTTAGTCTCAAAATGACCTATAACACCATTCATTTCCATTCATTTCAGAATCATTTCAGCCGATGCCTTTAAAATTTCTAAAAATAAAAGAATCAACATCGGATCAAAGTTTTGAAGAAAATAAATCTGTGAAAAAAGAATCGAGTTTTGAGGAGGAGACTAGTGTTCACGATACATCAGAGGAGTCAGACCAAAATGTAGCTATTCCATTCGATAAATCGGCACCTGTGTTTAAAAGTTCGCCATCAAGTGGAACGATGAAATTGTTAATTCGTAAACAAAGTCAGGGTTTTGTGAGTAGTTTGGCTTCGGAAGGAAGTGATTCGCCTAAACCAAGTAGTCCGTTAGTGTCTGTAAAAATGGAACCCGTAGATTCGAATTTTGAAATCCGCTCGTCTAAATACTCGAAGTCGGGGTCGAGTGATACATGTGATAGTGTTTATTCAAAATCTTCGACGGGATTCGTGAGTGACATGTCATACCCTAAAGCCAAGATCAAATCGGAACCTCAAACTTCGGACCCTAAAAATCCCTTGCATATACACATTGACAGTGATGTGGAGGTTAACCATGATGCCTCATTTCAACATTCGGACGAATCGTACGAGGATTATAAAGACAGTGTTTTGATTAGTCGTGACATGTCAAATATGTCACATACTGACGTCAGTGACGCGAGTATGACGGAAGATTTGCATGCTGAGTTTGACCGGACGATATCATCTCCTATTGGTCAGTCATATCCAAACCCTCGGCATCACGAATCAAAATCAATGAATGATATGGCGTTGAGTATTGGTGAAAACCTGACAGAAAGTATATGCAATGATCGGTCGGGACGAGAAAGGGGAGATATCGTGGACTCCGTAGAGAGTGGAACATATAGTTCCATTAGTCCCTCTCAATATCATTCGGGGTTAGGGATTGTGGGTAATAATGTGCATGACGATGATATTTATCTACCTTGTAGTTCAGTAGGTCAAGGTCAGACTAGTAACGTTGATGTGTCGTCAAGAACGTTTTGTTCATCTGGTAGCGTTTTAACGAGAACTAACAGTTTATCAAATGAATTAATGTCAGTTGATCCGAACGAAATACAATCGTTAAACAATCGACCCCTTTCATCTTATTCTGTGTCATCATATCATCGGCAAATTTCATCAGTGTCAGAGTTCGAGCCGAATGACTTCAATACTTCATTTGGCTCGGATTCTGTGACCGAACCCCAAAACTCCTTGTTAAGCAATCAAATGCAGAGTGCTATTGACAGTATCCTTGACAACGAACAAGATCAGGACCAGGACGAAACTGGGGATGAATATTTACCCGATCAATCAAATTCGTTAAATAGTCAGGATGTCAGTGAAGATGATTTTGATGAAGAGGATGCTAGTATGGAAGAATATTCTCCTAAACATCAGTGGTCAAAGGGGGATAACTCTGATATAGAAGAAGATGACGACGAAGATTCTGCTGCCGTTAAAAGTATTTTGATGTAAAATTTATTTTACATATATATATATATTATATTACATAGATATTCTATGTCTCGCAGTTATTGATTGGTCCAATTACTTGTCCTTTTCCAATCAGCTTACCCATATCATGAGCTTTATAAGATTTCAATATTTGATTTTATAATAGTGAGAATGATGTCGGGGAGCTCTGAACACTTTATGAAAATGCCTAATTAAATTATGTTAAGATTACCGGAGGGATAATGCCATGGCATAGATTAGATCTTGTAGCCAATGAAAGGACGTTATTATAAGTTTTGAGGAATAATCCTGCTGATGTTTGAGAGTTGAATCTATATTTAATAAAACCTCTCGTTGATTAAAACTGCTGCCCTTTTTAATGTTTGATCTCGTGCTGTATTACAGTAAAACAAAAAACTACCGTAAACAGAACCGCTGATTGTCATCTGTTTTTTTGGGATGATATCAAATATTTCACGGCCCAATCCACACTAAAATATTGAATATTTAAGAGTTAATTAAAAAAAAAAAAACCCAAAGAACAGATACCAACTGTAGATAATCTCCTCTCAACTTGATTCAATCGGATTATGATGCAGATAAGGAGCAGGTGGTGCTAGATTCTGATACTATCCTATTTATATCGTTTAAAAGAGGAGGCCGAATGTTGACAAATTTTCAATTTATCTCTCTCCTTTATAAATACTAATCAGAATTGAACCATTGTTGGATTGATATTCCTTTTAGAGATTCAACTTTGACAATATTGTAGTTTGAAATTGATTATCAGTGGGGTTGGGTGGCTGAATGGTTAGCACGTGCGCGCTGTACCATAAAGTCTGTCATTGAGTCAACTAGCGTGGTTTTGAATCCCCGGTTGTACGTGGCAAGGAGTAGGGTTGCCTGTCCAACCGCGTGGGTTTTCTCCGGGTCCTCCGGTTTCCTCCCACTGCTAAAGACCCCTATGCGCAAGCGAATTATTGAAATAAAATTAAACCATGTGTTAGTGCCGAAATGACCCAGTTTGTGTCGAGTGGACGTTAAGCCCCATTTCTAAAAAAAAAAAAAAATAGAAATTGATTATCAGAGACTTGAGTTGTTGATCAGATTAGACCTCCGTTATCAATGTTAAAAATTAATAACGGTCAAAAATGGTGCGATTCTTCATTTTGTTGGAATCATTTCTGACGATCATGTTTATGCCAAAGTTTCTTGTTTTACTGTAGTTCTTTGTTTTGTATAAATTGACTTGTCTATGAATGGATGGGATTGACAAATGATTCAAGTATGTAAATTAATTATTTTTACAATTGACAAGGAAGATCTCTAATCTACATGTACTTAAACAATAAATTAAGATATAATAAAAAAACAAAAGTAGATAACTGCACAACCAAACACAAACAGAACAAACAATGCAGTAGAGACGATATAATTATAGACACATTCCCCGAGCAGATACAACATAGGCCGAACTTTTATTTTAATTTATTCACTCAGAGATTGTAACTTTCCTTATATTTATGCCAGGAGTACAGTAGCTTTAACAGGTCTTTGTACTGAATAAGAAAATGACCTTCTGTGGGAAAACATGTAATTAAAAAATGAAGAAAAAAAAAGTTTTGAGAATGAAAATAGTTTTACAGCGCCTCGGACTTGATGTTAATTTATCGTTTATTATCAATCTGGGAAAAAATAGGATCCGTAATGTATTACTATCCCTGCTTTAAAACGGCTAAATATAAATATGTTTCTGGATAGTGAACATATGTTACTTGTTTTGTTGACATACACCAACCAATCCCTATCTTCATTAGCCCAGTCAGTGCAGAATAGTGAGACGTTAAACCCCATTTCATGTCCCTGTGTGTCAGAGGTAATTATGATATATATAATATGTTGTGAATATAAATCTATATAATATAAATAACTACATGTAACATTGTATATAAAATGTCATCATCATTGTAACTCTGTTAAATTGTGCTAACTTTAATATAGATTCATCCAGGAATAATCATGATACATTTAGACATGTCGTCGGTGAAGTGTCAAAAGGGTGTATCTCGGGGGGAAATTAGTGTATTTTTGAAATCTCCCAATTAATATGCACATTTCTGTCTAAGCTGTGTATCTCTACACCAATTAGAACTGTTCTGGGTATCATGTATCCAAATGTTGTATCTTGATTTGTGGAAATTTTGAAATGCAAAAGGTTCTAATTCTTAATCTTTAGAAATTCTTAGATACATCCTTTTGACACTTCACCGACGATGTGCAATTTTACGTGACCGTTGATCAGATACTTGAAAGAGCATTAGGAACCGTGTTTTATAATCATGCCTTATACATGTATAAATCCTGATAATAATATAATTTATACAACTGCTGATCTACATTGAGTGGTAGGCATATGATGTCTAGACATGGGGCGGGACGATATTTGTCGACACCGTGAGGAAGGGGGCGGAGCAGAATTGCTTGACGTCATGCTTTAGATGCGTCCCTTCTAGATATTAAAATTAATTAGTAAATTTGCCATAAATACAGTAGTGGGAATAATGAAGTCTAACTCTTTTTTATTAAAGTTAAATTATTTAGGTGGAAAATAAGATAAACAGGTGATTTCAGTATTTAAAAACAAAAAAAGAGAGAGTAGAATTTTCCATGTTTAAAAACAAATCAAGTTACTTGATACGCCTATGTATCATGGTTATAGCCCAGATGATGGGCCTATGTATCAGGGTTATAGCCCAGATGATAGGTCTATGTATCGGGGTTCAAGCCCCAATTGATGGGCCTATGTATCTTGGTTTTAGCCCAGATGATTATTGTGTTTTTGTATAAGAATTTTCTCAGTGTTTTCTATATAGTGTTTCTGTAAAGTGCACCCCTGTTTTAAGTTTTTAACACATGTACTGATTGACATGTTTTCTTTTTCATGTATTAGACTATAGATATTGCATGCTGGTTCATGCCTGACCTTGTAGACTCTTTATAAAATTCCTTATAACTTTTCATCGGAGCCTGTTAGAGAAATACTTCACTCCTTTTAAGGCAATAATTATCCAGAATAATACTCATCTAAATTATATTGAGATTGGTCAGTCTGTCAGAATCTGATTGGAAAATGATTTGATATTATCAGCTTTAACTTTTATAATGGAATATAAAAATATTTTGTTACGAAATTTATTTCACTTATTGGCGTTGAACAACTTCCCTGACAACCACATGTAATTATGTAATTATTTTTACACTTATTACTCGACCAAGCTCCATTTTCACTGGCACCTCTGATGACATTGTTTAAAATGTTTTTTCTTTGAGGGGGGGGGGGGGGGGTAAATGAAGGGAACATGTTTCTCACTTGATTAAATTGATTGAAGTTTAAAGAAAGTTGCTTTTTATTTGTTGGCCTCGAATTAATCTTCGGAAATGCCACCGCTCAGGCAAAATTTTCCTCTTTCATGCCTGTTTGAAACTTCCTGCAATACATGTGTCTTCTTTCAATTGTATTCTTATAAAATTTTCTACCGAATTGAAATTGACCATCTTGTATTGAGCATTCAAATGGGGCTGCGGGGTAGCAGTTAAACATGTGACATGGTTTTGATTGCCTGCTTGTACGTGACGAGAAGTATTTCCTCTTGTCAGAGGTGCTGGACAAAGGGGGCCTGACAAGTACAGTTATCTAGTCGTTTGGATGGGACGTTCACAATGGTGTGCATGCAAAAGAACCCTTGACAGTTGGAATTCGATACAAGAGTAGGCCGTAATACCACTTTACAAGCAAAATCCCCCCCACCCCATAGAACACTACAGTATGCCCTTCTTCATTAGCTCAGTCATTTCATTTCATTTCAGATATGCCAGTGAAAATTGGACCTTACTTAACTTAGCTTTATCTTCAAAGATATTTTTTTAATCAAAAACTTTTGGGTCTTAGGAATTTTGTGTGGCTCTGCTTACTTATCTGTATCCATTGTGATATGAACTACTATATATTTTATATTTCAAACACTTTACTTGTTTCCTATTTCTAACCAACAAATCTCTTTATCTTGTCACGTTATTATCTATCATTGTATTAATTTGGTTGCTGTTTTAAATGCAATTCAGGCGTAAACCTGTGCATACTTTCTGATTCTATATTAGCAAAAAAAAAAAAAAAATTGTCAACGAAAGTTTTATGAAGGAAAGACCACTGTTAAAATTAGTGCGAATAAATTGTTATACAAGTAAAATAAAAAAAATGAATGTTATCATGCAATAGGAGAAATAATATGCAACTTAATTTTATGTATAACTGTATTCCCAAAATAGATTTATGGGACCAAAGTTGAACATATCAGTTTATCAATTATGTTTAAGTAATAAACTAGAACACATACTTATGGAAAACAGTTACTAATATATTTAGTGGCATTGAGTAACTGAATAGAATAAGCTATAAGACATACTTATGGAAAACTGCTAGAAAGTGGCATTTAGTAAACTGGATAGAATAATAAGCTGTAATACATACTTATGGAAAACAGCCACAAAGTGGCATTTAATAACTGGATACAATAATAAGCTATAATACGTAATTATGGAAAACTGCTAGAAAGTGGCATTTAGTAACTGGATAAAGTAAAAAAAAACCTATAACATGTTATCAATAAGTGTCTGTTTTCAATAAGTGTCTGTCTTCCATAAGTATGTGTTTTAGTTTATTGGTCTATGCAGGAACTCAATGCCACAAAAACATGTCTTATTTGAAAGATCATAAATTTTATAGGTTGCTATGGTGTATCCATAAATTACATGTACTTAATTAACTATATGGCATGTAAATTAAATATTCTAGCCAGTTTCGTTGGCAATAAGTTGAATAACAAAAAGATAAATTTTATATGTTGCTATGGTGTATCCATAAACTATTTGTAGTTTATTAACTAAGGCTATTAAAATGAATCTTAGACTAACAAATAAAATTTAAGCATTAAAGAACATCAATGTATTGGTTATTAAGATGGATCAAGTGATTGTTCGAACAGGTGATAGAAATCAAATACGGTACGTGAATAAAAACTAATCTTATAATTAATCAACTTTATGAATTGAGTTTAAAAAAAAAAAAATCTAAACAAAATGGGCTGTTTGAGGATTGAATGCATGTATATTGTTTAGGGTAACCATAAAAGATGTAGAATATTAAGATAAAATACTTCCCTTTGAAATGATGATTGAAAATTATTTAAGTTCAGATTGGATTTTATTTTAAGATTTATGCATGTGTATTTTGTTTTTAGAAGAAAAATAAATATAAAAGTTTGAAATGTAGATAAAATGCTTCCCCTTAAAATGATTGAACATTGTTTAAATTTAGATTAAATTTTGTAAAAAATGAGTGTTTAATAATAATTTTATTCTGATCATTGTACATTGTATCACTTGTCTCACTGGTAGCTTTGTAAATAGCCATTAAACAGCCATTATTTATTGCTTCCCTGTAAAAAAATCATAAACCACAAAAATAACAAAAATATTGTCTTCATTTGTCACAGTTACTGTATTAATAAAAATTATTTTATGAGAGGAAAATATATGTACGATTTGCTGGAAGTATGAATTTTACCAAATTTTTGATTCGATCCCACAGTTCTATGTGATAGTAGTAGGGCTGCCTGCTCAATCTCGTAGGTTTATCTGGGACCTCCAGTTTCCTTCCACTGTTAAGACACATATGTGCAAGCAAATTGTTAAAATAATTTATACCATATTTTACCATATGTTAATTTCCGAATTGATCTAGTTTGTGTTGAGTGGACTTAAACCCCACTTCTCGCTCACCCAAATATTTGACAAATTTGGGTAATAATAGTTGCGCCAAATGAGTGACAATGTATGCAATGCTAGTAAATAAAATTAAACCTTTTGTAAGTTCCAAATAAATTTAGGACATGGAGATAGATGTAAAAAATTTTGAAAGCTAAGAATCACAGAGTGTCTTGCTGTTATTTAATTTGTTAAGCTAAGTAGTGCTGAACATTTTATCACAAGGAAAGTGCCTTGAAATGTTGGCCCTAATCTTCTACAGACGTAGATGCTATAATCGGTTCCCCCAAACCTAGAGAGGAGATACATAATCACGATTACTGATTGATTGACAGATGTGAGCTCGGGTTAGGGCGTGGCAGGCTTCTTAATTTTTGACTAAAACATAGTATTCATATTATAGGGTCAATTATAAGCTCCACCCCTTTTCCATATAATGAGTGGGATGATATATAGCATCCGTCTTCTAATATTTTTCAATTTCTTGTCTAGGTCAACCGATTTAGGGTTGTGGCTTTTATTAGCTTTCATCCTGTTGAGACCTAAAAGGTTGGTTAATTATCTTAAAGCACTCCTACACCACACGTGGAGAACTAATAAAATTCCATGGTTACGGTTAGCGATTGGATTATAAGGTCTCGAAATGATGTGCCATTTTTGGAAAAAAAAAGCTGTCTATAAAAGATTTGATAATCCTGTCTTTAACACTGGAACTTGATTGGTTCAGAACCCGAAGAGCTAGGAAGATATTTTATGCCATTGTCAATGAGAAAAGCGATATCTTGGACTACAGTAGTAACCCGTAGTATTAAAAGCTGGATAACCAGCCCAGATACGGCATGCAATTCCCTCATGTACGTCACTTCCTAATATAAAACTGTAGTGACGTTATTTATAGCCCTTTTGGCATTATTAAATCTATTTTCAGCTGTCTTTGTAAGCTTATGAAAAAATTGATGTAGTATTTATCAAGTTAAATAATGTAACTAATTCATCTACGAATCATCATAGCAATACTTCTTCGTTTTTATCATCAATACAATTATTGTGAGTCGAGTTATTGTAGCCTTGTCTGTTCGTGTATTAGTAAAGGGCAGACAAGTGTCTGTACTTTAGTAAGGGCAGATAATCGTGTCTGTAAATGTAAGTAAGAGTATATTTTGCATGATTTAGTGTATAGTAGATATATAGTGATGATGTTTATATATTTTCTTTGTTTATTTGTATATGAAATGAATACAATTCTTCAACAACTGAATACTGGGTTTATTTTTATACGTCCACATTGATCCGATTTTGATGTTTTTATATCCCAGAGATCTCGGTTCCTGTCGATATTAGATATTCACGCATATCGGAACGTAATTTCATGGATTATGACCCCTGATTGTTCGAAAAATCGCGTTTTTAGCTAGTAGGCCCCCTAAAAGTCACAATTCTTTATCCTATTTTAAAACCGTTTAAAGGCTCAATACCACTCTTGTTGTAACTGAATAATATGTCCCAATCTTTATTCTGGTCAACAAATTGTACTATTTTACAATATTCCAATTAATTGGTGATACAAATTTCATCTCAACACACCTAATTTAAAAAATTGGAAAAATTCAACTAAATGATTTGAAAAGCCTAACGTAAACCGTTTCAAATGTGACTTGGATTTAAAAATATTTTCGAACCCTCTGGACAAGTAAAATAGGATGTAATGGATAATTTACACAACAGGTAGGACACTTAAACATCTAGTACTAAGAATAAGGCTATTATTTATTTTCTGGAGCTGTCAAGCCAGCAGAAGTGTTATTGTCCCTTTAAATATAACACTGCTACACCCTAATGATGGTTGAGTGTGAATTTCGTGAAAATTGGACCGAAATTGTCGGACAAAATAGCCGCTCCTTATAAAAGTATGGGATATCAATGTTGTGGAACCTAGCTACAGGTCACAAATTTATTCCGTGTCATTCCATTCCGGAGTTACCGTCCTTTTCCCAAAATCTTGAAACCCTACAGTTCATAACATATTTTCTGTTTGCAATTTGATATTAAAGGAGCTAAATCGCTAATATTTAGGACCTAGAAATTGACCCAAATGGGTCGAAACGCATATAATAATGTAATCTGGTTGTATATAAACTGATATATATAAACTGAGGTGAGAGACCATTCTGTACACAGAGATCCATACTTCATACTTCGAGGGGGGGTTGGATGGCTGAATGGTTAGCACGTGCGCGCTGTACCATAAAGTCAACTTGAGTCAACTGGCGTGGTTTCGAATCCCCGGTTGTACGTAGCAAGGAGTAGGATCGCCTGTCCAACCTCTTGGGTTTTCTCCGGGTCCTCCGGTTTCCTCCCACTGCTAAAGACCCCTACGCGCAAGCGAATTATGGAAATAAAATTGAACCATGTGTTGGTCCCGAAATTACCTAGTTTGTGTCGAGTGGACGTTAAACCCCATTTCTCTCTCTCTCTCCATCTACTTTATACCTCGAGAAAAACTCTGCTCTAAATGACCGCCATATCCAAAAAATTAGTATACATTTTTATAATGCGTTTCTGCTACGTTTCACAACTGGCATACACACAAAGACTAAATAAACCTATTTCGTTTCGTTTTTTATACTTCCGATGGCCTAAACTACATGAAGATATAACAAGTTGTACTTGAAGGTCGTGTCAGTGGTCGTACGAGCAGCGTTCGACCCTATGACGTCGGACATTGATCAATCAATCAGCGTTGACGTTTCTAGTGGTTTACCCACAGTTCCGTGCATGGTACGCCAAAAAGTCGCTGTAACAGACCGTTTCATTGACTAATCCCTCACTTTAACCAAAACGCCAGTAATATAAAAACTCTACCAGATCCTAGTGTAGTGAAGACAAGTAAAACGAAATTTTGAACTATAAAAAACGATACCAAATAGGCTCTTTGTTTTAATCAGATTGTTAGATGAAGCAGAATAAATATTTCTCAAAATCCTGGAAGTATACTTAGTGTTTTCGACTAGACGGGGATTACGGTGGCTAAGTGGGTAAGACGCTGGCTCGCTAGCCTTGAGGTTGGATGTTCGATTCCTGCTGAGAAAGTTCATCCAGATTTTCCAGCGTGGTTCTCCCTTGTCAGGGATGTAGGACGGAGGGCCTGACAAGGACAGCTGTCTAGTCGTTCGAATGGGACGAACAACCGAGGTCCCGTGTACACATTGGCATGCACGTAAAAGATCCCTCGACAGTTGGAATTCGATATAAGAGTAGGCCGTAGTGCCGCTGTCCGAGCAAAATTTCCCTCATAGCACACTGTATGACGTATGCCCGTCTTCATTAGCCCAGTCCGGAGCAGAACAGTACGACGTTAAACCCGATTTCATTTCATTCACTTCATTTTCGACTAAACTCGTCGATTTACAATCTGGTTAAAACACAGATCCTATTTCGTTTCGTTTTTATAGTTCAAAATTTCGTTTTACTTGTCTTTACTACACTTGGATCTGGAAGAGTTGTTATTTAACTCGTGTTCTGAATGGTGTCAGGGATAAGCCAATGAAACGGTCTGTCACGGCGAGCTTTAGGCGTGTTTTGCACGGAACTGTGGGTAATCCATTAGGAACATCAATGCTGATTGGTTAATCAAATGTCTGACATCATAGGGTCATAATTCGGTCTTTTGACCCCTGACGTGACCTATCGCTATAACTTGTCAGATCTTCATGTAGTGTAGGCCATCGAAAGTATAAAAAAACGAAACGAAATATAGATCTGTATTTTAATCAGATTGGTCGATTTAGGACTTAAAATGTCGGTCAACTAGCTTAGTGTCTGTTCTCAAGTGGAGCTAATTGTAGACACGCAGCCTAAGTTTAGTATGGTGAAGGCTGGCTCGCTAGCCTGGAGGTCGGGTGTTCGATCCCCGCATAGGCCGAGAAAGTTCATCCAGATTTTCCGGCGTGGTTTCCCCTTGTCAGTGATGCAGGACGGAGGGCCTGACAAGGACAGCTGTCTAGTCCTTCGGATGAGATGAAAAACCGAGGTCCCGTGTATACATTGGAATGCACGTAAAAGATCCCTTGGCAGTTGGAATTCGATATAAGAGTAGGCCATAGTGCCACTGCCCGGGCAAAATTTCCCTCATAGCACACTGTATAGCGTATGCACGTCTTCATTAGCCCAGTCCGGAGCAGAAAAGTAGGACGTTAAACCCCATTTCATTTCATTCACTTCATTTTCGACTAAACTCGTCGATTTAGGACTTAAAATGATGGTCAACTAGTTTAGTGTCTGTTCTCAAGTGGAGCTAACTGTAGACTGACAGCATAAGTTTAGTATGGTGAAGGGTCGGTTGTTTATTTATCCAACAATATGACTTAATTAAGATAATGTCAAATAACAATAACCTTTAATTATCTTCACGCCAATAGGGCCTATACGTGTAGTAATGTTATTACCATCCGTGTTACAAATTCCATATTCATCAACGGGTGTCCTTGAAATGAACTAGTTTCGACACTTGACCAAACACTCTCCGACATTCACGCGAAAACTAATCGACTACAAATTGGACAAAATCTGTTTGCGGCCACCCGACGGACCCATGTTTACGATTACCCGATGGGCCCGTGTTTACGGCTACCCGACTGACCCGCCGTGTTTACGGCTACCCGATGGATCCGTGGGGTTTAACGTCCACTCGACACAAACTAGGTCATTTCGGGACTAACATATGGTTCAATTATTTCAATAATTCGCTTGCGCGTAGAGGTCTTTAGCAGTGGAAAGAACCGGGAGGACCCGGAGAAAACTCAGGAGGTTGGACAGGTGACCCTACTCCTTGTCACATACAACCGCGGAATCGAAACCACGCCAGCTGACTTAATGACAAACCTTATGACACTCTCAGAGCCAGCGGCGGCGCCAAGGGAGGGGGGGGGGGCAATAATTTTAGAGAAAAAAAAGTATTTGTGATTATACGTTTCGGTAATCAATACCTTGTACAGTGTACAGTGATTAAATCCCACATCCCCACTCAGTCATAGACTTGCATGTTATAGAGTCTGCGTGATCTCTTACCAAGCCCATCCTGCTGTATTAAACCTTCTATAAGCAAGAACACATGAATTACTTGAGAAGTGCTTTTTACGATCCTCAAAGTGTTTGGGTATAGGTGCAACGCGGCGAAAATATGTATTCACCTGATAAAATCACTTCGTTCGTTTGATACAGCCCTCTTTTCGGATAAGCTGTTGATTTGGCGAGGAACCGTATCTGATCAGCTCTATTTATCTCGACGACCAGTGTCTGAAATGCTGCCAGGCTGCATTTCCGGCAGTCTATTTGACAAAATATCGTGGCGAAAATATTCATTCCCTTTGAGTCACTCACTGCGTCCGTTTGACACTTTCGTCTCTGGTCGGATAGTGATTTGGCGACAGGTGGTATCTGGTAAGCTCTATTTATCTCGACGATCAATGCCTGAAATACTGCCGGACTGCATTTCGGGAATTTCGTTGAGGTTCGCAAGTCCGTTTATTAGACGCTTTCCTCTCTGGGGTCGGAGAAACTAGTGATCAGACGACAGACGGCATCTGATCAGCTTTATTTATCTCTACAATCGGTGCCTGAATATTGTTAGACAGTATTTCCGGCAGTCTATTTTTCAAAATTTTCTTGGGGAGAGCCCCAATACCCCCCACAAGGACTTCACAAGGGGACTTCGTTGGGGTTCGGAAGTCCGTTCGTTTGACATTTTGTTCTCTGGTCGGATAAACTAGTGATCAGGCGACGGACGGTATCTGGTCAGATCTATTTATCTCGATGATCGGTGCCTGACTGAATACCCCATATCCTCCGTAAGGGCTCCCTTATTTGGCGCTCGCGAGTGGGCTTCGTGGAGGTTCGCAAGTCCGATCAGTGCCTAAAATACTGCCAGGTTGCATTTCCGGCAGCCTGTTTTTCAAAATTTTCTACCCTTATTTAAAGCTCGTGCCTTTGCCCCCTTAACCTTGGACTTTGCCCCAGCTTTGCCCCTCCAACCACCGACGGCTGGCGCCGCCACTGCTCACAGCGCGCACGTGTTAACCATTCGCCCCCTCCCCCACACACACATACACAACAATAAAGAGGTAGTATGTGGTGATATATTAGGTAGTGTATTGGGTGAATCGTGAATCGTTCTGTCACTCTACAGCTGTTGATGATGGAGCTGTGAATTACAATAATGTTCTATCACAAACTGTAGATTTCATATCACCTTTTTCCAAATAAATAAACTTGTCGGTTGATGATCGATATGAAACAAATCAACAGTGATAAAGGTAAGTATGTTTCTTGTACAGCTTATAAATTTGACAACTGACACTCGATATATAATGCCTGTATTATGATTACTGTAAAATAACTAAAATAAATAAGATGTCAGTGGAGACGGACATATTATGCCATGCATTGTGTTATGTCAGTGGTTTTCAATCTTTTTTTTTTGCCAACGGCACACCTTGGTACACATGACAAAATAGCGGCACACCTGGCTAACTATATATGGAAAATATTTGAAATGGCAAGTCAGACGGCATACACCCATAGACAGACACTAGTCATAGACACATGACTTAAATAAATAAAGAAAAACACAACTATGAACTTATAAGTAGATACCAGAGAATACGCTATGGGGATCATGTGGTTTTTCACATTTTCTTAGTGTGCCGTTCAAAATTCCACGGCACACTTGGGAAAACCTCGCGACACACCTGTGCGCCGCGGCACACTGGTTGAGAATCAGTGTGTTATGTGAAGGAAATTTCACCCGGACCGCGAAACTGCGATCTACTCTTATTTCGAATTCCAACTGTTACGGGTTTTTGTACGTGCACGCTAAATGTGTACAAGGAATCTCGGGTTTTTGTCCCTTGCTATAGGCCCTTCCTTTGCTGTATAATAAGTTCAATATAATTATGGTTGTAAATTTGTACAATCGAAGCTGTTTATGAGTTTTAATATTTTGCTTATTGTTTGAGGGAAAAATTTACTGCAATTAATAAAATAGCATTTTAAAATGCCTTAGTAATTAACACATTTTCGAAGTAGCGATCTTATCTGAAATGTACGGAAGACCAATAGGGTCAATCAATGAACAATCTCGTAATTTTAAGCTCGCTCACATACCCCTATTAATATCAATGAATTATTTCATGCCACCATTAATAATATTTTTGATTCCTTTTTTGTCCGATTTGACTTTCTTTCGTTTTGAACTTTACGGTTTTATGGTCGTTTGCGAACTTTACAATTCATCATTTCTTTGTAAATACTGAACCTAAACTGAACCATTTTTTTAGACTGAAATTCGTTTTAGAGATTCAGCTGTCACAATATTGTAGTTTGCAAACGATTCACAGTCCCTCTTAAATAAGATATATTCCGCAAGGTTTAGACAAAGGGCTGATCGTTCTTGCTATAATAGTTCAAAGGCAGATAATGAAACATGAGGATACTGAAAATTTCATTGAATAAATGTCTAAATAAACCCATCTCTGCAAATCTTTCTTCTTTCGGAGAACGATCCTTCTCTTTCCAGGCACCGAAACTCTGGAATAAGCTCCCTTTTTTTCATAAGGTCAGCAAAATCTATTACAATATTCAAACAATCACTAAAAACACATATTTATACACAGGCGTTTAGTTAAAAAGATTTGATATATCTTGCATATTTATAATATGATAATGTCATTTTCTATATGTATGTAATTTTTTCATGTAGACGTTTATGTACATTTGAACTTTATATTGTTTTAATCAATCCATGTTTTTTGTAAAAGCGCCTCTGAGCATTGCTCTGGGGGGGTTGGATGGCTGAATGGTTAGCGTGCGCGCGCTGTATCATAAAGTCTGTCATTGAGTCGACTGGCGTGGTTTCGAATCCCCGGTTGTACGTGACAAGGAGTAGGGTCGCCTGTCCAACCTCGTGGGTTTTCTCCGGGTCCTCCGGTTTCCTCCCACTGCTAAAGACCATTACGCGCAAGCGAATTATTGAAATAAAATTAAACCATATATTAGTCCCGAAATGACCTAGTTTGTGTCGAGTGGACGTTAAACCCCATTTCTCTCTCTCTCTCTCTCGCATTGCTCTGCGGTGGAAAATGAGCGCTGAATAAATATCTTTTTAATAATAATTTATATAACATTTTGTGATCTTTCATAACGCATCTCTCTCTCTCTCTCTCTCTCTCTCTCTCTCTCTCTCTCTCGTTAATACAGTGTAACAATATATAACATTTTGTGATCTTGCATAACGCATCTTTAATAACATGCTCTCATTTAGACAGGTGGCGACCTTGAAACTGTGTTAACGATTTTCACTTGATTGACACTAATGGTCTTCCTTATTCTTTATAATATATAAAATAGAGTACATTGTATGTTGTTGTTATTGTGGAACGAGGTGTTGGTTAAAATCAAAAACAAGGCATAATTTTACTATATATTTTATTTCCACGATTGACTTAATTTTTAAATATTGAAATGAAATAAGGGTTCAACGTCTTACTTTTTCTGCACGGATGGGTCGAAAAACCGAGATCCCGTGTACAGATTGATGTGCACCTAAAAAAAAACCTTGCCAGTTTGAATTCGAAATAAGAATAGACATTGGCGCCGCTGTCCGGACCCAATTTCCCTCACAGCACACCGCACGCCCTAGGCCTATTTCATTTCTGCACCAACTGGGCTAATGAAGACATTGCCGTTCATTAAATATTATTGAATAAATTCTGTCACGGACATTTTTCAGAATGAAGTTTGTCATCATAGCTGTTCTTCTTGTCGCTCTATTGGTTGCACCAGGAGAATGTGGCTGGCGCTGGGGTCGCCGTGCTCTTAATAGTGTTAATAGATTTATGGCAAGATACGGAGAGGAGTCATACGCGAGTGCAAAAAGAAATATTGAAACTGACACAGAAGGAGGCAAGTATTTACAATGTCATACTTTTTAAGATGAATTATTCAAGAGATAAATCTTCCTAATGCAGATCTTTCAAAAATTATATAAATCATTAACTAGACATCTTTTCACATACCAGAGAGAGAGAGAGGGGGGAAATGGGCTTTAACGTCCACTCGACACAGACTAATTTTAATTCAATAATTCGCTTGCGCGTAGGGGTCTTTAGCAGGGGGGGGGGGGAAACCGGAGGACCCGGAGAAAACCCTCGAGGTTGGACAGGTAACTCAACTCCTGTCACGTACAACCGGGGATTCGAAACCACGCCAGTTGACTCAATAACAGGCCTCATGACACAGCGCACACGTGCTAACCATTCGGCCATCAAACCCCCTTTCACATACCAAGCCCATAATCAACTCTATAGAACATCGGATGGTTTTGATTTTCAACGGATTTAAACGCGATTGCCAGTTAATAATTTAATCAAAATATGGATGATCGAGATTTTGTTTATTATCGTAACAACGGTAATAAATGGCCATAATTCTACTCAGAATTAATTAATAATTGACGTGGATAATATCAAAAATAAATATGAAAATAAAGAAATTGATCTCTTATATTTAAAATAAAGTCAGTAAATGACATCTGAATCAATAAAAATACATATTGTTAATCTGGATAAAGCAATACACAAAAACACATACTTATGGATTTATTTGGGTTGGGCGACGTTTCGAAGAATTGTTGTTATAGTTTTTCTTTTCGTGAATTGTTGTTATAGTTTTTCTGTATATATTGACCTCATAATTCTTGTATTACTGTATTAGCTTGGTAACGGCGAGAGAAAACTCTTCGAAACGTCGCCCAAATAAATTAAGTAGCCGTTATTCCATAAGTATGTGTTTTTGTGAATACATGTTGTTGTTAGAAATATAATATAATCTTATGTTGTTGAATACATGTTGTTGTATAGAAATATAATATAATCTCATGTTTGAATATTTCAGCTGATGGATTTGTTGGATAGTCGGATATTTTACATATACCGTTAATAAGATTTGGACTCGATAAAAATCATCAAAACTGAAACAATCTTTCATTTTTTGTTTTTACAAGAGAGGGATAGAGAGAGATGGGGGTTTAACGTCCACTCGACACAAACTAGGTCATTTCGGGACTAACACATGGTTCAATTTTGTTTCAATGATTCGTTTGCGCGTAGGGGTCTTTAGCAGATGGAGGAAACCGGAGGACCCGGAGAAAACCCACGAGGTTGGACAGGCGATCCTAGTGACTGTGGTATCCCGTACCCCTTACCCACTCCTAGTGACTGTATCATCTCGTACAACCTACCCCCCCCCCCTTAGTGACTGGTATCTCTTACCACCTAGCCCCTCCTAGTGACCGTGGTATCTCTTACCACCTACCCCCTCCTAGTGACCGTGGTATCTCTTACCACCTACCCCCTCTTAGTGACTGTGGTATCCCGTACCACCTCCACCCTTTCTAGTGACCGTAGCATCACTTACCACATACCCCCTCCTAGTGACTGTAGCATTTCGTACAACCTACCCCCTCCTAGTGACTGGTATCTCTTACTACCCACCACCTCCTAGTGACTGTGGTATCTCTTTTTAGACAATTGCTGTTACTTCAGAGACATGTCAAAATCCCAAAATTATTTTAAACCGGATTTCTTTGTCGAGTGAAGTCCAGATCCAAAATATATCGCTTCAAATAACACCGAGGAGTGATCGGTACGAGATCGAGGTAGAGTATGTCAACCCTTTCTCGAACACCAGATATAACTTGCCATTAGTGAGGTCCAAAATCAAATAGATAATATTAGTCTTGTAGTTTTGTATATAAATACCCCACAGGCGAATTTAACATATTTATAACAATTTCAGAAAATACATGTACGAGACCCAAGGGGCTATCAGTTTATTGACCGTCTTTTGTGTCATCTTCTTCTTCCGCTGTTTCAATGTCAACATCCTCTACCAAAGCATCTTCTCCAGCTTGAGCTTCAGCTTCACTTTCATTCAATCTCTTAAGTTCGTTGATTTCATGTTCCTCATATCGTGTACGATTGGCTTTCAGTCTCTCAATGACTTGTCGCATCTTAAAAGTCGGAGTATTCCTCATAGCGCGGCTGGCACTATTAAGAGGGATAACAGATTTGGATGCTTTGCCGATATTTATACCAGTAAGACGCTGTAGCACCAAGTCCTGAGTATTGTATGTTCCTCCAAGTTGACTGTCCCTCTTGTGCCCTTTAATATACTCCCAGGCCTTTTTATGTTTTCGTTTGTTATTTCCTTCCCCAGTAAAGCATCTATCTGACCCACGCTCTTCCCCATCGCTCATCGTTTTGGAGAATTTTCGGAAACGGCTGGCTCTCTCACATACAGCTTCATCCAGAGAGTCATCACTGTCGCTATCTCCATATCTACGGGGCGTATCACAATCCTTAAGGAACGTGTTCACCCGTTTTTGAATTTGTTCAAATTGTGAATGCAGTAGTTCAGGAGTTAGTTTTTGATTGGGAAGAACTCTGTGATGACTTGCATCGGTAACTATGCTTTGATTGTGGGATTTGTCGGACACTGAATCTTCTTTGTGGTGTTCGTCACATCTCTCGGGTTTTCCAAAAAGGATAGCTCTCAGATCAACCTTTTCATATTCTGCGAAATCGTCTTCTGAGTCTGACGCTTCGTAACTATAGATACGGGCCGAAGCCAGATTGAGTATTTCTGCAGTACGTTCCAGTCGATTCACCTTGGTACTGGAGCTCTCAGAACCAGCAAATTTCACGTGTTGGTGATGATTTGAACGTGTTGATGAATATTTGTGCCTTTGTGAAAAGTGATCTTTGTCTATAACAGGAAATGTCGTGGAATCGACGCCCTTGGTTGGACGTTTATAATTTGTGGATAATGTAGGAGCCGACCTAGCCGATCGTAAATAGGACATAGTTGATGCATGTGATTTGGCCGTTTGGGAGCGCGGACCTTGTGAATGTGATTTGGCCGTTTGGGAGCGCGAATCTTGTGAATATCCATCCAAATCGCGATGTAGTTTGTGTCTTTTAAGTGATTGTCTAGCTTTAGCTACAAGGGGAGTCACACTTAGATCTGTCACAGATCGAAGACGAACTGGATACACCAACCGTTTCTCAAGATACGAGGTGGTGATGTTGGCGCCAAGTCTCTGAGACGAGCTATCAATCTGAGAATCGTCGTAGTCATAGCTCCGGTTAGGTTCGATCCTCTTTCTGGTTTCTATGTCATGTTTACGTCGATCCAGTTCCAGCAACTTTATCTCAAATCTGTATTTACTCGTATCGCTTTGAATCGTCTGCATCATTTTACTCTTTTCCCGCTCCAACGTGTCCTCGGTCAGTTTGTAATTATTCTCACACACGTTGTTGCGGATAGACGTCATTTTCTCCATCTGAGAACGCCGCTTCTGGAAATCAGTTTGAGCTTCGAGCTTCATCTCTGTGAAGGGGTTGGAGACCAGCTGCTCTGAATCCATTATGAAATAATTACCTGAAATATACAAATAGAATAAAGAAAGATTATTACGCTAACCTCAAAAATAATTGTAAAACATTTTCAATGTCATATTCAAGACACCACTAGACTTACATAATGAAATGAAATAGGGTTTAAAGTCTTACTGTTCTGCTCCGACTGGGCTAATGAAGACGGGCATACGCCACATAGTGTGCCATGTGGGAAATTTTGCCCGGACAGCGTTTACGCTGACAATATGGTGTATATTCTGCAGTGGATAATTTCCGGGACATAAAGATCGATTTACAGATGCATTAGTTACGATTAAGATAAATAGCTATAATAGTTTAAAAATATATAATGAAAAGGGAAGGCCCCGCGCGTGCGCTAGGTCATTTCGGACTAACATATGGTTCAATTTTATTTCAATAATTCGCTTTCGCGTAGGGGTCTTTAGCAGTGGGAGGAAACTGGGGGACCCGGAGAAAACCTACGAGGTTGGACAAGCGAGAATCATTTTGGACTGGGGTACAACTTGAACTATACCTCAAATGAAGATCTGCGACTTTAAATAAAAACCTAAACAAAATGAAGGGTTTACCGCCCTCCTAGGGTTGAATAATCATAATTTAACATGATTTTAAATTAAATATATTAAATATACGATCGATTTACCCACAGTAATTTAATTATATAAAAGGTTTCTAAAAAGCTGTTAAACTTCTAAGGAAAGTACGTGTGAATATTTTAAGTTTAAATTTACTAAACGTGTGAATCAAGACACACCCATAGAAATATATAATACAGAGTTTAAAGATGCATTATGTAAGATTTAGATAAAGAGCTGACAGTGTGACTTTCAGTCACTACTCCTATCAATTTCAAAATTTCAGCATCATAAAATATTTTAAATTATAGTTACAAAACATAAAATATTATAAATTATAGATACAAGACATAAAATATTATGAATTACAGATACAAGACATAAAATATTATAAATTATGGATAAAAGACATAAAATATTATGAATTACAGTTACAAGATATAAAATATTATAAATTACAGTTACAAGACATAAAATATTATAAATTACAGTTACAAGACATAAAATATTATTAATTAGAGTTACATGACATAAAATATTATAAATTAGAGTTACAAGACATAAAATATTATAAATTACAGTTACAAAACATAAAATATTATAAATTCCAGTTACAAGACATAAAATATTATTAATTAGAGTTACATGACATAAAATATTATAAATTACAGTTACAAGACATAAAATATTAAAAATTACAGTTACAAGACATAAAATATTATGAATTACAGTTCAAAGACATGACATAAAATTGAACATAATTGTATTCAAAGGTACATTATCAAAATACTAACTCCAAATAATGTCACGGATATAAAACAGGCCTATCAATAAATTTTCACGGACAGCAAAATGGCGACGGACTTACTTACATATCTTTGTAAATACGGAATTGAACCAGTTATGAACTCCTATTTATATTCACAATATTGTAGTTTGCAAGTGATGCTAAGCGCCAAACTGGCTCATCGAGAATTTAATTCGACTAAAAAATCTAAGATAATTGAGTCACTTTGGTTCAGTAAGGCAATCTGATTAAAATACAGATCTATATTTCGTTTCGTTTTTTTTATACTTTCGATAGTCTACACTACATGAAAATCTGACCGGTTGTAGTGGAAGGTCCTGTCAGGGGTCATAGGAACGACTTTTGACATGACGTCAGGCATTGATTATCCAATCAGCGTTGATGTTTCTAGTGGGCTACCCACAGTTCTGTTCACCGCATGCTAAGAACTCGTCGTAACAGACTGTTTCGTTGGCTAATCCCTCACATCAAACAACGCAGTTTATACAAAAACTCTAATGTTGTGAAGACAAGTAAAACGAAATTTTGAACTATAATAAATGAAACGAAATAGGATCTGTGTTATAATAGAATTATGAGTAAGGTATCACTACGCCGCAATGTTCAGTAAAAGTGAAATCTATTTGTGCATGTAAGAAGGGATTGGGTGATAAATAAAATCTCCTACTCGTCTTATCAAAAAAGACTGGTAGGAGATTCTCTATTTATCCTATACGCGTTCTTATCGTTCTATTGTGGCTAGAAATAATTACAGCGTTAGAAAAAGTAGCCTAAAGCCGTACGTTAAACACCCGTTCATTTCTTTTCATTTGTTAAGTGAACCACTCTCCTACACTTACGATACACTAAAGGGCCCATAGGGGATTAAATAATTTATTTCCTGTTTTATAATTCTAATTATAAACAGAAATGAAATGAAATGAGGTTTAACGTCCTACTGTTCTGCTCCTAACCTGGGCTAATGAAGACGGGCATACGCCATACAGTGTGCTATGAGGGAAATTTTGCCCGGGCAGCGGCACTATCGCCTACTCTTATATCGAATTCCACCTGCCAAGGGATCTTTTACGTGCATTCCAATGTATACACGGGACCTCGGTTTTTCGTCTCATCCGAAGGACTAGACAGCTGTCCTTGTCAGGCCCTCCATTCTGCACCACTGACAAGGAGAAACCACGCCGAAAAATCCCGATGAACTTTCTCGGGTAATTAAAAACACTACGATATTAAATATATGGCTCATTTACTCGCCATGCTCATTTAGTTTTTACTGTTAAAGATGCATTATGTAAGAACTAATTCTGCCTATTGTATATCTTTATTTTGGCTTCAAATGTTATAAAAACTATTATTTAGACATGTATTAGCATAACAAGCCTATACTCAACTCTCTAGAACATCGACTGTATGATCGAGATTTACTTTTTAAAGCAGAGCGACCGTGAGATTAAACAATTTATCGATGAAATATATAATAAATATAGTCTCGATTATCAAGTACCGTTGCTACAATAATAAACAATCTACGTCACATCTTCAAACAGCGATAACTTCGCTCAGAATGAAGTAATTTGAATGAAATTTTCAATATTAATTTGAATTATCTATTAAAACAAGAACGATCAGCCCTTTTAACTAAGAGGGGGTGGTGTGAATGATCGAATGGTTAGCGCGTGCGCGCTATATCATAAAATTTGTCATTGAGTCAACTTGTGTGGTTTCGATTCCCCGGTTGTACGTTACAAGGAGTAGGGTCGCCTTTCCAACCTCGTGGGGTTTCTCTGGGTCCTCAGGTTCTCTCCCACTGCTAAAGACCCCTACGCGCAAGCGAATTAATGAAATAAAAATGAACCATATGTTAGTCCTGAAATGGCCTAGTTTGTGTCGAGTGGACGTTAAACCCCATTTCTCTCTCTCTCTCTCTCCCTCTCTCTCTCTCTCATTGCTCTGCGGTGGAAGATGAGCGCTGAATAAATATCATTTTAATAATAATAATAATAAATAATTTATATAACATTTTGTGATCTTGCATAACGCATCTCTCTCTCTCTCTCTCTCTCGTTAATACAGTGTAACAATATATACAAGGGAATTTGACAACACAATATAACCTAATATTTAAAATCGCTTTCAATTACTGTTCCCGTTTTCATCACCCCAGTCGGTGCAGAGAAGTAGAACGTTAAACACCGTTTCAGTACTCTATTCCCGCCTCTCTCTCTCTCTCTCTCTCTCTCTCTCTCTTTTAACTAAATCTTACATAATGCATCTTTAAATAATTCCACGGTATATGTTAAGTGACTGAATCATTCTCGTCTTCTTTAGCCCGGCTGATGCGGAAAATTTTATTTTCATTTCATTTGTCATTTTATGTAAATCAAACCTACCGATGTTCATAACAACAGCCGTACTTCTAGTTCTACTGGAGATTCCCATTCTAAAGTCTTCTTATATTATTCCATTTAAAAAAATTATATTATATCCTAATGATCCGTAGATAAGTTATATCCTTTCATGAGTTCATTCGTCCGTTCGTGGGGCTTTACGCCGGCTTGCACTTTGGGGAGATATCGCACTTATATCCAAATACTCCGCCTTTTCTATATTACACAGTTATATCCTTCGTTCGTTCGTCCGATTTTCCATTCGTGGGGCTTTACACCCGCTTCCACCTTTGGTGAGATATAGCAGTTATATGAAAATGCTCCGTTTATTCTATATAACGCAGTTATATCCTTCCTTCCTTCGTCCGTCCCTGGGGCTTAACGTGACATCGCAGTTGTATTCTTTTCTATTAGTGTTTGACATCCACTTAAGGGGCTTTCGCAATTATATCTCAATGTCTAGTATATATATCCCGTCTCTCGTTAATGCAAATCTTTTTAAAACATGTTGTTTTTTTTTTTTTTAAAAATGCGTCAATACCCCAATCCTTTCACAACATGGTTATCAAAATACGTCCATACTCCACTAGCCAGTCCGTTCATGTATTAAATGTTTATTGTATTCATTTTCTCCCGTTCTAATTAATACGTAACACGACTAAACTTGTTTCAATCTAGTCATTTGTTACAGTTTTCTATTTTAATCCGATTTCATTCCGACAACAGAGAAACACGTGTAATTAATAATCTAATTGTTGGTAAGACAAGGTAGGACTTAAAATGTCGGTCAATTAGCTTAGTGTCTGTTCTCAAGCGGAGGTAATTGTAGACAGACAGCCTAAGTTTAGTATGTGGTCGGACGTCACAAGGACTGACAAGAGCGCTTCTTGGCCAATTACGTCTAAATTATTGCAAAAAGTGATCGACAAGGAAAGATAAAAACAACAGAAAAACACGTGTCATTAATGTTTGATGGAAACGCTATGGTCGGAGAGAGAGACAGACAGAGAAATTGGGTTTAACGTCCACTCGACACAAACTAGGTCATGTAGGGACTAACATATGGTTTACTTTTATTGCGCGTAGGGGTCTTTAGCAGTGGGAGGAAACCGGAGGACCCGGAGAAAACCCACGAGGTTGGACGGTTCTCTCCCACTGCTAAAGACCCCTACGCGCAAATCTTTTTAAAACATGTTGTTTTTCTTTTTTAAAAAATGCGTCAATACCCCAATCC